TATTTTTTCTCCTCAGATATGCGAGATAAATGAAAGTCCCTTATTTCTGAAACTCAATCCACTTGCTAAGACCAATGATGTAGGTTTGCAATCATGATTATTACTTAGATTTCTAAGGGACTAAACGGGACTAAAGGGGAAACTATTTCTGTATGATGTTCATGCTGAACTTCGTAGATAACCTTTTAAGGCACTTTGTCTTATGTATGTCTTTTAATAATTTTTTTTTTCAGTTACCAATCAGCTTATTTGAATCTGTGATTGATATTGTTGAAGGAGCAGTAAGAATTCATTCCATTTTGATAAAAAATTATTGCTTAGTACAGTACCTAATATATTCATGTTTATTGCTAGCTCTTAACATCCTAATATCAGTATGTATATTCTCCATACTGTTCTCTGTTTATCTCCTAAGGTGCTGACAAGGAGAATTAATTTTTAATAATCAAGGGCCTTTTTAGTTGGTGATCATTTCCCTTATTCTCATGACCTTAACATGTTTTTCAGGGCTGACATTGTAAAGAGAAGTTAGACGTAGTCACCTTTAGGAGTCAAAGGGTTAAGATACCAAGAACTTAAGAATTATTGCCCATAAAGAGGAATTATTGAAAGTAAAAAAATCTCCAACATATTACAATCCCATTTAAGTTAACAATGGATTTTTTGGCCTTTGTAATTGCACTTTTTCATTCACTTTATTTCAAAGCTCTATCTCAATGAGTAACAACTAGAAAGAGAAAATATTTTGTAACAGAAGTAAAGAAGGAAATCTGATGGAAAATTATACAATTTTGAAAGCACTGACTGTTGTATGAAAAAAGTGCTTTGATAATGACTGAAACACTATTAAGTAAAAAGCAAACATGTGCTTTACAAAGTGAGCACATTGTTTCATGCTTTTGAAAAAGGTGGCAGTGAAAAGTATTTTAAATTGTGTGTTAGCATCTTCTATTGCCTCCCTCTAAAGATGTTTCTACCATCACTCACTTTCAGACACGTATGTTGTTTGTTGAAACTCCCTACACCCTAGCTACGGAAGAAGCTGAGAGAATTGGAGTGGATCATGTGGCCAGACTATCAAACACTGGCACAGTTGACAGCTCCACAGGTACTTTTTATATATTATTTTATAATCTCATGTACTTGTTCTCCATGCAAACGAAGAAGGATGATTTCGATTTAATGTTTCCAGTGGCTGATCCAATGGCTATTTTTTTCTTTTCTAGTGTCGGAGCATCTCCTAGCTCAATATAATGCAATTAAGATGCTACATTCCAGGGTCAAGATGATTTTAGAGTATGCTAAAGCAGTGAAAAATGGTAACACCCATAGTCTATTGCTTTGTGCTTGAAGGAAAATGCCAACCACTCTAAATTTGTCACTTGTGATTGTAAAATCTTTCCACAACCTTTTTCTTTTTTTTTTTCTTCTCAGGTGAAGCACCGTGTAACCATGAGATAATGCGTGATGCGTTGAGTCTTATTCAGAGACTTCCTGTCATGAAGACTGATTTGTTCAGAGAGGACTTTTATAATGTAGGTTGATTGTCATTCTATAAAGTTTTGTGTGTGGTTGTTAACCCTTTAATTCCCAATATCCAATTGTCAATTCTCCCCTTTAGCTGCTACACATTTCTTTGTTAGTTATGAGGATTTGATGATAGATCAAGATAACAACTTCTACCTGATAAGTTTGGGTATTGTATTCCCTTTTTGCTGGATAATGTTGGGATATTTTAGGGAGAAGTTACTTGTTAATCACTTGTGGGAGTTAAAGGGTTTAATGATAATTTCTTCCACAGACAACAATTGATTTGGTTGTGTAACTCTCTTTTGCAGCAATGTAATGATGTTATGTTGATGTGCTATTTGTCTACAATAACAAAAGGAGCCAATAGTCTTAATGAGGTAAGCTGAAAAATTAGCTTAGACTATGTCACGAGTTGCTCAATCTGCCAGTTTTTAGGTATTTACTGAAAAAGTAGGTGTCAGGAGCAAAAAAAAAAAAAAGCATTTTGCTGAGAAACTGCCTTGTATAATCCACAGAATTTTTTTTACACCCTCAAACTCATTTTATTGCCAAATCTTTCCAGCCAATACTAAAAAACCTTGTCATATAGAAACTGCATCACATGGGCAGAAATCCAAGCATTTCTAAGTGAATAAAGGGGGTAAGTTTCTATAGAAAGTGTGGTGCTGCGTCGGTGGGAGAGTATAGCAGGTAATTTAGTGTAAACAACTGAATTGAAAACATAAATTGGCCACCGCAAAGAGTAAAAAAGCTGACATATCAAGTAGTAGCCCTTGGTTAGAGTGATTGGGATGCTTGAAACATCAGCTTTTTTACTCTTTACTGTGGCCAATTTACATTTTCAACTCAGTTGTTAACACTAAATTACCTGCATTTCTAAGTAAGCTTTAGCTGTGGGTAGTTATTCAAAACAGCCATATTCTTCACCATTTAAACCCTTACGTCAGTATTCATATTCTCTATACTCTTGTCTTTACATTTCCTTTTATACTCACAAGGAGAATTTGTTTAACAATCAGATCTTAAGCTAGCAATCATTTACTTTATTCTCAAGACCTTCATGAATGTTCCAGCACTATTACTGTAAGGAGAAATTAGATGCTGGTCATTCCTAGGGTGAGGGGTTAACCTTTGGCATGTGTGAATTGATTTTTAGAATCCTTTTTTTGTTTACAGGAACAGTATTATCAATGTTTAACATAAACACTTTTGGAGAGACTTAGAACTAGTGCTGAAGAACTATCAATTTAACTAATTGTGGTCCTTCTTTTTCAGTTCATTAACAAGTTCAATGTGGTTTATGACCGTGGAATGGGAAGACGAATGAGAGGAACACTATTTTAGGGTCTTAAATACTAGATTTCCAAACACAGTATTGTTCACTTAAAAAAAAAACCATTACTGGAAACTAAATTTAAAAAGTTATTGGTTTACAATGTGGAAAAAAAGCAAACCAATAAAACAGTAATTGGCTGTATATAGAACTTAGGGCACAACACACATTAGGTTAGCCCTGATGCAAGATTCTTAAGACTTTCAAATATGCAATTTATATATTACATGTATGATCTGTAACTTACTAATATCTCTACAAGTTACAACAACCAACAAAGTCTGTCGATTAGCATCATTCAATAACTTTCTTGTAAATATAGTTAATTAATTTGTGAAAATAAACGGTTTTGATTTACCGTAATTTCCGGTCGTTTACCCGCACGGCCGATTACCCGCACCGGCCGATTATTGCATACGGCGAAAAAAAAGTCAACAGATTACCCGCACTGGTGGATAACCCGCACGTTGTTATTCAACTTTTTGGTGGCGAAAACGTGACATTAAGGTGATACATTTCAGTCTTTTAAAAGTTGTCTGATCCAACTTTCGAAAACTTGAAAGCGTCTTTGTCGAGTTTAAAGGTCAAAGAAATTCAGACGCGTGCACAATTCTGTGTCAATATTAGCATGTACTTTATTGATGAGATTCTAAAGTAAAAACACTAGCGGCCCATGCCCAAATCTCAACGTTTCATACTTGACAGAATGCGAATTTGTGGCCACATTTTGTGCGAGCGATCGTTCAGCGCCATGTTGATTTATTGAAAAAAAGCTGGGTGAGTATTAAAACTTGAATTATCAAGTACTGTCGGCGATTTCTGAAAAAATCGATATCTCCGGTTCTATTGGGCCTAACAAGTCCCTTAAAACGGGAAAATTCTCTTGAGCTCATGCTAGTGTTAAATGGAAATTTGTTACTGATGCGCCGGATATCTTTGGATAATTTTTGTCACCATCAAGGTCTTGTTTTCACGCGTGCCGATAATAATTTGTTCGTCGCGCAACTAATTATGCGTGAAATAAACTCGAGTCGGCATCATGTTTTCGTGCCGCTTTGCGGCACTATTAACACAATAAAATTTACTTGAGAGGTGGAAACGCATGTTGGTGATATTTTTTTTCAATTCAACTACCACCGGATTTTAAAATTGTCACATAACCCGCACCTCCCTATTACCCGCAGTGGCGCGCGTTTAATGCAAAATCAACAGATTACCCGCGGGTAAACGACCGGAAATTACGGTACTTCTTTGCAAGTTTGTTTTGTTAAAAGTTCATTTGTTCAATTCATTGTTCTGATTGACTTTTACTTCCCAGAAATGCAAGCCATGCACTTTGGATGGAAACTGGCCAACTCTCTTAATATGTAAAAAAAAAAAATTGAAGAGAGAGCCCATTCCCTATTGCCACCATCACAATGTACATGCACAGATTAAAATGAACCATCTTGAAAAGATAGCTCTAGTGTGATTGTCATGTGCATTAATTGGAGAGCTTAAGCAGAGATGTTTTTTGAGATGCAGATGGTAATCAGGAGAAAAATAACTAATTCTAGCACACTAAAATGACTGTATATCGACTGTACAGTTGCCGCTTTGGCATTTTAAACCCCAACCAAAACTATAACAAAATTCTTGAATGTGATTGGTCATCAACAGCCCGATTTGTGTACGCGTCATTCTTCTAATTGGACAGTGTAATAGGACAGTTAAAGGGACAGTTAATACGTCATGCCTGTGTAAGTGGACTGAACGCGTCAAGTCACTTGCTTTTGTCTCGCATTTCTTCGAGTTAACCGTTGATTTGTTTTGTTTTTTCATGCAAATTAAAAACCGATGTCTAGTTTCTTTCTCAAATTTTGTCATATTTTTAATTAATTGGTAACAGAACTTCGTGTCGTCCAATTCTGTCTGTAATACTATTGATTAACAAATCAGACTCCCGCTTCGCAGTCGTCTGATTTTGTTAATCACTCGTATGATTACGGACCGAAGTGGACTCCACTTAGCCCCTACTACCACTGAATATTGTACGGACCAAAAAAATTCAACGAGATCTTTTAACTTCCGGTTGCCGTGAAGAGTGATTCGCTCCAGTATTTCCTCGGTTGCGCTTAACCGAGGACTTGGTAAATCCATCATGGCGCCCGAACCAGATTTTATGATACCTCCATATTACTCACCTTTTTATGCCTGATCGTACATCATTATCTTAAAAGAAACTATGAAGAGGTCAAACCCCGACTATTCCACTACTGTCGTGGAAGAAAAGCCCTTAGAGACGCTAGATTATGGCACTCAAAGTCAGCCAGTGCTGAAATTGAAGAGGGGTCGACAAGCTCTCGATGCTTCCAAGAGGCTCGCGTTTGAACTATCACAGTTTTCTACACAACAAGAAATCCTTCAAACTCTTGTAGATCTCGAAAAAGAGCTTCCTTTAGAGTCTCTAGAAGTTGTGGAATTCGTCATTAGATCTTTGTGGGAGAGGTTTTACGAGACTGAAGACGCTGCAGTTAGAGTGAAGGTCATTTCTTTGCTTGGAAGTGTGGCGAGATTTCCCGGAGTTAATGTCCATGCGATCGCTGAAGAGTTGATCAAACTACTAAACGCAAAGGATGAAGATAAGACTAAAGGTATAAGTCTTGGTTGTGTCAAAGTATTACTTGGTATTAGTGATGGACCAGAGGTTGACTGTTTCATTTCTTTTCATGTGTACGTTAAAAGTCAAGTATCGGGGCTGGCAGAACAGGAATTTTAACAGGGGGATAGTTAGGGATGGAATGGGTACAAAAGTGCTAGAGGTATGAGGTGCCGCTTTCCATTTCCCTGGCTCTGCTTTATTTGAGTTGTTTACTGGTAAGAGTTGTCTGTCAACAGAACAGTCTGCTGAGTGTGGTATGAAAAGGAAAAATTACGCATGCATTTATCATGCTCTGCACACAGGTCATCAGAGCCTCACCTGTATACAAGTTGTCTTTTAAGCTCACCATGTCTTGTAGCAACCTATTGGTAGAGAATCCAATTGACATATGAAAAGTGGTTGGCCCAAGTGCCTTTGGATACTTTAATATTTATGTTTCCTAAGCTCAGATAGCTCACTAAAGAAAGTAAAATTTACCATAAAAAACAGAAAGGGTAATATTGGGACCTCAAGATTGGAAACACTACAGATAAAAGTACAAAACCCAGCACAGTTGCCAAAACACCAGCACTGTAATGTACCTGATACACATCATACATGACTGCAATAATGACATTACACAGCCTTACTACATTCTTGCATGTAAGTTTTGGATATTAGCCACAGGTTATGGCATGACTATAATGTCTCAGTATGTTATCTTATTCTCCTTGAAATGACCAAGACCACTGATCAGCACCACAAAGCCTGATCAGTCCTTGACACCAAAAAACTATGTGGTACAACCTCAGGAAACAATCCATATGTTGAGAAATGAACAGTATTTTCTGTATTTTTTTCTCCTGGCAGATTCTCAGAAAGTACGCACTCAAATATTCAACACTCTTTTAACACTGGGCAGACTTTTAGATCAGGAGGTAGGATGTTATTATAGCAAGCTGATTGAATTAAACCTTTAACTCCCAAGATTTGATTGTTAATTCTCTTCTCTAGCTGTTACACATATCCCTGTAAACTAGTTACAAGAGTATGATGTTAGATCAATAGAGCTACTTTGACAAGTTTTAGTGGTCTCGTTACCTAGTTGCTGGATAATTTATGGATATTATGGAGAGGAGTTGCATCTGGGGTCACTTCTGTAGTAGTCAATATGATTTGTACTTTTTTAAATTAAATAAATTATTTTATAATCATCATCTTCATCAACATTATAGCACTTTTAAAACAAAGAATTTTATATGCACCTTTTTCCTCTCTTCATAGGCAAAGATCATTCACCACATTGAGAAGGGTGCCATTGAGGTAAGATCTTGTGAAAAATTTTTTCAGAAGTATGAGACAAGAGCACATGGAAATACCTGACCGAGACATTTTTTAATCTAAACTATGGCAAGAGTAGAAAAGGAGCTAGTAAATAATAAACAGTTACCTTCCTCACCCATTCCTATAATGCCAGCAACACACCTGGTGGTTTTCACAGATCACTGCCACTGGCTTATAAAATCACTGTATCACCGGCTTAAGTCATTGGTTGTGATGTCTATCAGTGAGAGAGAATCATTTTTGAGAAAATAGTTTCACAAGACAGTTCATGTTACTCATTTAAAGAAAGAAAAAGGCAAGGTAACATTTGTAGCCATTGCAAGCTCTCAACTCCTTGTTACATTTATCATGTGCTATTGATTTAGAGTAGAGCAAGCAAAGATCTTAGGTTTGCAGATATCTTGCGATCTTACGTGGAATAATCACGTATCCGAAGTTGTAAAGAAAGTAAACAAGCGCCTGTATTTTTTGCGTCAGCTTAAGCGTGCACAAGTCAAGTCGGAGGAACTTTTGCTCTTCTATTTGACTTGTATTAGGCCTGTCACTGAATATGCATGCCCTGTTTATCATCATAGCCTCCCGCTACCTTTCAGATCTTGAGAGATGTCAACTCTTTACGTATTATTATCCAGATTGTTCGTACAATGAGGCGCTTCTTTTGACTGGTCTAGTTCCCTTACACAACCGCCGCGAGTTCTTATGTGATAAGCTTTTTAATTCCATCCTGTCTAATCCCTCGCACAAGCTCTATATTTACCTCCCAAGAATGAGTGCGAAGTCAATTTAAGGAGTCAGCACTCTTTTACTACACGGCGCCTCCACACCATTCGTACTCGAAATAGTTTTATCCATCACTATGTCCATAAAGCAATGATGTAATATTGTTTTTCTCTTAATTATATATTTTTGTCTTTTTAATTAGTTCTTCTTAGCCATGTATTTTTTGTAGTATATATTTTATTGTAAATCAAACGTAATTCAGCCTGTGGCTGCAAGGTTCTTGATAATAAACTATCTATCTATCTATCTTGATTTGATTTAATTTGTTTTTCTTTTTCTCTTCTAAGCATCTAAAAGACCCTCATTTTTCAGTGCGCTGCCAATGCCTTTGCCTGATTGGTCATCTGAATCAAGGATTAGATGGCGGCCCAAGCAAGTTGGAGTCTGAACCACAGGTTGGGGCACAGAACTTGTTAGCAAGTTTTGCAAAAGACAGTGACCCCAGAGTACGAACAAGTGCTTTGCAAGCCCTAGTAAGTTTACATTCATTCAAATTGTTCCAAATCCACAATAGATTATCAATAAATATGACCTTGAAAGTTCAGCAAAAAAATTGATAGGGAGATACCTCAGAAGCCTTATTTCATAATGGACTAGCTCCTTAACCCCTTAACTCCCAGATCAAATTTGTAATTCTCCTCACTGTCAACCATACAATTCTAACAATGTTAGTACAGAGAATTTAGTATTGGATCAACTAATTATCCCTGAATTGACATTTTTCTTTATTCTCATTGCTTATCTAGTTAATATTGTATTGATATTGTAAGGAGAAATTCTGTCTTGATCACTCATGGGAGTTTAAGGGTTAAGAATGACAAAATTAATGTCTTCTTTCAATATCAATACATTCTCAAGTTCAAAGGTGATGAGAAGAAAAAGAAATATCGATCAAGAAATAATTTAATACTCAATTGTCAGAGCCTCTCTCTTTACGCCCTGTTGCTGACAAGGATAATTTGTTTAACAAGTAGGCAATCATTTCCTTTATTCTCATGACCTTAATGTTTGATTCAGGGGTGATAATGTAAGGAGAAATAAGATGCTCGTCACTCTTGGGGGTTTAAAGGTTAAGTTTTAAAGGAAAATATGGCAAACAGTGCAGAGAGTTGAAATTTAGATTTTGAGAGTGAAAAGGTAAAGATCATAACATGATCCACATGGAGAGTGAAAAGTGAAAACTGCATGGATTGATCTTCTTTTTAGCTAACACTGCATGACAGAGGACAGAAACTGGACATTGCAGTTTATGATCAGGCATCGCTGGCTTTGAATGATGACTATGAGGATGTGCGAATGGCAGCAATTAAGTTAGTTTGGGTTTTCAGTCAGGCTGATCCTGAAAGGTTTGTCTTCTTTAGATAACTTACAATCTTCAAAGTTATTTGCTGAGTGTTTTACATACTGTAGAAGGAAGTTCTGCATAGCCTTGAGTATGTGAATAAACGACCCCGAAGAGAAATTATTTGTAACTTTATCGATCGATTTATTAGTTTATCTTTTACTTAATACCTACTTTTTCAACGAATCACAGCCAACATCAAAGGAAATAGAAGTTGATCGGAAATGCAGTGTATATTAAATTTATCACCGTGAAAAATTTGCTTTATGGTAAAAAAGTATTTGTGTTGATAATTTTCTGACATCGTCACGCAATAGGACTGTAAAATTACCGTCATCTGATGAGGTTCGCCTGGTGGACGATGCTTTTATAAAGATCTGTCACATGGTGAATGATCTCTCCATGACTGTCCGAAGAGAGGCCGCTGGTTTGCTTGGCTCTCTCCATCTCGTCAGTCAAAAGTTTCTGGAACAGACATTGGATAAGAAGCTCATGTCTCATCTTAAGGCAAGTTACAGTGATCAATGAACGCATTTTACCTATTTAGAGAATTTTCAATTGAGCGTCGATAAACCAAATCCGAAAAAAATCACAACTACCTCTCAAAACGAAGGTTATCATCATCAGTAAACAATCAGAACTCAGAGTAAAAGGAAGTAATCTTCTTGAAATCGCAGAAACGTTGCGTCAAATTTCGGATGTAATATAAAAATCGAAAGAACGGTTTTCCTTCGGTTCCTTCCGCTGTAAGATCTTCACAAAATGTATGATATTTTTGTCTTCGAAATTCAGAGAAAGAAAACGGAACACGAAAAGCGAAGAGAGATTCACGCTTCAGGCGGAGCAGATAGTGGTGCGTGGAGCACGGGACGCACGTGGGGCGACAAGGCACCTGAACCTGAAATTGACCCGGAGGACGTGAGTCTAATGAGTAGCGGAGCGTGTGGCGCGTTTGTGCACGGTTTAGAAGACGAATTCATGGAGGTACGTTCCGCGGCTGTGGATTCTCTTTGTGAGCTGGCCTATCGCAACTCATCTTTCGCTGTGCAGTCCTTAGACTTCTTGGCTGACATGATGAATGACGAGATAGAAAGCGTCCGGCTCAGTGCTATCAACAGCTTGCGCAAAATCAGCGAGCACATTCAACTGCGTGAGGACCAGTTGGAGACGCTGCTCGGTGTTCTGGAGGATTTCTCAGGGGACACCCGAGAGGCTGTCCGTGAGTTGCTATGTCACTGTGTGTTCGCTACAAGGGCGTGTCTTCATGCTGCTATTCATGCGTTGCTCGGAAACCTGTCAAAATATCCTCAGGATAAATCGTCCATATGGAGGTACAGTGAGAAGTGTCTTTCATTTGTATATTCGTCTAAATCTACTAGCGTTTTACCGCAAATGCTGCAACCTGATTGGCTTCGCCAACAACTGATGAATTTGATTGATTCTTAATGATGATCTATTGGAGGACAGACACCTAGATTACTTCGCCATCAACAGTTTTCTGCTTCTTTTTATAAAACAAATGTATACCATGTTGCTATGGCTCTGTACAGTAGTAAATCACAGAGGACGTCAAAATGTGGTAAAAACATCGGTGACACTCTCAGCTGTGCCTTGTGTGCCACCTTTTTTGTTCCTACCACATTTTGACGTCATCTGTGATCTATCACTGAACAGACACACGGCAACATGGAATCTATCTTTCTTAACCCTCCACTCCCTAGCATCAATGTGCGTATTCTCCATACTGTTTTCTATACATTTCCTGAGGTGCTGACAAGGAGAATTTGTTTATCAATCAAGAGAGTATTTAGTTGGTGATCATTTCATTTATTCTCATGACCTTACTGTGTGATGCAGGGGTTACACTGTTGGGAGAAACAGGATGCTAGTCACTCTCAGGGGTTAAAGGGTTAAACAGAAAAAGAGGGAAATTGAGTAGCCTAACAGAAAGAAAGCGGTTGCAAATGAAATAAAAAATGAAAACTTGGGGCTGTCTTGTCGTTAAGTTTGAACGACTGGTAGACTCGCCCTCACCGACTATCACGCAAAAGAAATCTCGAGCTTATGATCTGATTGACAAATAAAGCATGGCAAACAGTTCTCCTCACACTAGTACTGTTAGTTTGCAGGAACGACGATGAGGGAGGGGGGGAGGGTGAAAGTAGACGCCGCGCACAAAAATAATAACCTTTGATATACAACTGAGGTCCGCTTTGTACATGTCACAGCATTCATCGATAACGTTTATTTTCACGAAGTATCAGGTTTACTTCAAAGGGTGAATTGAAGATTCTTTTCCTGTCATTTTTATTATATTTCATTTTATTGCTTTTTTAATCAGGTGTTCAAAATTTTTGGGTGAAAAGCATCAACATATCGCTTCCTCGCTTGTGCCTGAACTTCTTTCTACGCATCCGTTTTTTGCCACCCCAGAGCCGTCCATCGATGACCCGGCATACGTCGCAATTCTTATCCTCGTGTTCAACGCAACAGCCAAAAGTCCCACAATGTTAGCTATGTTCCCGGATCACACCAATCGACATTACGCTTACTTGCGGGACAGTCAACCCGACCTCGTCCCGCAACTTGTTAACGAGAAGAGCGTTTCAGATTTGGATAGTAAAAGGTTTGAAGATGGAGGTAAGAAAAATTCACTTTGAACTCAGCTTTAATATAATTTCCCTGTTTTTTTTTTAGAACGTATTCCTCCACTTAGAAAACATCATGTGTTGGTCATATTGCCACACGGTTAAAGCATTCGACTCACGCACGGTTGGCCTGGGTTCGAATCATTATCGCAGATGCCGCCTTTTTCCTTGTCCTTTTTTCATGAAAAATAAACACAACCACCTGGCCCCAGTTGTGCAAAGGTCGGATAACGCTATCCACTGGGTAAATCTCTATCAGGTGGAGAACGCTATACGTTTTGTTAACACTTATCAGGCCGTGGTTCGAAGGGTGCCGGGATAACGCTATCCACTGTATAAATCTGTCTGGTAAATAGCGCAGTATGTCTTGTTAACGCTTATCAGGCCCTGGTTGCTCGAAATATGGATAGTGCTACCCACTGGATAAATCTCTATGGTGGAGATGTTATTGCGAGAGACTCCCTTTTATCGAGGGAGGGGACGCGTACTCTTTGTCGCTTCTTGCTGATGAAACAGAGGATGAACATTTATCATTGTAGGCGACGTGGCTTTTAAGACTCGACCACCACTTGCTACGTGTGCAAACTCTTTGATTTATTCCTTGTTCTCTTCATTCCGATCTAGGATCACAAACTGCTAAGGACTTCTTTGAAAGCGTGCAACTGCGACTTCGACACGTCACATCACTCAACCCAGTAAGCAAACAACAAACATTGAAAACAGCCATTCAAGACCTTAAGCACGTGAAGAGCATCGATTCACTACTCAGCGCCGATGCAGAATGTCTTTGCCTTTATCTCCAATGCAAACTGATGATCGTTCAGGCTCAGCAAGACAAGATGTGGACTGTTCCAGCGGCATTATGTACTCACCAAAGCTCCGGTCTTAAATCCCTGGTTGAAAACATCCTGTCAACATCGTATCGCGTTGAACATACCTTCACTGGTTTGGATTCTCAGCAAATCTTCCTTCTTCGACAACTGAGACTCATTGCGCATGCATTGCAGATCTTAGTCACGCAGCGATCTAGCCGGACTAACGAGAGAAACTTAAATTCCATGCTACAAGTTTGGGAATCGTTTTTGAATAGAATAAAAACCTTCTCCAACTTCATCAACACAGAGAACATCAACACGGATGCTTTCTGCGCAGAGGTAGTTTCGTTTCCCGGTTTCTTTGAGTCTAACATAACAAATCCAGCCGGAGTTGTGGATTATGTTCAATCCATTATGCTTTCTCATGAAGTCCCTTGCTTGGAATTGCACTCCAGTCTGAGCCAGGCATCTGCAGTACTAAACGAACCCCGCGGAGGTTCGGATAATCCACTTTGCTTTTCTGCGGGCCTTACACTTGGTGTCAATGTTGAAGCTATATTGGAGAACGTCCCTGATGCGACCAAAGTTAAAGTGCAGGTGGGTGTCACTCTGCAGTCAAATATCAGAATTTTGGTAAAAATAGAAAATATTCGGAGATGATTTTTCTCTGTTCACGATTGGGTTAATCGTATCTCGAACGCTAGTCTGTTTTCCGAGACATGCGCATTACAGCTGATGTCCTGACTGAAAGCAGTATGATGACGGGCCACGTTGGGAAAAGTTTTATTGCCCTTTTGACCCCTAAGAGTGACGAGTGTCTAATTTCTCCGTACAATATCACTACTGAATCACATTAAGGTCTTGAGAATAAAGGAAATGATCACCAACTAAAGAAGCCCTTGATTGTTAAACAAATTCTCCTTCTCAGCACCTCAGGAAATGTGAAGAGAAAAGAATGGAGAATATGCATACAGATGTTAGGGTGTGAAGGGTTAAAGTATGACTTTATACCTTATAAATCATCCTCTGTACTCCTATGACATACAGATCACACCTTGCAGTAGCATTTTCAGATAAAAAAAAATTAATGCTGATCAGTATCTGTGAGTTTACAGGTTGTGTTTCCTGATCTGAGGTGTCACTGGTTTATTCCCAAACGGGACGATATCCATGTGCTTTCTCCAACGAAGCAGCGACTTGCCACGACTGTCATCTTGTCGCACAGGGGATGGTCAGGTAAACTGTCGCCACCTTGTTGTAATTTGAATCAAGGATAGCCTGTACTAGTCCTATAGTAAGTGTAGGTGAGTGAAATAGTGGGCGAAAGGGTAAATGACGGTCGTGGCGCTTTTGTCAGCCCCGATCCTGGCCATTTTTCGCGCGCCTGCGAAAACCTGGCCATGGCTGGAACTAAGAACGCTCCCCGTCATCTCGATTGACTGGGTTCGATTTCTGGGGATGACGTAAAATGTGGGATGAGTCGGTTAGTGGCTCTCGTCCATACCCCGAGGGTTTATCTACAGTTTCTGCATTTTTCTTCCCTCCATAAAAACCTGAACTCTAGATTACAGTTAGGATCAGGAAAGCAAGAAACGAAGAGCAGATCTATAGAAGGGCCCTTACGAAATTTTACGTTCTTTATATTTTATATACTACGCTGAGTACCCCACCGGCATATTCGTGACTATGTCTTTACTCTGCTCTATTTTATCGTTTCAGAACCTGGTTTGGTAGAAGTGTCCTTGGTTCTCAAATACACACCTGACGTTGATGAAGAAAGTGTGCTGAAACTATGTTCACGTGAAGATAGCTCCACAGATGAAGAGACGCGGGGTATAAAGCATACGAAAAGCGCCAAGGACAGTTTGGTCGACGGCGTAATAAATCTTTGTTCACCAGTTCAAGTATGTATCATGCCAAAGGCGCTAAGATGAAAACGGACTGGTTGGATCACAACCTTCGAAAGCTAGAAAGCTCGTGATCCGTTATGCAAGCCTTTTCTCACGCCGTGATGTAATGCGCGCATGTCTGCGGTCTGTTTCCAACACCTTCATGCCTTACTGTACTTACTGTGTTAATCATAGGTTTCAGTTTGTTACCACCACAATATGCTGGGTCCCGCGTCTTGTTTCTAGGCCAACTGTTTCACTTCGTTTATGCTTTCAGCTGTCTTTCTTTTTCACGACATTGCGCCACACTTTTCCATCAAGAATCACAATTAGGGCGGTAAGAACTCAATAAGCAATGAAGCATTTCTAGACATTAAGTAGTCCAACTACACAGTGACAAATAAACTACAAAAGAATTTTCATTGTTGTACGTCGAATTAGTTTGATTAAAATAGTGCTTGTGATTTGAAATATAATTTTCAAAAAGTCCTTACGATATTATCACTCACTTAGTCACTACTGAGTTTCCCCATTGCTGTAATGTTCTTTCCTAAAATTATTCACGTCGTCTAAACGTTTCTTGAAATATTCGTGGGTTCTAATCTATGTCGGTACATGACGTTTGTCTCGTACTCAGACCTCTCATTGCCAAAACACGAGTTTTGCGTGACACCACATGTTACTAAGTCAGCGAAACGAAAAGGTTGGCTCAAGAAATTCACTCGTTAGGAACGAACGCTTGTCCGACAACACTTCGAACGCGGAAACATGAATTTTAAAAATGTAGTCCTACTGCTCCTTTATTCCTTTGCCTTATTTCAAGGCTTTCAAGGAGAGGCATGCGATCCAAAGCCTATGATAATGCGACATGAAGGCAAGAAAGAGTGCGTGTATCTTGACACGAAGGGCATCAAAACCATCGGTGTCGGCTTCAACATGCAGAACAAGGAAGCACCAGCAGTGTTTGCATCGATCGGAGCCGATTATAACAAGTTTATCAGCGGCCCTGTGACCAAATGGAGTGCTCCTTGTAATTGCTCTACAGTCCCTTGTCTCACTGAAGGGCAGATAGAAGAGCTGTTGGATATAAGCTTGAAGACGGCTATTGCTGACGCTCAGACAGTGATTCCAACGTTTGCGAGTCTTTGCTGTCCCGTGCAGAATGTGATGGTCGACATGTCGTTCACTTTTGGCGGACCGAGATTTGCTCAGTTCACAACATTTTCAAAGCTTGTCGTACGTCAATACTGGAAGGCCGCCGGTGATGACTTGACAGTTTCGCTTTGGTGTACGCAAGCTACAGCTCGGTGTATGGAAGACGCTAACATTGTCAGAAGTGGATGCGGTTGCTCCCAGCCATATCCGCAGTCTTGCGACTCTCAAGGATCCACCTGTTGTGCCAGTGCCACCCAACAGACCTGCTGCAAAGGTGAGTTGAAGTAAAAAATTGGATGCTTAAGTGAGTTTCGGTTTACTTCCTTCGGAGGAATGGCCGCGGCCACTGACCTCAGAGCGATGAGACGCAGGCGTTTTCGACGACTGCGTGTGTAACTGCGACAGCTGTTTGTACCCTTTATAATCCACCAATGTGTTGGAAAGCCATTTTCTTAGTATTTCAGGTCACACGTTGCAAGAAGAGCCGTTAATTCGCGTCAGTTACAAGAACATTTCACTTCCGGGGTCCATGCTTCTCTACTTTTATTTATCGTACGAAAACTTGATTATGAATGTGGATTATGACGACTTCTTGCCTTGATTTAAAAAATGCCGTTTGTGTAAGGAAGAGCTGCTCATTCTCGTGCTTCTTTAAGTTAACTAAGATCATGTTAGTTTTTGGACAAGGTGCCATTTTTGAGCAGACTTCCAAGTCAGCTCACTCATAAGACGGGTCATGGAAACCGAAACCATATTCGTTTTCTCTCTAGTTGCCATTCTGCGCGAGTTTCAGGCCCTAGCAGTCAATTTTGAACAGTTAAATCAATTTTGAAATGAATACCTCACAGTGACATTTTAACGCCAAATTTATTCTTCCCCGTGCATTATGAAGCCACTGACAGACCCATTTTTTTTTACATTTTAGAGTAAGTAACCGATCTATCTTATTGATAATTTTAAAAAGCAACAGCGTTCTCTTCCAGGCACCTTGACTTTTAAAAGCAAAACATTTGATGAACAGTTGTGTTGCCCTCAGCCTAAAGCGACTTGCTGTGAGCACGACAAATGCTGTCCAGAAAACTCGGTCTGTTGCCCTGCTCCGCCCGCGGTGCCTACTTATTGCTGCCCAATGGATTACCCAGTGTGCAAGGATGGAGAGTGTTATAGAGCACGTGATGGGCTCATGATCAAAGGAAAGCCCGTCGCTCAAGGATTTGTCTCACCATGATCTTTTTTGGTCAAGTATTGCACTGTCGCTAAAGTTTACAGGTTTAAAAATGTTCTGATCTGTGAGTTTTTCACCCATCGAGGAAGAAAAACCGCTAGGTATTGTGGAACTGTAGGCTTTTATTCTTTGCAAATCTAAAATAAAACCTATTAGAAAAAACTGCGAGTCGGCAGCAAATCATTTTGCTCAGGCTCCGACCATTATTCTCAATGTCAATATCTAATTATTACTAATGATATTTCGCGCGAAGAGAGCGTCACCATGTGAAAAGATTTGCCGAATTTTGAGCAATATATGTCTTCGAGTCTCTGGTAGCTGCTGGAGTTAAAAACAACCTAACTCACCCCCAGGGGAGAAGGTGTAATTCTTCAAAGGGGAGGGGTACGATTACGAATTTCGCGCGCGTTACGTGAATTGTATCATACCGCTGCTCCATCTTTTGTACCGACAGGCTCGTATTCATGTGGTGAGATACTCCTCCAAATGGAGTATCGAACGCCGGAAAAGATTCAGTTATCCCATAAAGATTCTTCGAGGAAGGAGGGGGAGTTTAAGTGTATCCTTGCCCAGCCCCCCTGGTAAGCCCCTAGTCCCTAGCTCTAAGAGTCGTTGTCATCTTAGAAGAAAGAAAACTTGTTCGCATGAAGAGCAAAAAACAAACGAAATTGGAAGCAATATCAATATTTAAGCACAAGACTTGATTTATTTATAATAATTACGCCATTTAATAACATATTTACAAGCAAATTCTATGCTTAAACTATATGCACTTGAATGCATGGATAGTCTCTATAATCAAGTAAATACTTCAATTAATGACAAATCTTCAGAAAAATTGCAAACTTGTTCCACAAGCCTCAAAGTCCTTCAGAGGTAAATCGTACACTGTTGACACAAGATGGAACTTTCGTTGTCTATAGAACTACGAAAATTTTGTCACTAGACCGGTCAAGTATGGCGATTCTGCCTTATCGTATCACTGAATTCCAACGAGCACGAAACAAAAGATAATAAAGCTCACCAGAGGTCCTTAGAAAATCAAAGCCATCAAACCTTTTCAGTAACAAACCGGATGGTATCTTTAAGCGTTTGCCATAAAGCACTTTGAGCTTTACACTGACAAAATATCAAGTATTTTACCCCTGGCGTCCATGCGCAAAACAGAGTCCTTTCATTTTATCCATAGCAAAAAATACATTGTCAACCAGACACAGAGGAATCGCATTGATCGTAGCATACTGTTTGACGAGGGAACAAATTTTCACAAAAAGCGGTATATAATTTACTTATACACTGTCCAGTGAAGAGAATAAGAGGTCGGGAAATGAATATATCTTTCAGTTTACTTTCACATCTAGGATGATTCATTTTGCCTCCATAAAAATCTTAATTATCGTTCACAAGTCGTATTAAAAAGTAAACCTACCCCTTTCGGTAATCTCTAACTATTATAACAACCTCGCGCACAGTGGAACTCAGAAAACCGTGAACACAAGAAATTTTAATGAAAGGTTGTTGTGTTCCAAGGAGATAGCGAACGAGGCGTAAAAAAACTAAACCGCAAATAGTAATGGTAATTAGTTTTCTGGGTTTGAGGTTTGCTTGCGTTTCCCAAACTTGAGAATGTACACAATCGACCTGTCAGAATCAAATCAACGTGTTCACAGCTTTTTGAGTCTCGCGGTAACAACGGAAAATCATCCTCCGTGTTTCCAACTGCTTTTGTTACTGTGCGTCTGCTAAGACTGAATCCACCCACACAAAACAGCAAATGAGGAGCTGGTCTTGAGTAAGCCACAATTCAAACCCTTCGTAACCTTGCTAAAATAAACTGAGAGCGACACGCACAGATTTTCAGATGATTGCCAGGGCTGGATTTGAACATAATGGAGTCTATTGTTTCAGTTCTTTCCTTTGATTGATTATCATTTCCTGGGTGGCCTCAGTTTCAGTAGAGGGACTGTAAGCTGGCTGCTTAGATGAGAATCCCTCCAAAAATGGGCAATATAGCTTCAAAACCCATACTTTGCTGTTAAAAACAGGTTGATATGATGGACCACAACGGCATTTCATACTACTTAATTTCTCTGTTTTACAAGTATCATTGGTCTCCTTTAGCACGCAAAATAGAAGCAGAGGTTATCTAAACTCATTTTTCGAAAAGGGAACAAGTTATCTGGAGTGAAATCATCGGTATGAACGTTTTTCATCGGCTCATCCTCAGCTAAGTTTTCATTCTTAATACTCAAAAAACAATACTAAGTAAGTCTTAGCGGTAGAATGAATTTCATCATATTTTTTTTATGGTAACATCTGACGCTATAGGAAAACCTTTAGAAAGGCAAAAACTCTTTCTAAAGTTTTACAGCCTGCTGCCAAAAAGGCTCATTGTCTCCGGAAATAATCCGACATGGGGTACGCTGATTTGTTTACTATGGGCTCATGGGCTCAACTCCCACGCTGGTTGCTCTCACCCTTTTTCCTTGGAAGGAAGCTTGGTTTTCTCGAGTGGACAGTGACAGAGGACTGCTGCTAGAAAATCGCCGCACTGGCGAAACACTGAAATGCAGAAAGAGGTTGGATATTAGCCAGTGTAGCAGACGCGCGGCGCAGAAACGCGAGAAACAGGCGCGGTTGATACATCTCTCTGGTTCTACGCGCGCGTGAAATTTTATTTAACATACTCACTTGGAAGCCGATCGTCTCAGAGTTCCAACTCGTTTTGGCGTCTTGTTCATCGAAAATGCTCTGCTGACCTTTCTTGTCGTCCGTTTAGCAACCCTGCGTTGACAGCAACGAAAGTAATAACATTTCGACATTTTGATCGAGTCTCCTACCTTTCTTTGCTCGAGACAGACCAAATTACAGGGAAAAGAGTCAAACGTGCCTTCATGAAAACATCTTTACGACAGACGCCTCTAAAAAAATAACACTTGTGTTCGGACCTTCCCGTCCGAATTTTGTCTGAATTCTGTCTTCTATAACCTTTATAAGACAAACAGACACCTCAGATGGACCCCTCTAAAAAACATCACATGCAGTCGGACCTTGCCGTCTGAGTTATTTAACCATTTACTTTTACAACGTATTTCTCCTTTAGAAAGACACCAGTCGCCGGTCCAAAAGGCGTGAGTCACTGAAAGCTAACTGGAAGTGGTTCAAATGACGCCAGTGAAGGCATAAACTAAACCTTTCAGAGTTTCCCCAAACAGTTTACCTGACCGCTCGACTTAGCGTTCCGTTCGACATGTCGCTTTTTGACAACATCAGTTCCTGCGGGTCAACTGTGGTCAAAAAGTTTTCCTGAAAAACACAAAAATATATCTGCTCTTAGAGACTTGGCTGGCCCAGGAGGTGAGGGAATTTGAATAACTTGAATATATCGAAAGTTTTACAAATTCCATACATTTCACAAACCGAGTTAGCTCGGTCGACAAGGTTTAAATGACGATAACTTAAAGGCATCTGTCTATTAAAAGGTAGGTCATATCCTCGAATTCGCATTGGACACCAAGCTGCCAAACTGACTCGAATCAGTGGGATTTTTCAATTCACATAACCCCTTACATTACCCGAGATAATCAGACGACATCCGAACATTGCCGATGATTCCCCGAAAGATTTACGAAGAATTTCAGGGGTTGCCAAACGTAGAAGTGTTTTTTGTTCTCTACTGTTGCGGCATTTCACAGATTTCTTACCGAATCTGCCATGCACGCTGTATTGGCCAGTGCCGTGGTGAGCTTCTGGAGCCATTCCGGCTTGTTTATGTCATCTCCTACAAGTCTGAACATCAACAATGTCTCTTTCATCTCCTTAGGGCAGCGATAAATAACACCAAACAAATTCTGACAATCTGTAAATGAATGGCAAGCAAAAAAAAAAAAAAAATATATATATATATATAAATAAACTAATAAGCAACAAATCAACCGGTGAATGAACTTTTCACCTGTAATCCAATAGATACACTTGCTAAAACTTAAAGTTTTAAAATGATTAAACAGCAATTAACATTTAAGTGAGCTGTGTCCGTGCTTTATTGTTTCTCATTAACAGAAACTAATCCCAGGTTTTCTTGAAAAGCATCTCAGTTTCACTCTCTTTCCATACTTAGACCTAACAATCGGTTTTTAGTTTTCTGAAAGGTCAGTTTGCTAGCCTTCAATATTGGTGCCCTGCAGTTCGTTGGTGAGGTTTAAAAACACGTCCATGTTCCTGGTGATTCTTCACATTGCAAGTTTAAAACAGAGGAGGCAGAGATGTCTTGTAAGCGGCGGGAACACCAATCGCAGACAACACACAAATGCGGCTTATCGCTCCCCTATTGGCCGAGAACATTGGAAAACCAACAAAACATTGCTTACCTTCGTTATCACGGATGTCCACCACGCGCCTGACATGTGCCAGGGGCATAAATTTCACGTGTTTGTAAGCCTTCTGTGGCGTGCGTCCCGCCGGGCTTTTCATTGGTAAAGGAACGTTGTTCATCATTTTTAAACCTCGTCGTTTCGTTACCTACAAGGGAAAAAGTCATTTCCTCACAGCCAGGAACAAAATGAAAGAGGCTGGGTCACAGCTGATATATAAACTGGCTTTATAATGAACCCATAGGGAACATTTTGGTCTGTTTACCGAGCTGAAAACGAATCACCATTAAAATTTGAAGCCGGTTTCTGGGATGGCCTGGGCTGGAGTGCTAAGAGGGGACATTATCTAGCCCCTGTTACCAAGATTTCGGCAACTGGACTATTCCCACATGATTTCGGACACCGACGTCGGAGAACAGCCCGGTTGTCACCTTTTGCCCATCTATGCCCATTTTGACGTTTTCCTTTCAGCTTTTTTGAGGTGGTTAACCATTTCACTCCCATGATCCGCTTCCTAATTCCCCCTCTGGCTGCTAAACATTTCCTTATACATCAATGACCTCTAAGTGATAAGTTTAAGTTTTCCATTATCTGTTTGCTGCATAATGTATAGATATTACAGAGAGAAGTTACATGCTAATCACTTTTGGGAGTTAAAGGGTCAATGCCGAACTGCAGGCGAAATTGCGCAGTCTAGCTTGTTTAGAAAAGGGACAAAAAATGATGAAGGAATAGACAACGTCATGCACGTGTTTGATTATCATACCTCCAGGCTATCATTGAAAAGGAAAATAGTCACTGCTTCTCCTTTGCCGCAAAGGGTGTCACTCAGCTCGAAGGTGTCCACTTTAGACACGTAGACACGGTGTGAAGAAAGTACGTAAGCCTGGGAAATTAGACGTGAAAACCACTTATTTCTGTAGGACCGGTTTTAAACTGTATGTCGTCAAATCAAAACCAGAGAAGTCAGAACGATCAATCAGATGGAAAATATCACAAGAAACTCAGAACAAAGATAAAAAAAACTGCACGAGGGAGGGAAAAAAGCGAGTTATTATGTTGCAGGTGGTTTTGATTTTGCGTCCGATTGGATGATAAGGCGGCGAGCGAAGTACAGAAAAGTTAAAGCAACATCCAACTACGTACAACACTAATTAGAAAGAACCTAATCAATTTCCAATAGACTGGCAAAAACCAAAACCAAAATAATCCCAGAGACCAATCAAAACAAAGGTTTTACATTATCATTAGCCAATGAGAACTCAAATTGAAAACAAGCGAGGAGAAACGCGAGTGACCAAGTCGTCAGTTGGTTTTAGTTTTGCAACCAATTGGATGAGAGGATGGCGCGAGTTTTCTGGACCAATCACAGGCCAAAGTTAGGTAAAACCAAAGCAGTCACGGTTTATTTTCTACACTGAATTCAAATTTGCTTTAAAACCGCGGTGAAGTCACTGGTATGAAAACAGGCTATATATTTTGAAGACTTTTCCGACAAATGCAGTGCACTGCATAACTTTGTGCCCATACAAGCACGTTCTCTCTTGTCATTTAGCACAAATATCATTCTTCCAGGATCCACCTCGAGTCAATTTCGCTCCCACACGTTATTAGAGAATTTTACCAAGGACTTACTGGACATCCATCAACGTCTCTAAGAATCTCAAACATCTGCACCTGGCCTTCTGTTTTCCTCTTATCCTCGTTGATGTGGCTAAAGCAATAAAAAAAAAGGCTCAGGGTTTTTAAAAACGTACAAAGAGATTTCGATAGTTCCTGTTATGACTGTATGACTGCTGTTATCGCTATCATTAATGCTATCAATTGTCTGCACAGCTGGCGTTAGTAAAAATGAACACAAGAATAAAATTTATTCCTGTGTTTGATCATTCCAATAAATTGCAACGAGCGACAGTTCGTTGCTAGAAAATTCAGTCGCAGAGGTAACGACCTTCACAAAGATTCTCCATGTCATAAAGGGGCGAATAGTCGTGGTGACTTGTCCTTGCAACTAGTCCCCGATAGGCGGTTATAAAAGTACACAAAAGCATACCGACAAGCCTTCATTATGAGCAGAGAAGGACGCGCATTTCTTCCGCCCGCGGGAAGATTTTAGATTAGTCAGGAGAGATTTTCCGGGGGTCTGGCACTCGTTATCAGTGCTAGACCCCTTAGACACCTCTCGCCGGCTCGTGTTGCTCATTCTTTCCAGCGGGAGAAGACGTGCCGAAGTACTACTTATCACGGCCAGCTCGCGGGCTAACTACACAACAGCACGAAAATCCTCCTCAGTCTTACGTCATAACGTTCTTTAGCGAGTCCACTGCCTTGCCCAGAGCTGCATGATCGGGATTTTTCTTGTCTGTATGTTTCAGCAGATCTAGAGAGGAAATGAACACAGGTGAGTTTCTTGAACTTCAAGGATCATTCACCAACTGATTTTTTAAGGATGTGGACTCAGAAATCTGAAGCGCCCACCTCTTAAAAGTTTTCAAGTCACCAAAGAGAAAGGTTGGTCACCTGTGGCATCAGGAGTCCACGTAACCCTTTAACCCCTAAGAGTGGCCAGCATCTAAATTCTCCCAACAATATCACCTCTGAATCACACATTAAGGTCATGAGAATAAAGAAAATGATCACCAACTAAAGAAACTCTTGATCTTTAAACAAATTCCCCTTGTTAGCACCTTAAGAAATGAATAGGGAACAGTATGGAGAATATACATACTGATGTTGGGGTGTAAAGGGTTAAGGAACAATGGTATCGTTAGTATACCTGACAGAAGCAAATTCATGCTCGGAAGTCTTTGCACCGGTCTAATCAGAAGTTCAGCCAACGTTTGTCTTCCGCATTCCGGTCTGCTGAGACACGCCTGGAAAAACAATCAGTTCGGTTGATAATAATGTTCCCAGAAACAATACCGCTCACATATACGTTAACTGCGCATATGTACCGCTCAAAAGTACACACGTACGACGGATCGTTTCGCGTATTTATCGAATGACGAGCAGTTGCAGTAGAGTTGCACAAAGATTAAAGTGTCCTCATGATGAAACAAGAGAGGAAAAGATTACAATTTGAGTACATAAACCGAAAGCCAATCCAATTACCTTTAAAAAGGCGTGAAATCTTGGTATATCTCGATCACATCTCACTACAGTCTCTTTGGTCATCTCAAAGTAGTTCACAAAAGGTGGATAGACTTTGACCATTTCTTCAGCCTGGAAAAATCAAATTAAACAGACAGAAGATTGGTAACGCTAAAAACTGACAGTAATTATTATTTGAAAGCACACGCAACACCAAGAAAATTTTGCAACAAGGAAAGAACAAAAAAGACTAGGAGAGATTCAGTTACTTGGTACAGAGTTTGCTGTACTTACATGGTTGATAATGATGTTCCCAATACATTTGTCTTCTCTCCAATCATTCACCAACACTTCCAGTTCATTCTACGACAGACAACAAATTTTTAAAAAGCATCATAAATCAAATTCATGTGGATGGATCGGTGCTCTCGTTGTCAAAAACTGTATCCAGCAAATCTAACAGTTTTTGTCGACTGACGCTAATCAACCTTCGCACCCAAACATCAGTAAGCATATTCTCCATTCTGTTCTCAATACATTTCCCTAAGTGCTAACAAGGAGAATTTGTCTATCAATCAAGACCTTCTTCAGTTTGCTGATCATTTTCTTTATTTTCCTGACCTAAATGATCGATTCAGGGGTGATATTGCGGGGGAAATTAGAAGCCAGTCACTCCTAAGGGTTAAAGGGTTAACATTCATTCCTCAGTCAATGATACCTAGTGAGAAACAAGTTCCCCACTTGGAATAAATAAACACCAAAGGTTAACCAGTAATTCCTCAAACAAAAATCTTGTCATGTGTTCTTAGGTAATTTCAACAAATTAATTGACCTGGAAAGTGCAACAAAAAACCGTTTAACTGGTGATAAACAGCATAACTCACCATGATCTTATTATGAACCTCTAGGATTCCAGGTAAACGACCAAATATTGTTTTGATGTCCTCAGCGGAGATAATCGATCCACCACGTGGGTCTTTCTCAAGTGGTTCCTTAAAAACCTAAAAAATAACAAATTTCAACAAGTGAATGAGTTAAGTTTAACCCCAACACCTTGACATCAGTATGCATATTCTCTATATTGTTACCTTTACATTTCTGAGGTAATGACAAGGAGAATTTGTTTAATAATCAAGGGATTCTTTATTTGATGATCATTTCCTTTATTTTTGTGACCTTAACCCTTTAACTCCCAAGATCTGATTGTTAATTCTCCCCTCTTGCTGCTAAACATTTCCTTGTAAATTAGTGACCAGAATTTGGTGTTAGATCAAGATAACAACTTCTACCTGATATGTTGGAATTTTCTCATTACCTGTTTGCTGGATAATATAAGGATACTACAGGGAGAAGTTCCATGTTGATCACCTCTGGGAGTCAAAGGGTTAATGTGTGAATCAGGGTGGTATTGTAAGAAAAAATTAGATGCTTGTCACTCATAAGGATCAAAGGTGTAACCCTATTGAAGACATTTGACCAGGCATTTCAACTGTCATCTGCCGAAATTTTTACCTCTATTTAATCAAATGACAACAGTGGATGCTACTCTCTGCACCAAGATGCAGTTCTTGGCTCATGTAACCTCTCAGACACTTATCTATTGTTTTAGTTTAACCTTTTGATTCCCATGAATGACCAGGTCAGAATTTCTCCTTACAATAACAATATAATATTAAGCAATCAAGTTTTTAGAATTAAAGAAAAATATCAATTAGCAGACTGTTAGCTGATTCAATACCAAATTCTCCAAACTTATATAATAAGAATTGTATGGCAGACAGTAAGGAGAATTACAAATGAGATATTGGAAGTGAGAGGGATAACTTGTTGATACCTTGAAGATATTGGTGAGTATCTCAACATAGTTCTTTTCTGTCTGCAACAGCTCCATGGCCACTTGCTGCCGTGATGTCAGAGGTTTGGGGGGACCAGGAATGGGTGTACTCAGAGGTGAGATGGTTCCACTAGGTGTGTCTACAAAAAAAATAGATCACAAGGCACATGACTCTTCATAGTTCCAAGTTGGCAGGGCTTGTTTATCAAAGTAGTCTTACCCAGGGTTCTCTCATAAGATATACCTACACATTTGAGATAACTTATACTAAACCTTGTGTTTTCTCCCTAACTAGCATAGTAATGGTGCTTTCAAACAAAAAAATCTCAGTGAAAGCCCTCCTTACCTTTTGGTGTGGCTGGTGATACTAGAGAGTTCTCCAGAAGAGACCCAGAGACAGATAATAAGTCACCACTCTTGCGCTTTGCACGGAAAAGGGGAGAATCTGGTGACAGCAAATCACTGAGATCTGAATCCTTAAGCTTGCGACGTTTCCTCTTTCGATTACCAACAGGTGTATTCTGCTGCTGTGGACAAGGCACAGAAGGATCCTGCTAATGGTATCATATGCTATATAAATACTCCATCATTCATGTCAAAACATCATGAAAATAACATACTAAAAGGTCTGGATAGCAGCAGATATGTCACAAATTTAAGAAAATATGACATTTTTTAAAAACATGTTTCAACAGTTCTTCTGTCATCTTCAGTTCTGATTTATACAAAGTACAATGTTGAGTTTAAAGTGTATAACAAAATGCTCATTGGGCAAAACAAACAATAAAACCAATTTAATGCACAGTAACTAAGGAAAGTAAGCTAATGACATTAATTTTAACTCACTGTTGCTGTGAAGTGATACAAAGACTCATCGGCACAGGCATCCATGTGAATACTAGCCCAGAACCACTACAAAATAGAAAAAAACCATGCACATTGTCTTGGAGTCCTCTGACATGTAAAATACAAAAGCCAAAAGCCAAAGAGCCCAGAGAACCAAAATAATTGAAGACGAAAGAATGAAATAAAATTTATCAATGCCAAAACCAAGGGAAACTTGTTACAAGAATAAAATAACAATGAATACATAAAAGAATTAAAAAAAAACCCAAGATGTTCAATTATTAATGATCTAATCTTGCATCAGAGAAGAGAGCATCAGTTGGGCAGCCTTATCCAGACTGATTATGGTGAGTGTTACAGTATGTGTAGCTCAGATTTTAATCAACAAAAGTGCAAACCTCTTGTCTGACAACTTGGCATCGCGATTGCTCAACCAAACCCCCTGGTAACTCTGTGACACTGTCTTCAATGACAAGATGAGTGCAGCGACTATCACTTGCCTCCACAGGCACCCCACCTGAAAATAACATTCACAATTTTTAGCAAAAAAGAAAAAACTTATAGAGACTGAGTGAATATGAACATTTCTTAGAAACCACAAATACGATATATCACATTAAAGCTTAGTCACTAATTCATCTGAAAGCTGATATATCAGCAGATTTGAAAAACCACACATGAAAGGCATGCTTTACTATTTGAAAAGTTCAAATAGCTCATTTGCTGATGTGCTAAAGCAGAAATTTAAAATTTGAGATAATATACCAATTTAATAATTCACTGTTCATCACTGACCTTGCTGCTCAGTTGATTCTTCCATGTGTTTCTTCTCATCATCAGAAAATCCATGAAAACTGAGATAGCATCCATGAAAAGGCATCATCTTGTATTTTTCCTTCAGTAAAATGAATGGCAGTATCATTAAATTACAGTATCTTGGCACATAAGCCTAGGAAGAAATTAATCAAATTGCTGGAACTTTGGCAAGGTAACTGGTGCATTGAACTTTGATTGACAATGATACAATGGCTGTCTTTGAATAGCAATATAGGCTTTTTCTCACCAAGTATAACATTGATTTTACATGTCAAGGTAGACAGAAAAAAATTGAAAGTAGACCACTGGGAGCTGAAAAAAAAAAGTCTGGCTGGAACAAAGGGTGAACTCATTAGCTTTGAAAACTGACTAAAAGGAACTCACCATTAAAGGATCCACTGCACTTGCACCCCTACAAAGAAAACACATTTATACATTTTATTTTTTCAGAATAATCCAGTACACATTGACAGCATGTGATGCTTCACTATGACAGAGTCATTAGCAATTCCAACGGTCTATCAATTAAGATAATAACCAGTTAATGACTGCCTCTCCAATACAATATCAATGTTCACTTACAGCTCATGCCTTCTCTCCCAGCATGTGTTTACCCACTCTACAGTCATTATAGTAGTACCAAGACTCACGGCAGCCTACGGAAACATACATATATCAGTTGCTACCATTTTTGAAAAAAGGCTATCAAAATAGTTGAGTGAGGCAGAAAATTAAAATTTACAAGTACTTTGTGTCTTGGGCCTCTTACTTGGCTGAAATATTTCCCCAATAAATAAACATATACCCCAAAGGGCTAATCAGAGCATAACTAGCATTCAAGTGGTCATTTTTGGATTAGTAAACACAATGGTCTTTCCTACTAACTGCAGGAACTAGGTTCATGCAATATTACAGATAAATTATCAATAAAAAGGTTTAGAGGGAGGGGAAAGAAACTTCTTCAGCTACATAAATTTTTCTTTTTGAACTAAGTTTCTTACTTGACTTTGTTTTCTGTAACAGAGAGCAGCTTGGTAGGACAATGTTTTATAGGGACACTCTTAAAGAGGTCACTTAAGCAAAATAAACTCATCACAGCAAAGAAAACAAACAATCCAATTCAGCACAATTGGGACAATCAGTGGTTAGGATCAAAGGAGGCAAAAGAGGACAAAGAATTAAAAAGATAGAATCCCTGCTTGTTTCTCATGATCAGGATCGGGGGACCATGTTTTAAATTCAAAATCAAGTTGTCCTGCGTAAGTGACAACATTTTCAGTGGCAACATGTTGTTCGACCTCTTTTACAAGCTTTCAAGTTTGACAGATAGTTATGCACAGCTCTTGAGATTTGGTCACCATTAGAAACGAGCAAGGTTGCCTATGACAACACTATGATTTTCTGGTGCAAATCCCATCGCCAAACTTTTTCTGAGTTGACAATTGAAGTAGATGTTACAGCTTACTTCATATGTAATTGCTGAACAAAAGTCACCAAATTGGCCATTTCTACTACTAATTTTGTTGCCAAAAACAACACTGATTCTATGGTACAAATCCTATCATCAAACTTTTCCTGAGCTGATAATTGTAGATGTTACACCTTACTTCATATGTAATTGCTGAACACAAGTCACCAAATTAGTCACTTCCACTGCTTACTTTGTTGCCAAAAATTTTTTCTACTCACTATAGCCCACAAAATGGTCAAAAAAAGGTTGTCAAATTGGCATCTTTAGCTACATATTTAGTTGCCAATTTTTTTTTTTTTTTAATTCGTTATGCCCACCAAAATGGTTGCAGCTTGAAGTCCTGATATATGCACCTACCCTGTATTTCTGTCCATGTATTGAGTTTGCAACAAGATGGGTAACTCTCCCACTAAACTCTCTCCGTATACTGCCGCCCATATGATGTACAAGGTTACATAATCTTCCAAGTTCTTCCTTTTTTCTAAATCCAGTAAAGCAGATGATCAGATTACTCATGACTGTACAATAAAGGGGTCTTGAATTGTACGGCAAAGGCTGTTCCTGTTTAGCACAAGAATGAATTATGGGTGGTCCAATGATCCGCTGTTCTTCTTTGCGTAAAAGTTCAAAGTGTTCTCCCTCAAAAGGCTCGCAAACATAGACTATTTCAATGTTATCACTAGCTGTTTGCATCACTTCTTTCACATCATCTGATATTGTTACTGGAATTTTAAGAGCCTGGAAGAAAAATAAAGAAAAAAGTTTGAAAGCTTTGTAGATTTGGACAGTATGGCCATGATTTAGTCTAAATTTTAGTATTTTTAAATTTAACCAACAGGAAAAAGTTGTATTACTGTAGAATTTAAATTTAGCACTGTTATCTTCACTTGTGGTTAGTCAAAGGTATCATAGGAAATGTTTATTGAAGTCAACATTGCAAAATTTCAGGATTTACAGAAGAGAAAAAGTATCACACTGGAATAATTTTTAACTTTTAATTTTGATGATCCAGCAATACCTCAGAGAATGCTCACAAAGGATGTCCACAACAGTACAGTACAGTATATGGTCAGTTTTCCACAACAACAGACTTGCCACCACCAAACTCATCAGGTGTTATGTTTAAACTCTAGTATGAATTTAACATCAAATGAAAGCTAAGCATAGCAAATAATAAGTGCAAGCAAAAACAGTGAAAGCAACTAAACTTTAAGTGTAGTGTCTCAATTGTGAATTCTAGATTTCTGTGCTCTGCTGCACAAAGTTTTTATAGGACAATCAAGTTACTAAAGAAAGTATTTTGAAGCGAATTCAAAGCATATTTCGGGCAATTTGAGCACTTGTTTACTCATTGATCATCACCACAAAATAGGGAAAATTTTGAATTCTGTTCATTGTTTTGGGAAACACCTTTAGGGGTGTACTAGAAATTCAGAGAAAGAGCTTTAATCAATAATACTTCAATTTGTAACCATATTGATCTAAAAATTTGACCAACACAAGCCCTTGGAGGGAACATTGTTGGCATGTTACTTATTATTCTAATTTATTCAAAGTTTGATATGTTTGCCCCTCAGGGACTCCTGGAGGACACCAACTTGCTTTTTGCAAGATTTTGCTGTGTATGTGCCCACTCTTAATTTCACATCACAACCAGAAAATTACAAAACCTCAAGATCTAGGCTTTCATATGATATTAGTTTCATTAGACTTGATTAGAAATTGTGTTTATGAAAAAGAAAACTTCACTGTATTTGTATGCACTTTTCATGTTGCAATATACCACTACATCTTAGCTTTCATTTGATGTAAGTTTCATGACAGGCTACAAATAACGTCTGGGTCAAATTGCCACCAGTGGTGATTTAACTCTCAGTGGTGGCAGATTGACCGAAAACCCCTAGAACATGTACACTGTATGTGAACATATCTACAGTGTTTATAATAGTTAGGTATCAAACAAAAATTATTGATTCTAGAATGTACATGTATGTGTGCTTCTCACATGCATACCAAATTCAAGTGCAAGGGAGAGACTAAAAATAAATAGTAGACTAATCTACAATCATGTTCACCTCGATTGCTTGCATTAGCTCTTGATTATCTCCATTTTCCTTTCCCACCACACAGAGTCGTGTTTCCATGGCGGAGCTGGAACTATTGCTTTCTAAAAATTGATAGTTAACCATAAATTTTTCATGTGCTGACCAAAAACTAACGGTTGGGTAGGTGATCAGATATTATGAAACTTACTCACGATCAAAGTTTGAGACGAAATTGTTCATCTCTTCGGCGTACCTTAAAAACGATGGATTTAGCTGCAAATTTCATAGTTTTGTCAAAAGGAGAAAAAAAGTACGAGTTTTCATTTGATAAATAACTGTGGTAATTCTGACTCAAAAGAAGGCAACACAATATTTATAATTCTTGAGTCAAATGTGTGTAAATCAAGACAGTTGCAATTGTGATAAAAAGGAATTTGCTAACTGTATGTGATAAGACTTTGAACTGTATTACCCTCATCATGAGTTCATAATGATAACTTCCTTGATGAAAACAAAACTTGTACACATGATCAACAGTAAACATAGACATAACCTTTCACAATGCGACAGATCTAGATCTTAAAGCTCACCTCCACGCGAAGAATTCTGATGATCAGAGGCGTCCAGATTGCCTGAATTATCAGCATCCATCTCACCAACAAGACGCTGTACGCGCAAAATACTCTTTTACGTGTAATTCCAAACGACTAATTCGAAATAAAAAAGAAAACGATACGATTTTCTGCAAACGATCAGCCCGTCCGAAATCTTAAGAAATATTTAGTTTCAAAAATGGCGGTTGTACAACCGTTGAATAGATGATTTCCAAATTTGGAAGTTTGAGTCGTAAAGACGTCGAACGAAAAGTGCCAGTCAGCGGTACACTAAAGAACACATATATACTTTATGTCTAACAGAACGAAGAGTCGAGATTTTGTCCAGTGGTGAAAAAGATAAAATATATGTTGCCTCTCTCTCTCTACTCCCAACTTGCTGGAAGTTGCATCTGTGGCGAGCACGAAATTCATCGAAAATGTTAGTTGTTTCCTTCTCATCACCAGCGCTGTTCCCACTCCGCAATGTTGTTAGCTTTGTCACTAGTATCCAGTTTACCCCCGTTCCAGACAGGAGCGGGAAGAGTAAGAAGGGCTGTGAGACTATAAATAGTTATCTACGCCCTCTTTCTTTGGCGACAGATATAATAAACAATAAGCAGAACTTCGGAGAAACCACCCTAACACCACGCATAATTGTTTGTTTTCTGTTGTTTTGCAATTCGTGGATTGAAATCAAATCCTTGCAGTTCACTCTGGAAACATGAGTAAAGGGGGTAAGTTTCTGAAAAAACTTTGGTGCTGCGTAGGTGAGAGAGTATAACAGGATAGTTTAGTATATCAATTGAGTTGATAACGTAAATTGACCACCGTAAAGATTTTGAAAACTCAAGTTTCGAGCGTTAGCCCTTCTTCAAAGCGAGGGCCCTTCGTTTTTCGCTCCGACGAAGGGCTAACGCTCGAAACGTTACTGCTTTTAAACTCTTCATGGTGGCCAATTTACGTTATCAACTCCGTTGATCGTACTAAATTACCCTGTTATCACTCTGGATACAGGCACGTGTAAGTTTACCCGCAACGTGTAATCCCTGCATCATCAGCTCTGGCGCACGTGTCCGCGTAGTTATAAGCAACAGCATGATATCAACACTCAGAACCCACGATGTGCATTTATTGCACAGACACTTTATATTTAGGAGATCTCCTGTTCTGCACAGGTTGCGGGGGAAAAACCACAATTTTTCCCTGTATGCTCGTACGATGATTTCTCCTTAATCGTCTCATCGACAACTCATCGACAAAACAGCGGCTCAAACCTTGTGGTTTGAAATCTTTGTAGCGGTTGAAGCCATATGCTAGCCTGGTTGAACTAAATGCCACAGCAGTCTTCTACAAATAAACAAACTCAAAGACCCTGTCTGCGTTCGTACATACCAGGTGTAAGAGACCACAGTCTCCCAGTCAGTTGTTGACCAATTAATGTTTGGTTAATCAATATTTTCACAAACATTGACTTTGTTTAATATACGATATGCCGACACCTGACTCGGAGAAATTATCAACAGAAATTTCAAAAAATGACCCAAACACTCAAGAAAAGAACACAAATAAACATTTAAGAATATCTAAAGAATGAGTCGATGATGTGATCAATGTTTTGATCTGCATTTCCATTTCCGGCACGTTTTTACGACCACAGAACATTTTTATCAAGTAAACTTTGATATCACAACTTTCCGAATTTATGTTAACTTAGTAATGCGAGGAGTTTAGTCACTTCTGCTCTTGTTAAGCTATTGACTGATGGTGTACCGTTTTCGTCTTTCAGTACAATTCCTAATTTTGATTTCAACCGTTTTTTACCTCGTTTATTGCGCACACCCAGCATGCTGTTGACGTATATCGTGTTTCAAAAGTACCCACAGCTAGTTTGGAGGTAAGAGATCAGATTTGGGTCAAAGTTTCTGAAGTGTTTTTTTTTTTTTATGCTTTCGTGTTTCCGTGACTCGGTGTTAAGCGTCGGTGAGAACAAATATTCTTTTGTTTGGTCTGTTTATTTGGTAGCCTTTAACAAGCACTGAGTGAGGAAAAGAAAAACATCTTGACCACGGTTAGCTGCGCGTTTTGAAATTTAATTGATCTCAATTAAAAGAAATTTCTAGTCAAGTTTAGAGTGAATCGAAACAAACAGTAGCAAATAATATATCTCGGTTAATGAAAATCTTTTGTTGTATATCCATGAAGATTCCCTGTTTTAAGAAATGTTAGACTCCGCTGAACGTTAAAGCCTGTAAAAAAAACTATGCTCTCTGTTTAGGGCCACACGTTATATTGAAAAGTTTGTGGTTGATTCTGTTTTCTTTTATTCGGTAAACTGTTAAAGAAAATACTGATTTAATTGAAAATTGTTAATCAGTACGCAAACCAATTTAACTCATTAGCTATTTCAACGTTTCTAGTATTACAGGAGACTATGGGGTGAAAGATTTTCATTAAAATCTTGGCCTTGCGCCCAAAAATATAACGTTTCAATGAAATGAAAACCAAAACAATCTTTTTAATTGCCCGAGGCTTTGTAAAAATAGTAAATAAATCAACACTCCATGGTCGGCTGTTTACGAGATCAAAGAACTGCTTCGCATCACGTTTTGGCCAGAAAGTTCTCTGAAGAAGCTTCGGTGAAGCTGCTTCAGACAACTTTACTTTAATTTAAAGTATTTGCTGAAAAGAGGTTTAAATAACACAAGATTTGCTTTGCTTTGTTGGTCTTAATAAAATCATTTCCATTTTTAACCTTTTTTGTTGCGTCTTATTTTTGGACCAAGCATTTATCGGCTTGTGACTGAAAACAACAGGTGTTCGGTCTCAAAGCATAAGCCACACACTAAACCATTTAATTCAAACATTCGATTCTGCTCTCTAAAAATTTCGCTTCTACGAGATTTAGCCATTTTTTCAGATGGTTATCAAGGGGTCTTTCGCAATCCAATTGCTTCGACAAATGGATAAAGGGAGTTGTTTATCTTGTATTTTTGCAATGATTAAATCAGTCAAGTCGTGCTTACAGCCCGCTAAGGAAAAAATATGAACGGGATCATTGTTCTCTATTCAATAAAATTGCAAAATCGAATTGATATGTTTGTAAGTTTTGTTAAATGAACATTGTACTTCTAATCAGTTACGCACGGGCGACAGGATGAAGTTCAGTAGTTTACTAATTATCTGTTGATTACTTTAGTCATAAAATTTATGAATAATTTCTTCTTGAACCGACAGCGACGCAAAATTTTTTTTTCAAACTGTGACAATATCAGTAGCAATAGTCCTACTAAACTCTAAGGGTCATCGAAATAACGAAACTGGAAAAAGGAATTATGTAAGCTTAAAATAGGCCTTTGCTTTTCCCACGTAATTTTAGTTGATTCACCGCGCAATTTCAACGAAGGCTCTATCATTTGATATCGTAACGCCGTAAGAATATCTCTCCGGAGACAGATTAAAAAGGGCGAGGGTTATAGTAGGTGTAAGTTGACTCAAGAGTGCTGAAAAGTAAAGAGCGGAAAACTGACATAGATAAGAACAGCATGCTTCTGTTTTTTTCACTTAGGCCCGATTATTTCACATTAAAAAAAATATACGATCATGATTAGAGTTCGAACACGCAAAATTGTTGAAAACTGTAATTTAGCCATTTAGGCAGGAGATGGAAGTACTCGCTGAAGGTGTTCATTACTTGCTCATTTCTTACAACGAGAAATCAATCTGTTTGAATCCGTTATGAACCTTAGACCGCTACCGAGACGTGACAAAATTTTAATGAACACGCTGGATTCGGTTATTCATCCTCTCTTAATATAATCTGATTGACTTCCCGAGCACTCTAAAAACGAGGAACCGCTAGAATCCCATAGCGAATATTTATCAAGTGATCTTAAGGAAAGAAAATTTTTTCAAAATCATTCGAGATCCATTTGGAAACGTGACTGTGAAACATCGGGTGGCTTATTTTTTTTCAACCCAGGAAACTTTCCGCATAACCCACGCAAAACGTGTTATCCTTTCAATCTTTTCTTTAAAATTGCGAAATCAGGAATATGCGTAAGTTCCGGGTATAAACTCCGGAATTCATACTCTAATTTGTTCAAGTTTATCGACATAACATAACTCGAACTTTTTAACTACCGTTTGTCAATTCCATTAATATTAAGAGACCTAAAACTTCCAAAAAAGGCAATGATTACATATGCACATGCACAAAAATTCTCTCTTAATAATTAAGCTTTTATATCGCAACAGAACGTGAAAAATCTACATGTTCTTAAGTTTTGCATACTTCTTTCCCACAACAGCAATATTTCTGGTCGTTGAAATAGCCTCTTGTCTTTAGGCTTTCACGTACTATACTATGATCAAAATGTCTCATTATGACTATGGTATCAATAAAACAAACTATCTATGGAGTCCTTAACTTTTGAGAGGTATAAAAATACCACTTTTTCAAGTTAAACCTGAAGAGCACTCGTCCAGCTCAAAAGAGCGAGGGGAGAAACTTTTCAGGAAGAAAAGCAGAGCGCTCTCTCGCCAAAATGCGAGAGCACTGATTGCTAGTACCGAGCAAGACTTGCGCCAATGATTCGGGCCTATTTTTAAGACATTGTAACTGTATATACTCGTTTTCCTGAGGACAAATCGCACTCTCAGTGAGCCATATTTATCGTCTCTTGATCTTGAGAAGAATGTCTGCTCAGGAATTTCAGAGCAACGGCTACATCTGTACTGGAACTTCATAGCCACTATTAGCTAGTAGACTGACCGTCTGTGGCTAAATTTGTTTCGAAACTTCGCATCACGGAAGGACGTTGGAGTCAGTGAGCCCGCCCTAATCACTTCCTTAACCAGTTTTAAAACCCTACATCATCGACCTCCCAGCGAAAAGCTTCTTTTAGAGAAATAAACCAGCTTTTCAGGGGATAAGAAAGTGCCTTACTGTATAGCTTTTTCAGAGTTAATCCAAAAAATTAAACTGTTTTTTACCAATAAACTTGAGACTTTGGCTTAGGTTATGAGGCTGATAAAGAAAATTTTTGTTATTGAAAAGTAATAACTATTTCTCTGACGAAGACACTGTACCTTGTCAATAATTTGTAGCGGAAAGGGTTAAATTAGAACGTTCATCACTCTCTAAATAAACTGACATCGCAAGGAAACGAAAGTTTATGTAAGCCGTCACACTTTGAAAATCTTTTAATTAGTAAGTATCCTGATTGTGCAAACAGCGAAAATTTATACAAATGTCCAGCCAGGGGTGACATTGAAAGTAAATGTAACCACGCAGCGATGACAGAGAAAAGCTATGTTCATAAAGGTTCTTATGAAAATATAAACGATTAGAACTGTTAGTTTTATCTATGTCTTTTTTAATAACACAGTTTATCAGCTGGAACTATCGTGATGTCTTGATTACGTTCTGTAGGTTGCATGTTCGGTCACATTCATCATCGCCCCCTGCCTACGCGGAAATTTTACTCATCCGTACACACCGGAAGCGCTAAAGGGGAGGTGTGGCGCCAATGAATTGCTCCTCTTTTGTCAAACAAGACGGAAAACGTTTCTTTGAAGGATTAAAAGTGTTAATGGTCCGTTCAAAGTAGAAACATACCGCGTTTAGGTTCTTTAGCACGGGAGGGAAAACGCGCAATAGCGGGCGCGTTTCTGTCACCTGAGAAATCCGGCAAATCAAAGCGGTGCATTTGTGTAGCGAAAAGTTTTCATAAGTAAATTAGCAGTTTAGTGTGACTTTTATTATCACGTTTTTTTCATGTTGTGTCTGGATTTTCTCACGGTCAAAGATTGAATTATGATGAGGTAAGCGTCGCTTTTGGCAAGGTTCTCAGGTGTTGTCTGTAGGTGCAACTGAGAAGTATTAATTTTCGAATGTACTGGAACAACTGATTTGACAAATCCTTACTCGTGCGGTTCACCAGGTCACTTTTAATAAGAGATAGGCAATCGCAGCTGATGACAGACTGAAGATTTCAAAAGAGAAAAACCTGATAAATCGTGTTGGGAAAAAATGAGTGTTACGAGTATTAACAATATGAAAAAAATCAGCTCTTAGCAAGCTCATAATAAGCATCCAATGGTACCATAAGTGTAGATACTGATTAAAAACCGGCTTTTCCGTTCGTTTGCTCAAAATTTTTATTCTCTCTCAATTGTCTGCCAAACGATTTGTCTTAGCGTGCGAGTATAAGTGAATGTGACTTTCCAGTGTTCCCCATGTACTGCATTGCTGTGATACGTAAACGGGGTCCAAAATCATGTTTCGCAAGAGAATCAAACGTTCTAAATTGCCTTTACGATTCCCCTAGGCATGATATCGAAATTTTGTCATTTGGGGAAGCTGCAACAAACTTTTTCCACAATGAACGCATCTTGATGAATTCATTTTCAGTTTTTCTGCCAAGGTCGTTTTATGTGTACCTCCTGTGTTACGAATATTTACACGATTTCGCAAATGAAAGTAGACTGACGATTTAGCAAGCCGGCGGAAGTCAATTTGTGTAGAGCTGGAGCTTAATAATTCTTCAATTGTGTCTAACAATAATTGTATCACTGCCTCTACGCCGAAACTTCAAAGAAAACGCCCCATAGTTTTAAGAACAACTACAATGAGTTAAACCCCGGGATCACAGTTTTCTGTAAGGCTCATAATTTGGTTATAGAAAGATAATTTGAGGGTTACAGAAGACCACACTGATACACATAAAGTTCACAGCAAGAGCTTAGGTTTTCATGCATTATACAAAACAAGAGCTGGATCTGGTTACGAAGGACGAAAACCCCATTTGTTTGTCTAGACATTTCAGCGGGATGGACTATAACAAGGACTTAACAAGCAGACTATTTTTACCCTCTTCAATCAGCTTTTCTTTTCTTATGCAAAATGTGACGGCGTGTTGATCAGTTGCCAATGAGTTCTCGCCGCTTACTAGAAGTTATTGAAGCCTACCGTCGTCGAAATATCAAAGACAAACACCATTCTACTATTTGTTAATAAAATACTTTATTGTGTGACGTTTCACCAGGAAACACATCGGTAAGAATATTATGAAATATCACTGCTCTGATTTAGAGAACAAAAATAAAGGTAATTTGTTTACTGGTTGCAAAGGGGTCTTCACGCCTACATCAGCTGCAAACCAAATGAATAATTCTGGCGGCGTAAAACACAGAAAAGTAAACATTCTTGCCATCGCGCCGCTCAATTTTAATCTTCAAATTTGCTCACCACAGACGGAGAGTGTGTGTGTGGCTTAACACCAAGAAGGAAATGCAAACAAAAACACTTTTATAGAAGTCTTTCTGATCTACACTTCGTATGGCCCCTTCCTGAGCAATTTACCGCTCTTCTCGCGTATCGAAACGGAGCGTTATTCCTTAGACATGAATTCCCCTTTCGGTTTGTTTTTTTATATATATATATATATATATCTAAAATATAGCTTAACTATCAAAATGAAAACTGATATTTACACTAAAGTGAAGTCAAAATGTGTTGCTACGCTTATCAATCTAAGGTCTTTTGCGTTGTACTAAAAAAAAATACAAACAATTTCACAAACGCGCGTGGAAAGCCGTATAAAGCTATGCAATGAACCCGCATTAAATACTGTATCTAAAAAATTAGATCCTTTCGTAGCAAAAATAATCAAGTTTTTGGATACAAGAAAGCTACCCTAATTACCAAAATTATGCCGTATGCTGCTTAATGAACCATAACAATTTTGTCAAACACAGAAAGCCAGCATTGATGTGTAAACCGATCTTGAATCTCGCCCGAGTTGTGGAGAGACTAGCTAAGATTACACCTAGCGTGCCTAATGCCTACCAAGTGCTGATTTTTATGCGGATAAAATGATAGAGTTCAAGTCTCGCTCACGATTAATCAGGGTTGATGTTTTGTCATTCTCTAAGAACAAAAGTCGATCTCGTGGGTGGAGTTGGAAACGTATCCAATTTTTTCACACGATACTCGGATACGACGCAAAATCAAAACGCCAAATGAGTAACGACAGCTAACTATTGAAAGCTGAAAAAAGCAATTTTGCGGAGACGCAAACATTTGACGCTATTATGAAAACCCGTATTAATCTCTAACTCTTATTTACAAGCAATTAAATCAAAAAACTATTATACTCTCACCGCAAAAAATTATACCGACTTTCAATTGTGTTTTCCTCTAGAACAATACGATAAAGCCTTCCTATTTCGACTCTAAAGCCGAACTTTGTAGTTTCGTTGCGAAACAAGTTCTCTTATAGAAGTAAGTTACAATCTTAATCTTAATATTTACGCGTATGAAGATGTAAAAAAGGGAAGTGGTTTGATCGCTAACGAGCGCCTTGTACTTACTTTTCACTCCGTTGAGAATATTCTAATGTCATTGAAAAATCCTTTCTATAAAAACTATTACGTTGCGCTTTAATGAAATCTCAACAAGCTCAAAGCCAAGTCAAGGTCGGCGATATTAGCACGGATTCCATATCGTTTAAGATCTCCGAATTGAACTCCAGTCCAACCCCAAGATCTTCAGTTTCCATGTTGGTGGAATTATCTGTTCCTTCCATCACACCTAAGTCGACATTAGTGCCAGGCAGGCTATCGAGGATCTCGGGTATCCTAGGATCGGCGCGAAAAGAAGTGTCCTTCGAGTTGTAATTCGCGTCAAACATCGGTTGCGAATCGTTCATATCGACGTCGTGGAACTGGTAATTACCACCTCCCATTCCGAGCCCAGAATCAAATGATTCGTCTCTGATATGTCCTCCGTTCGTTACAGGGGGATCTTGCGCGCTAAATTCTCGCGTCAAGTTTCCGAGCAGCGACGGTTTCCCACCTTCCTCTAGAATATCACGTTTCAATTTGATCTCTTGCTTCAAGAGTTCCTGCTGCCGTTTCAAAAGTTGCTCACGCTCTCTCTGGAGACGATGAAGCTGAAGGGTTCGATGGCCTTGGCGATTAAAATCCGGAGGCAAGGTCGAACGCATATTCTCCTGATTTCTACAGTGCATCGCGAGTCGCGGGTCGATCCAGCTGGTTGTCCTTTCGATGTGGTTGATATAGTAAATATCACCTTCTGGTGTTATCGCCTGTTCCCATCCATCGGGCAAATTGCCGACAGGCTGTACGCTGTTCAGATTTGAAGTTGACTGTGTTTTTCTTGGGTCTTGCCATGTTGTTAGCTGTTCGAAGTGACTGCGAGAGAGAACAAAAGCGTGATTAGTTTCACTATAGTTGAAACAGCGTATTTACTGTGTTACATCCGATTTTGGCTACCCGCCATATTGAGCACCAAAGACACGTACATATATAAGGAAACAGGTTTAGTTAATGGTTTTAAGAAACACAATAAAAACCCGAATTCAATGAAATTTTATGCTAGAGAATCATTATGTCTTCATGAGACCGTTAACACTTCCAGCGTAGTAAAATTATTGTACGGAATTTACTATTCTTGACTTTGTGTGGCGTGCGTGCGTTTTAATATTTAAATGTCGTAATTTAACTGAAGTTGTGTTAAGACATTTACAATTCATTAAACCACTGGCATTAAGGGATGCTAACACATTTTCGTCTTACTTCATGAAGTATCTTTGGCCACTCGCCGTCGTTCTCATTTCCCACCCAGGCGGCATAGGAGTAGGCTCCTCAAGCAACGCTGTGTTATCGAAAGAGGTTGATCTTTGATGGTGAACGCCAGGACTCAAGGAGTGGTTTGGCGGGCCTTTCAGAGTCGTAGGAACTGTGAGCGACGCTGGCGATGAACGCGAGTGCGAATGAGAGATTGGAAGCCTTTTTGGGACGTCCTGATCGGGTGATAAGCTACCGTCGATTGGAGGTTGCTTAAAAAACGACGGAGGAAGCTTTCTTAATCGCATTGGTAATGATTGTGACGACGATGCTGGCTCAGGATGCGTCTTCGCCACTGAGTTCTTGCTGATGACATGGAAAAGCGCCTCTAGGTCGTTATCAGAATCTTGCCTCACGTGCACCACACAATTATTGTTCTTTCTTTCCATTGCCAGTGTTGTTGATTGCCTAACGTGGTGTGCTCAGTACAGAATGCCTTTGACACATCAAATAGTGATGGGCTAGCGCCGTAACAACTCAGAACTGTTATGAAGCTCTCTAAGGTCAGTATCGGGAAATATATACACATATATTACGGGCTATTATTTCCACTCATCGCGGGGGGCCTGGTTTTCGGGTGGGACGTGACGTAATGATTAGCCCCGAGATTTGGTCGTCATACCAACTGTATGAACAAACCAATCAGTTGGCGTATTTGGACAAACAATAGTTCATTGATAAAAGGCGCCATTGTGCAGTTCTATTTTTGCGAGCTACGTAACAGTTGTCGTTAGGAAGCGAGATTTAAAGCGTGGGTTTTCTCTATGGTGCAAAATCATCGAGTTTTCTGGGGCTTTCCAGAAAGGAGTTTATGACGGAATAGAAATACTGTGGTCACGCGCACGGTACGCAGCTGAAAATGCCGGCAAAAGCTTCGAGAGACCTTTGAAACGTGAATACTCCGCGGGGACCAAAATACACGATACAATGACAATTACATGTAAACAAGACTTACTTGATATGCAGCTGTGTGATAAATATCGAGCTGTATGTTTGTGTAAGTCTGTTTTGCAATGTGGCAAAGTTTGGGACAGAAACGAGAAAAGGGACGGAAATTTGGTCAGTCTGTGCGGTAATGGTGACGGATAGTTTCGTGTTATGTGGGGTTTCCGTGTACTTCTTCCATCCCTGTTTCTGCTGACTGGGACATCACGTAGCACTGAAATTCTGGGGGGGTGATGGTGTGCTAACGGCTATCACATTTTTTGTCTTGCTTTCTCCATTCTTGCTGATTTGTCAGAAATTCAGCCTTTTAAATCCGTCTCCAACATCTTCCGTTGTCAATGTTTCCTTCTTTGTTGGTTATTTTTCGTTTTTGCATCTCCAGAGATCACTTCTTTACCCACGAGTATTCAATACTCCCTCCCCCTGTGAGAGAAGACGCCACTCGTCTCAGGTTTACAATAAGTGACACTCAGCTTTGTTACTGACAGCTCAGCGCACCGGAAGTCGCATTGTTTCTTAACAAAAACATAGGAGGGCCGTCTGCGTTTGAAACCCGAAACTGTGATTACACAGCTCAAAAGATTTTGGCTAAAGTTTTATTGGCTCGATGGTTTCTTTCAATTTCCCATAACACTGACCGCTTGATAAGACATTTGTTGATAACGGGATGGAGATTTTGGCGATAACCCCGAGTTCAGAGGGTCGAAGTTTCTTTTTTCCAGCCGCAGGCTACTACGATCTTGATAACAACAACCTTAATATCTCGCCGTCGATTTACCCGCCTGATTGCTTCTTCTGAGATGTTAAACGCCTTGTGGGCATATTAAAAAAATCGTAGCAAATCTGCCAGAGCAGGCACACGTTCACTACGAAGCAGATCTTTTTGTAACTCAATTCTCAATTCTTGCGATAGACAAGTGGGTGGTCGAGCGTCGTGTCAATTTATTGAGGAACAATGTGCCTTTGGAAAAACACGCAAATTTGCTCGCGACAGTGCGCCCTAACAAGCAACATCACGCGATCTTGAAGGAAGCTTCAGTCGCCTGACCGCTCCGCGAATTTATTCTCCAGTGAGTCAATTTACCTCTAATCCTTTTTCCACATCCGCGATTATTGCTAATTTTGCACGCAGAGCCGCCAATTGAAATCCTTGTTGTTTTCCACGTAAGGAGGAGATATAATGCACAAACCCCTACTGTTTCAAATAAATGTGCAGTTATGTGGCTTACGCATGGAAGGACAGTGTGTAAGCCAGTTTGCAGCAATGATTTGACATCTGCGACAACATCTAAATTGATAGGTTTCTCTTATGTGTTTCAAGGATTTCCTGAGGGCAAATTTATGACCCATAAATTTTTTACGCAATGATGCAAAGAAGGCCTTGAGAGTATTACTTTCATCAACTATAAGACTTTGTTTGACGGAGCCCTTCTCTTCTGTGTCATAGTGATTAGTCAATTTCAGGAAATTGAACTGTTCTTGTACGAAAGGTGCAATACGCATAGTTTGATTGATTGCTCACTCAAAATCGAACAATTAAACAGTTTTCTAATAAATCAGTATATGAGAACGTTCCTTTTTTTTCCAGACGCGAAGAAATCAGTAGCTGGAACTCATCAACGGAAAAGACGATCGAGGTTGTTCGACAGATAAAAAGATACTAACAAAACGCCAATCGAAGCGTGAAAATCTGGCTATTTCTGTCAGGCTTCTGTTTCTGTCAACTCTGCCAGCTAAAACTTAGCTAAGAAGTCAACAATTTTATTCAGCCTTTACTGAAAGAAGTGGGAACATATTTAGATCTGGAATCCTAGTTTCTTTGCACACTGAGAAGGGGATAATTGTGAAGCTCTCCTTTCGTTCGACAGAGCCGAGATGGCTTGCAAGTGTTGTTATAGCAACCTTATTATATTCCCACGATCCCGCGAAAACCTTAAATCTTTTAACAATACTCATGAACCAACAGTAATTGTCCAACTGTCACGAACAGGAGCTGTAGGAACAAAGGCAGGCTTCTATACTTCTAAATGTCTTGAAGGTTGTAATAGATTATATAACCTAATATTTGAGGACTCATCAAACAGACATCACCAGCATTCGTTTTCCGCTTAAGACTTCAAATTTCGCAAGTGTGGTCGTCAAATTTTCAGTTTCTGTGATTTCTTAGCTCTTCATTTCTTCTTATCGACAAACCTGCTTTGTTTCGACAGGAGTTGATTATCTATAATATGTCTCGTCTGTCAAGTGTCGGTTTTTGATGCCGGGTAAGAATCAAAGATCGGGAGAGGCATCTTGGCAGGGAATTGTGTTCAATTATCAGTTTTTGGTATCTGGCCAAACTTCAAGTTAATGATCTCGCCGAGTCTAAATGCGTCGTTGCAAACAAATATTGCGTTGGCAAACTCAATATGGCAAGGTTAAAGGTCACTCATAACATTAGTACACAAAGGAAAGCATTTGGGATCCCACACGGACAGCAACACTGAGGAGAAAAAGTTAAATGACTCAACGAGAACCAACTTTCTTCCATTCGTTTCCTTTTTGCGACGAAAACTGATTGATTACGCAAAGCAAGGAGCTTAAAAAAAACAAGCTGTGTTAACGTCCCTGGCAGCTTACAGTATTTTGTTGAGAGCCAACGCGTGATAAGCACTTCTCAAAGAAAACTTATATCACATCTGATATACGGATCCAGACAAACCTGCTTACTAACCAACCAAACAGGCCTCTTCACCGATACTAAGTCCTCATCTAACAAAAAACGAATTGTTGTTATTTTTGGCCAGGAAAATATTGAATCATGTACGGCTGTTGCATTCAAAGTAAAGTGAATTTCGAAATCTTCATTTCACGTGCAAGCTCATTCTCCAGGTGCTGATAACTCGTTTCAAATCAGTATAGCATCTGTATAGCACGTTTTTACGCCGAAAAATGTTTCCTCAGCTCAGTGAAGATACCAGTTCTGAAATTATGTAACGAATGTTTCCATAAACAAATAAGATATGAGACCAGGCGTTATTTACGGAACGGAAAAGGAAAAAAAAACAGCTCACAACTTTTTCGCTGCCCTGTAGCAATTCAGGAAAAAACGATTCTCAAAACATGTTTCCGATGTATTGTGACTCGTGTGAATCCTTTTATTTTCGACTTTCCGTAAAAATCTTTTACTCTTCCTGTAAAAACAGCACAGAATCTCTCATTTGCAGAACATCATGACCTGTTATCAAACGAGGCAAGGCTTTAATTTTGAAAAGTGCGAACCTTCTCATATGATATGACCCATGAAGAAGTTAAGAGCGCACAGTCGGTGTTCAACTCTTTCAAGAGATTTGTTCTAGCGGGTTTTTAAGTTGCGGGTGTACAATGAAAAAGTCAGTTTTTGCGACCGACTAAATAAATCCAGTTTGATGGAAAGACAGGAAAATAGTCACTTTTAATCCTAGGTTTATTTAAATCTTTCAATTCCTTTGGCAATCAAGGCCTATTCGTATCGAAAAAGCCCACTGTTATGATTCTTCGGTAATGAGCTGTTGCAGGCACCTTGCTGATTATAAAACATTTTTTTTAAAGCCTAACCATTTTAATAGGTCACACCCCAACGAAGAAAAACCTAAGTCCAGAATTAATTTACAACTTAGGAACATCGGCTGATTGCTCGAGTAAGACTCTTGATTTAAGAAATCTGAAAACTTTAATCGCACCGTTCCGTTAAAATACAAAGCTGAATTATAAAACAAATGAAGGCGTATATGTGTCCGAACAGATTTTGACAACAGCTGGCCTTTTGATCGAGAAAAAAAGAGTTCGTTGCGGTTTCGTCTTGTATTTTGATAACCTACAGGAAACATAAACCAAATTATTGAATTATTTTGACCTTTGATAACATCGAAAGGAGGCTTGTTTAGGGATTGGGAGGGGGTAATTACACAGCTCTTTTCCCCGCAAACATTAACACCACTGAGTTCTAAAATATACACTCGCAAACACACGCAAACACCCGTGATTCAAACTAGAAGATCACAATTGGGTTAACATTTAGCCTTTACGCGAAAAAATTGACAAATTTTAACCGTTAATAGTAAAAAAAAATTAACCGTAAAAATTGTTCTTGTGACCACAATGGTAAGATATTAGCTGTTAGCGGTAAATTGCCCAAAATTTTAACCGCTAACCGTAAAAGCCATCACCTCGAGACCCTGAATTACAATCCCTAACCCTGAATAAGCATTGGAAACTTCGTTATAATACCCTTCGTTATATATACCCTTTCTGGCCGACTTCTATTCTGAGTTCTATTCCAAATCTTTTAAATGGAAAGGTTGCCCATTTTAAGAACTTGAACTTAACTTAACTTGGACGCAGGAGTTCAATTTTTTTTTTCTCAAAATCTCATGCTGGCCATAATCGGCTGAAAAACATAAGTTTCTTCACGTGACTGAATGATATGATCGGTATTACGTCCGATTGTGCAACACGGGAAGTATTTCATTAAAATCACTCTACTGTTATCTTAAGTTTACGCATGAGTGTCTGCACGTTTCGTCATTTAAGCACTTGAAATATCACGCGAGCGTGTCAGGAGACCATTAAATTATTCAGTAATCGCACGTTTTGTCATGTTACTGACGTACTATTTATTACGTTATTTGGGAAAAGACGCGTACAATTCACCTAATTTGGACGTCTGACAAAAATTTATGTAAAAGTTCTCGTAACTTTTCGAAGAATCTTGATAAAATGCGATGATCTCATACTGAAAGAATTTAAAAAATGATTATAATACAGTTTAAAGTTTATGCGTTTTATTAGTTTAGACTACGCAACGCGAAAGAAATTTTAGCTATAGTTAGCTATCAAGAAACTCTAAGAGGATCGAATGAAATTTTAAACTACTTCATTTTTCTCATATCTTCCTAAATTTTTTTTAACAACCGTAAAGAGTTTAAAAGCTAACGTTCATAGTTCGAGCGTTAGCCCCTCGTCTATCGCTCTGACGAAGGATTAACGCTCGAAACGTTAGCTTTCAAATTCTTTACGGTATCAACTCAATTGAGAAAATACTTCGACATGGGGCTACGATCCTTCAGTTGTTATAGGATTTTTTTCTTATATTGAAAAAAATAAGAAAAAAAAGCCGGGCTTTTTTCCGGCCAACAATCTCAGCGGAGATGGTAAATATGACGCCAGTTTTGGTTTACCTAGAACAAATTAAGACCGGAGATGTGTGCTTTCTGTTAAACATAGACCTGATACCATGATGGTATAAAATGTTGCATGATCTGTATGTCTTAGCAAACAACTAACACTGATGTCTTCTGCCAAAATTTCTCAGGCAATGGAACACAAATCCTTTGCCATGCAACTTGAAACGTGGAGCTCAAACCAGCTGAAGATCAGATTCCTTTTTTGATGCAGCCTGTAAAAATAAACGTCTCTTTCGGGAGTATCTTTTCGGAACGAAGAGCCCGCTAAACATGTTCATTATAAGATCTTCAAAGTCTCGATATTCATAATTATACGTTCAAAACTTTAGGTAGGTCAGTTTTTTAGCTTTTTTCATGGAGAAAAACAAAGTACTTACGAAAATGTAACTGTTTTCTGAGCCGGAAGGAAGATACCACAGCAACCCCTGGGTAAAGAAGGCTGAGCTGCACGGAATGACAAGTGGTGAAGCTAAGGACAGTAAGAAGATGGTTTAGTAAAGAGGTGAGCTTGCTGAGTTCACACGGAAACACATTTTTTGCCCAGAGTTTTACGTCTGCTTCTATTTTTTAAGGAGTCTACAGATCAGATCAGATAGAATTTGACTGCTTCGCGTCTGGAACAGAGAGTATCTTTACAGGGGAGAGGTACTCCCTTATAGTAATAGGCTAGTGTAGATGTGCTGCTGGTGTTGCTTCTAGTAAGTAGGGATTTAAAATTCTCGGTTATAGGGTGGGTACTGTATTACCAAATGTGATTAAGATTGGGTCTGTAATTGGCCACAGAATGTACCATGATGGTTAGGGGTGCTGAGAGGCTAACGGCACATATCATGCAAAATTGACCTAAGTACTCCCCCTAATATTTCAAGACCGAAAAGTCTACAAGGCATGAACTATATGTGCAGACTTCTATATATGCTTCACATGGCTCGACAAGGTCGCTATCCCACATTCTTGATGCTTGAACAAGGTATCGTAATGAAAGGATTTTCTTTGAGTGTTGACTTAATTTGGTTTGTTTGAAAGAAATCTCCCCATGTGAAGCACTCACTGTAATTCGTTATTCTAGAGAGTTGCTTGTCTTGATCATATTCAAGAAAGAGAACAATTTGGGTAGGAATAGTAGGAACAGGTTTTTGAATGTCCTTCCTTGACTGAAGAGATGTCAGCTTGCAATGCCCTCTGAGTAACTTCTTGGGGCAGCGGGGGGGGGGGGGGGCCGGTTAAAGTTCGAGAGACCCTGGGAAAGAGGTTGGGCTGTCATGCACGAGTAAACAACCAAAATGGCGGACGAAGAAGAACGGTTCACCTTCCAGTTTGTCCCAAACAAAACTTTTCCAGGTTTTGAGTCCTCTGACGTTAAAGAACACTTCTTGAAATGGTAAAAACGCTAGTGCACGATATAAAGACTATTTTGCATTGTTTATTTGTCTCAAAATAATGGCGCCAGAGAACTTCGTTTTTTTAAGACCATTCATAATTTCATCTATCTCGTTTTTCAGGGGAATGATATTGAGAACTACAGTTCAAATGTTTTCCTATGATCAGTTATTCCAAGCTTACCAGAAAGACAAATTTGTGTTGGTGAGTTGCGCTGGTGAGAATTTGTCTTAGCACTAGTAAGGCTTTTGCACCGTTAGTATCAATTGAAGTCTACATGCTAACATTTTCACCATCCAAATCATAATTGCGCCAAAATTTGTATCGTAATATTCCACTACAATTCGACAATAAGAAACGTATGCAGAGGCCTTCGAATTCCATTATTTATACATTACCATTACAAAAAGAAAAGCTTGACTGGTAATAGTGTGGCTTGACACTCTATTGGTTATTGGTGTACAAAAAATTTATTAGGGAGTTTTAGATCCATGTTTGTTTCTGAATACGTATGACTGCAAATGTCTAGGAGTCACGTGACCAGACTCCAGCAGTCATGCTCACTGTGTGCTGTCCACATTTATAAAATAATTCAAATAGTACGCACGCTCTGATTGGCCATAAAACCATTTTATATGAGCGTATGTAAACACGGTTTTCGTTCCCCTTATTAGTTATTTTATAAAAGAAATGTAAAATGGTTTCCGTGTTTACATAGCCTGATGTAAACACTTGGGAGGCTGGGAGAACGCTCGATAAGCTGGAAACCACTCTGCTTTGCGTCATGGTTTCCTATGCTTATCTCATGTTCTCCCAACCTCCCGCGTGTTTACATCAGGCTATGTAAACACGGAAACCATTTTACATTTCTTCATTGAACTTCAGGTGAGGCGGTGTCAGATACTTCAACTCCCTCAATGTTTCTTTTCTTCCTGTTCGAAGGTTCTCATGTATGTCCTAAAAATATATGTGAGGTGAAGTCTTCTTTATAACCAGCCCTATCAGGATGCTAGGAAACCAGTCTTTTAACCACATTTTGTGTTTGAAATGAAGGACTTTCATTCTTTGTATAATTCAAGATGGCAGCGCACATGTTGACTTTTTTCAGGTGAAAGGCAACATAGATCTAAAAAGCTGAAAGTCTCCAAACTTCTAACTTCTAACCACAAACTGCTGACCGCAGTTTCACGTTAGAGGCAAACACACTAAATGTCTATCTAAAACTCTCTATTAACTCTCAGCATCCTAATGTCAGTCTGTATATTCTCCATACTGTTCTCTATACATTTTCTTAAGTGCTGGCAATGAGATTTATATAACAATCAAGAGATTCATTAGTTGGTGATCATTTCTGTTATTTTCGTGACCTTAATGTCTGTTTCAGAGGGGATATTGTAAAGAGAAATTAAATGCTAGCCACTCTTGGGGAAAAAGGGTTAGAAAGGACATTGAGATACCACTTTCATTTATTTATGGTTTTTATTTGTCTAGTTGTTGTTTCAAATATTATAATTAAAAGCTTGAAAATGTTCCAAAACTTCAATAGGACTTTTTTCAAGATCCTGCAGTTGTATCAAGTCTACAGGTTAGTCACTTTGTCACAACTCCTAAAGACCCGGTCACATTGACTAGGAAAGGGGAGAAGTAATTTTTTCATGTTGGGCAGAAACTTTTTGAGAAGTGAAGCTGTCATATGTTTAACAGCTAATTATCAAGAATTTTGTCTTTGATTATGTGTGAATCTTTTGTGGTTAGTCAGAAAAAAAAGAAACTTCCAATAACTATGGTCAAATTTTATCTCTGTCAACAATCTAAAAAAAATGTTGTTTTAAACATTTTGCAGTAATTTTTTGCACAAGAATCCTCATGAATTACTTGTATTTAAATGTAGTAACCTAATTAATTTTTTTCTTGTAGATGTAGTTATTTATATGTTTTTTATCTGTTTTTCCTTTTTGCTTAATGGTTTAATATAAATTTATTACTTGTTACCATTTAGGTTGTTTCCTCCTCCAATTCATGGGGACCTCTTGGTGAGCAGTAGCTTTAAAGATCATTTCACCATGAAACAAACAGAAATGCTTTCCTAAATATTATGTGGTTTATATAAACTTTTCTTAAGATTTGCTTTATAATTAACCCTTTAACTGCTGAAGGTGACAAACATGTAACTTCTCCATATAGTATCTATAATCATCCAGCAAACAGGTAGTGAGGATTTTCATTCTTATCAGGGAGAAGTTGTTATCTTGATTCTTGATTAAACACCAAATTCTAGTCGTATGATACAAAGGAATGTGTAGCAGGTAGTGGGGAGAATTTACAATCAGAACTTGGGAGTTAAAGGGTTAATGTACTTTAAGAGAATATGGTCTCCACTTGACTCGGCATCAGTCTTGAACAGTTCTAGCAACAGTGATGGCAAGAGAAGTCTCACTGTGGTTTGTCTCATTTGATTTTCTGTTTTATTTTTCTCCTCTTTGTTTTACACTTCTGGTTATGTGCTTTAAAAACAAAGGAGAAAACTTTGGATGTAATGTTTGTGTATATTACTGGGGGAAAAATGGATGAAAACTCAGCATAAAGATTAGCCATCTCTAAGTTTATGTTATGACCAGCAGTCTTTTTTTTCTTGCTGCAGGTATCAGACCATCATCTGTCACAGCAGAAATTGTCTCTTGTGCAGTCACATCAATGGACTTCTTTGACAGGCTACAAGAACAAGGTGAAGGTCTTTTTTTTTTTTTCAAGAGTAATCAAAAAGGAATTTCTCCTTACGAAATCAGTACATTTTCAAGCAGAGGGTTGATGAGAAGAAATATGAAAATATGAAATATGGAATACTGTTTATTTAAGCACTAAAATCAGCCAAAATTATAAGAAACAAATATAGGACAGTGCAGCAAATTGATATTTATATCTCAGAAGTACAATTGTGAAAAAGGTATTTTTATAGACACTCTGCATGCATTAGGTTTTGTTTGATTACTTTGAAACTAAGAGTGAGCATTATTTTAATTCAAAAGGTATTGTGCGAGAATCAGGAAACATCAAAAAATGTTTTGATGAGTATTTTGAAGACTTTGTTATTTCTGATGAACTTAGAAAGGTAAGAAGTATATGCTCAGTAAACTTCTTCCAAGCCAAGTACATGTGACTGTGTAGTTTGAGGAGAAGTGACCTTCACTGGCTATCGCAGGTCCAAACTGAGCTGACATTGTCCGGTCAGAATATTAAAAAAAATCAGTTGTAGTATCTTCTATCCCACTCTGGTTACTGAACATTAGCAAAAGAGTGGGTGGAACAAAACACATGCTTGTAAGCTCGTTTCCATTGATCAAGAGGCTGGAACCATACAGGCTGCAGTTGCAGTCACTGATAGTACTTTTCACCATGACTCCTACTTGTTACTTGGCACTGACTGGAACACTTTATCCTGGTTTCAAATAATTTGCCATTGTACATGGAAGCTATCAGCACCTGTAACATACACTATAAACATCTAATTTTCTTGTACCTTACTCCTAGAGTTCTGCGGGAGTGTTTCCATCAATTTTATTTTTCACTGAATTTTTCTTTGATATGCACAACAGACTATGCCAAAAAGGAGGGACTGCTCGTTGTCCACCTGTATCATGACAGAGAACTAACTAATAAGTACTTTTAGGCAACTTTTCTTTGTTGGCAAGGATGAAACACTTTGTAACTTTGTAGCTCATGTGTGACCCCTTTTCTGTCTCCCCGTCATTTTTTCCTTTGTTTAACACTTAATTTTAATTTTTGTATCACTCTTTGTAATTTTTCTTTGTTGCAAATGAGATACATGCACAAAAAAAGATAAATGAATAAATGATTGGATATAAAGAAATAGATAACAATAAAGACTTGCTGGCTTTGACTCACCAGGTTTTACTTCTGGAAGAAGCTGAAACATATCCAATATTTAGCGATGCCGATAGAAATGAATTCATTTTCCTGATTTTTAAGCATCTCTGTCTTGGTGGGCAAGTTTGTCAAGTAAGTCTACTTAGGTATTTCTATGACGAAAAATCCTGATGTTTTAGGATGGAAGGCAAACTAGTCGTGAATGAAATTGTTAGCCCATTTCAGGCAGTCAGTTAGGGCCCAGTAACAGCTCAGAGCATTGAAAAGGAGAAGCTTGGGTCCAGTCATGTTATGGTCCCAAACCACCCTCTCTATCTTCGCTCCTCCTCTATTTCTGTTTCCAGCTCATTTACTACGTTCTGCTTTATAACTGAGGGTCTGGAGTAGGCTCTCAACAGCATCATTTGCCAAACCAGTTCCTTCTATTTTTTAATCTTTTGAGTTTTCTAGCATTGTTGAACATGAAGAGAACGAAAACAACCATAAAAAGACTCGAAGCAAATTACACCTTTCACTTCACAAAGTCATCTGCAATTTTTTTCTGTAGTAAGTTGACCTCTACTTTATCACCACTTTATAACTAGATTTTGAAAATAGATGTATAAAGGCGAAAAACGGGGAGGTCAGGCCGTGAGCCCTCTGGGAAGTGCAATTTTATTGCATGTAGAATGTTTTTCTGCATGCTGGTTTTGTTGCATACATTCAATTAACTTTGTGTCTTATGACATTTCTTTTAGTATGAGGATGACATAAATCCTTACCTTGAGACGACTAAGATAATTTACAAAGATCTTTTAAGGTAATGGTGAACCATTGTTCAATTTTTAATGCGTGTGGGTAAACGTTCGGCGCAATGCGTGGAGTTTGAAGAGGATGTTATCTGAACAGACAGGCTTTGATTAAAAAGTTTGGAAAACCCCTAGTAACAGGTTGAAATCTCATAACAATGCTTTTTTTCTTTTGTAAAATAGTAATTGTTTTTGTTTCACCTTTGAGGTATGTTTGTTGAACCCTTTAGATCCTAACATCAGTATGTATATTCTCCATACTGTTCTCTAAACATTTCCTAAAGCTGACAAGGAGAATTTGTTTAACAATCAAGAGCTTATTTAATGGGTGATCATTTCCATTATTCTCGTGACCTTAATGTGTAATTTAGGGGCGATATTGTGAGGAGGAATCAGATGCTAGTGCACAATTAATTTTCTGTCTCCTTGCCTCCTTTCGCAGTGTACACAAAGACCCAACCACAAAAAAGCTTCAAGTGGGCTCAGTTGTGCTGAAAGTTTCCGCACAGGTATTTCATGATGTTTTATTGAACTTAATGGACAGGTATTGAAAGCTGTAGATTGTTGCTCGAGTTCTGTTCTGTTCTGAGAGAAACACAAAATTAGATCGTGAGAAACGTAGGGGTTTTTCATCGTGATGAAGTTATTCGTGTTGGGTCGATTGTCTCACAAAGTTGTCACCTCCGACGTGGATCGCGTTATATCTTCTCTTTCTGTTTTCTGTCGGACTACAGGACGAAGACGGTTCGCAAGTATATCCTTCACTTACGCCACACGATCAGTCCTTTGCCTATATGTGTATCAACCCTCTAAAGCGACACGTTTACGTCTGGTGTCACTCATGGTGATGAAATCCACCTTAGTAGAAGCTACGCGTTAACATTTGAAGTTAGGCCCCTAACGCTTTGAAGACGACGGGAGATGAGTTATTTATTGCCATGTGAACGCAAGGACAGGAACGCTCTTACGGCTTTGGTCCAGTTCACCGTCCAGAGCGCGAACGAAACGGCTACGCACACACTCCGCCCTTGTTCTCGCGCCTTTGTTTGAACCAAGCTCAAGAGAGCGCTTACACCAGACTAGTTTCCTACCGGTTTAAGATACGAGAGGCTGCGTTTAGTGTTCACACTTACCCAAGCTAACCGTACCAAAGCCGTTCAAAAACTAGAACTCCAATAGCGAGGCCGAATTTTTAGGTGGTAGGGTCAAGAATTTAACCGGTAAGGTGTCAGGACTAGGATCGTCTACTTTTTCGCAAAATAGAGATGTGGTTGCATGGACATGCCAGTTTAAATTTAGTAAAGAAGCATTCAGCATATGAGAGATTAGTAAAACCACTGACAGTCGCTCTGACGAGGGGCCAACGCTCGAAACGTCAAAAGTTGATAAAACCAAATTATATGACAATTTATTCAGCCTGCTCCGTCAGGCCCGTGTGAACAGAGTGATTACATGTACAGTGAACAGTTCCTTGTGATCAAAATGCATGGTTAACTTCTTCACCCGGCATGAAATCCGTTCGGTACTGCAAAAAGACAGCACAGTAATTTTATGTTTAGATTAAATAAAGTATGTGAGACTTTTGATCTCTTGTTAGCTATTTGAATCCCTAAACGTGGTGGTAGCAGAGCTAATTTGCAACAGGATCAGTGATAGTGCATCGGAGCGCGGAATCCGAAGTTCTGAGGTTCGATTCCTCATGGGGACTCAGAATTTTTATTTATTGTCCCATGCTCGTGTCAAGACGAAAACATATTTCCCTGAGATCACAATCTGCTCTTGAAAACCTATCTTTCACGCCTCCTAAATGTGTATATATTTACGAGCCTTAGTGGAAGAGAATCGCAATCCAACATTGTGTTTTGTTCCGATATGATCTTACGTCAACTCGCTTTGTAGTATCTCTCCCTTTGCCATCTTTTAGTGCCATGTGAAGACACATCGCAATAAACTTGTTTCAGCGATTACAAAAAACAAATTTTATTCCTATTCTTCAACGAAATAAGGATCGCTGTAGTAAGTTATTGATGTTGCTATGGATGACACTAATTATAAGTGCCTCTGGAGCAGTATCTTTCAGCTATAACACTCGAGTTGTTGTTTTTTTAAATTCCAAGCATTTTGGAATTCTTTTCCGCGCTCCCTAGAAACAGCCTTTGGCGCTTAACTACTACGCATTCGCGGCCACCTTCGTGCAGGAACACGGGTAGTAGTCCTCGTCATATCAGTGATCCATGGGTTAAGTGAGGCAGTCTTATTACAAGTGCATAGCTGCTAGCAGTAGAAAGCACTTCAATGAATCAGATGAATTTAAAAATTGTACTTATTTCACTCCTGTTCATTGTAAACCATAACCTGGTCAAAAATTATCGACAGTCTAATTCATCGAGATGGAATCGCAAAAGTGTGTTGAGAAAGTCCGTCTGTGTGTTTTAGTATAGTCTTTTGTATGTGAAAACTCACAAAAATGTGTAGTGGTGGTAACACTAGCCGTGGCTAGAAATGTCAATTCTTAGTGTATGATTTTCGATTGTTCGAAGTTGATAAAACATTCTGACAACTCTACATGCTTTTAAAACGCAAGGTTTATAGGAATATTTGGTAATTATGCGTATGAGCTAAATTTTTCAACATGTTGACGTTTCAGTTGTTCAGCGTATAGCTAGTAGCGCTCGTTAGAATAAGTAATATAACATTTAACACAAATAAAACAATACTGCGGTGCTGATGGAAACTTTTTTGTATTCAACCGCCACTGTAATCAAATGTTGCCGGCGTTAATTCAACCTTTTTTTCCATTGTTTAGCTTTTTGTACCCAAACATATATAAGCACGATCAAACTGAATGGGTACTGAAATACATTTGTAAACTACTTGGAAAAAAGAATCAGGACCCTTCTGTAAACCACTTAATTGTGACGTTGGTTTCTTCAATAAAGATTGCTGGAATATAGCACAAACTTAGCTTTCTGGGAAGTAAGTACGACGATCACGTAATTTAATCAGAGATGAACACCTGTCGCGTCAGTTTCAAATATCAACTTGTCCGAGAAGAAAAATGCTACTGTTAAAATTAATACCTAGAGTAGATAAAACACGAATAATTTCAACTTAGGACGCCAACTGAGATGGCTCCTTTCCACTTTTTCGCTTGTTTTTCCTAAATATCAAATACTTAGCAATGTTAAATTGTCCTTCTCGCAAGCTAAAAGCATCGTTCACTTAACCAATGCGCAATTGTAGACACTTGCGTACAACAACTCACTAGGGGTTCTCGCTAAATTGGCGTTCTTTGTTTATTGTCAACCTCTAATAACGAGCTAAATTTTTTACTGAGGTAGGAATCTCCCTAACAGCAGCAACTGGGGGATTGAGTAAATAAAGTTACAAATACTCTCCAGACCGTTAGCTTCTGAGAAGTTAGTTCCGGTAACAATCGACTGGTTAATCGGTTGAGGAAAAATTACTGTCAGAAAAATTTTCCCCCAGTTTGTGTTTTAGCTATTGTTCCAAGTTCTTTTAATTATATAGAAAATTATCAATATATTTACACGGAACGTTTTTTGTCACGCTGAGTTTCATTTTAGGGGTCTATGTGAATGAAAGATATTATAAGATTAGGGTTACGTATCTACACAAAACTAAAAAAAACGTGTCATTTGACTATAACAAATTTAAAGGGACTTATTAATTGTATGGTTCTGATAGTTTTCCGACTGTGATCAAATTGTGATCGCTTCGCGTGATTTGATCTCAAAGCCGTCAACTTTTGCTCAGTTTTTTTCTTTTCTTTTAAAAATGTTGCATGATTCAACTTTTTCAATGACCTGCTTTATAACATTCTCGGCTCCGCATTTCTTGATGATTATCAAGAGGTATTTTCTTTGCCCTGAGGGAGAAAAAAACACCGACCTAAAATTTTCTCTGCCAAAAACAGTTTCTAGGCAAAACAATCGCTGCATAGTGAATGTTTGGTCTCTAGTGAAGACTGTCAAAAATACTGATATTCTGTTCGGAAGAACCTATATAATCCTTTTCCTCGGCAGGCTTTCTTTCAATTCTGCATCATATTATACAAATACGGTACTGCATTTGCTGAAGAAAACAAATGAACATAGCCTGAGGGAAGGCGACAGATGTTTCTGCACACGAAATAAATTAGCGATGTTTCGCTTCACTATTTTTCCCACGATATCAATACACTGCTACCGGCAGATCGTTAAAAATACGGAAATAAAGTTAAACAGGCTTTACGTGAAATTCAATATGAACACGAACATTCCATTAGAGCTATATTATTTAATTTTCACTTTGACAATGTCGTGCTGATGCAAATCTCCCTTGCATGAAATTTCCATGCAAATCTATTTAAGACGAGCATTGTGTTGGTAGCGCATGCTCTTTTCCCAGAAAGAATGTTGTTCTAATTGTTTTGAGAGCTCGCTGATTGGTTAACTAGTCATAAGTAATTATCTTTCCAAATTATCATGTATTGCATTTAAAAGGAAGAGCAGCAATTCGACTTGACGCACTTCACCGAGTCTTCAAGGAGCTAACTTGCACTCAGATTAGCGAGCAGTCTTTTTATCAAGTGATCTGGATACTGAGCCGCATTGAGGTAGGTGATAACAGCTGAAAAAAGTCGGAAACTTGCATTCAGTAAATGTTGTTCAACTGTTTGGGCTGTTATAAATGGTGCTCCAGTGATATACCGTTGTATATGAAAATCAAAATCAGATAAGCTTTCTTCTTAAACTACGAAGAAGGAGAGACAGGTTTTTATCGATGAGTGGTAAGTCAGCCTTTTAACAGTTGAAGGAGACGTGACAATCACAGGAAAGAACAAGTATTGTTTGGGTGCTCGCAGTATTCAGATAGTGTTCACGTTGAGTTGTATATTTAGAAAACTTTTTGTATATTTTTTCGTTTGCAGTCTTGAAGCATGGAAGGAAGATTCTTTGTTCTGTCCTTACTTTTTGGCGCAGTCTCCGTCATGGCAGATGGTATGTTAAGAATGTTAAGCTTTATAGTAGACTATCAATGGAGAAAGACCCGTTTTCTTGTATTTTTATTTTACTTGCGGATTTAGTGCTGTGGGTATTGTATATGATCAGGACAAAATTTCAAGTCAGCCTGTGTAATTCATATAACACCGCTGGAAAAGTACCTCTTCATAACTGAACTTTTTTTCTTTTTTCCTTTCAATGCTGAATCAGGCAGCTGTCAGAATCCCAAAGAACGCTGGGAATGCGGATGGCTGGGAATAGATCAGCAGACATGTGAGGCACGAGGATGCTGCTGGGATCCCAGTGATCCGAACAAGCCGTGGTGCTATGTTAAACCTGGCACATGTAAGAATTGACTTTTTAAACAGCTTGGCTTAAATAATGAGTGGTGATAGAAAAAGAAGTTTGCAGTTTAAGTTTTTCGTATAACTCGTGGAAGCATTTGCTAATGATAAAGGATACAAAAACTAAAAGTGTTACTGAAGTATCACTTGAGAGACTGTGCTTGACAGTCTGCGTATTCATTACAGGCAACCGAAGTTTTGTATTGCATTATTTTGACATCATTGTTAAATTATTATAGATCTCCCGGATGGACTTTGCCCCGTTGCTCCTTCTGAACGACAGGAATGTGGTTACTTCGGTATTGATAAGGAGGAATGTCTGGGAAGGTCCTGTTGCTGGGATCCAATTGTGCCTAACACCAATTGGTGCTTTACACAACCATGTGAGTTTATTGTTAGGAAAAATTCTCAATAGATTGTTGAAATTAATCCAGGATTGCATCAGTTTTAGTTTGCCACATTGTTCTATAGTTTGTCTAGCAGACTCTCGACACCCTCTATCGGAGTCTTAAAAAACACCTGATTGCCTTAAGACAAAGACAAAAATTGGCTCGAATTCTCTCGCTCATGTTCTTCCTTATATTTCGATCCGATTTCTTTTTATTCAATAGAAAATATTCACAACTTATTATTTACTTGTTTATATCCCAACGCTGGCTGGTTTGTTTGGAACTCTGATTTGGCCCATCAGAAAAAAAATCAAAATGGATCCTTTCTTCCCGAGTAATTTATTTATTTGGCGTGCGTTTAGCTGAGTTCTCATTGGTTCCTTGGGATACAGTAGAACCCCGCCAACTCAAACCGGCTAAGGGAAACGAAAACTGGTTCGAAAGGAGGGGGTGAGGTGGGTGGGTCCCAGCTATTGGGATTGGTGTTGAATTTCAATTATCCTGGTAATACTTAATATGGAATCATGTTTTTACCATTCTTACAAAATCAACAGTCATTTTCGTACATCAATTTTGTTTTATACGAGCTTTTAACACGATAACAGATTGCGGCATGCCATCAGTTCGGACGCTTCGACGTCTATGGACTGGCGTTTTTACTTAAAGGTCGAGTTATCGGGGTAAATGTGAACCAAGGGAAAGTAAGATTAGTTCGAGTTAACGGAGATCGAGTTCCAGTTTCTTGATGGTAAATGAGTGGAAAATGGGGTCAAATCTAAGGGATGTTATTCGAGTTAGCGCCGGGGGGAGGGGGGAGGGAAAAGGGGGGTTCGAGTCAACCGAGTTCGAGTTACTTGATAATAAATGACTCGAAAAATGGGCTCAATTCCGAGGGAAATCGGATGTTGTTTGAGATAGCAAAGGTTTCTAGTTCACCGAGTTTGAGTTAGCAGGGTTATACGGTATTTACGTTGACTTTAAGAAATTTGTTCTATAATCTTTTTTGATTCATTTTGTTTGATTCATTTTGACACGCAACTGAAAGCGCTTTAGCACTGAAACGATAAAGGATTAATCCATGGACTGCGCTGATCAGTTGTCATAACATTATAAACAATTAATATCTCGACAGCCGAACCATTCATGGGTTGCTACTTGCCATACGGCGTGTCTGGAACCTGCAAATATGTTTGTGATCCTGGCGAAGATAAAATGTACGGCATGCCAGACTGTGAGGGACGCATCTGCTGTTACAATGGCTTCGGCAAATAGTAAGTGATCATGATTATCACACATGAGCGTGGCTTTTAACCCTTTGAATCCTAGGACAGACTAACATCTAATTTTTCCTCACAATATCACCCCTGAATGACGGTAAACGTTGAGGTCACTAGAGTAACGGAAATGATCGCCAACTAATGAGGCTCTTGATTGCTAAATAAATTCTCCCTGTCAGCACTTTTGGAAATGTAAAGAGAACAGCACGGAGAATATGCATACCGATGTTAGGTTGTACTCGGTTACAAGGAGCAGAAGTTTCTTCCATCCATTCAGCCATCCGCTTAAATTTAACAAAATATCAAGCAACAATTTGCTATCTGCTAATTGCGTTTATCTAAATTGTTTCTTAGATCTCATTTCTTGGATGCGAAGACTTGAACCACTGAAATGCTTATGCTTTGACTGAAGATCTACCGTGAAGAGAACCATTCCTTGAGATATAGCTTATAATTACTTTTAGTCTGCTAGTATTGCGTTATGAGATGTATTGGGGCAACATTTCGTAAAAGAAAGAAATAAAAAGGGCCAGTCCAACGGGGAAATTTAGTGCCGCAGTAATTTCTGTAAATCTGTTAACTTGCACAGTTAATATCGTATCATATTCACCTTTTTAATCGTGGATATGCAAAGCTTAGAGACGAACTATGTGGGGATTTGATATGCAAATTTCGTGGCGTTCGTACGGGTATACATCGTATTAAAAATTCGAAAAGATGGCGGACCGACAGTTAAATATGGTGTGTCAATTAGGGTTTGTGAAAATGACAGCTCATTCTTTTTCTTGGAACGAAGGGATCATTAGATTTTTAATACTATCCGCTGTATATTCTAATGCCATTCTTCTCAGCATATCCACGAGTTCACCATAGGATCACTTTGATTACGAAACAAGACCCAAAGCTACCAACCGCAAAGATTTTCAATGGTTAGGCGCCACGGGGCAATTGTTTAAGAGATTTCTTGCTGGCAAAATTCAAGTTTAGGCTAGTTATTAACCTCTCTGAAAATGATCCTGAGAAATTTGAGAAAATTTCTTTTGTTTACAAACAAAAACCGCCAAACATTTTGACTCACATTACCGCTATTACATAAAGCACATACCATGACAAGAGGCACACTAAATATTCTGTTGGTTCTCGTACATGCTCTGAGGGGTGGGTATGGGGTATGGTCATGTCGCACAGTTTGAATTCCATACCTCCTCCCCCTGAGTTACCACAAAATAATATCTAGTTTTAAAAATTTCATTAACTTATGACGCGTTCTTACGCTAAAAGTAACTAACAATAGCCACCGGGGCAAAACACAACATGTAACTGTTTGATCGTCGGCGTATTTTCCATCTTGACAAATAATCATAACTTGAAATTACTAATGACATTTGGCGTTTTTTTTTTTTTTTTTTTTTTTTCAATCCCTGCACTCAGGATATAAATTGAACACTTTGTTTATAGATTAGGAATGTAGAAAATCTCTTTCGTTTTTAAATTTTATGTAGCAATTTTTCGCTTCTTCTCCACCCTTTGTATTCTCTTTGTATTCACGCTCTGTGCGCGTGATTTCACAAATTAGCCAATCACGTCAAAGAACTCTGACCTTGACGTTGGAAAACTGACGTGGACATTTTTCGCGTACTTTAGTTTTTTTCACGGAGTTTTAGTTTGTTGTTTTTGAGCTTTCGTTCGTGTAAATTTGTTACTCCTTTATTTGGAATTTTAAGAAGTTTCGTAATTTTCATTTGAACCAAATGTTGTGGTTCATTTAACAAGTTTAATACACATTTTTCTACGGAATTTGGTCTAAAAATGGCGAGCCCCGCCATTGATCATCTTTCACAAGAACCACGATGCCATAGTCATGATCACCAGGTGGATAGGTTTCTGCTTCTATACCTTGTGGAACTGGAAGTTCTCGTTTAAAACCGTCCCGAATATTATGCTTCTCAAACTGAAGACTCTCTCCATTTATAAACCCCCCTATCTTCTGGAAAAGTAATTCGCGATAAAGTTCTTTGGATTTTTTGCAACCTTTAAGACGCTCATTGATCTCATCAGAAAAAATTGAGTAACCGAGACAATACCACCTTCCTAAGAATGACCACAACAAATACAATTACTCCAGCTGAAATGAGAAAAAGCTTGAAATGCTAAACCACTATAAGCTGATTCACAAGTTAGCTGATTGGTTGAAAAATCATGCGACCTCGACTGTTGGTGCCTTCCTGTTTTTCCGAGAATGTCACGCAATGGGGCTATTTATCGAACGCTTCTTGCTTGCTTGCTACCACCTTGTACATCGTGAAAAACTTCTTTTATACCCTCTAAAAGGCATTTAATTATTTTAGAGTATATATATATATATATATATATATATATATATATATATAGTTTATATATAGTTTTAATGGCTGTTCTGTAAATCACGGTGGCCTTTTTAATAGAGGCTCGAAACTGGTAAGAACTAAAATTGGAGATTAATTTCTCTTCTCCTTAAAAATTAGACAAACAAAGCTCGTTGGTGGGGAGGATTGGAAGAGCGGGCTAGCGTGGAACTGAGAGACTGGTGCAGAGTTGACATTGAAACATTTTGTTCATCTGCGCTTGCATGAGAGAACATTAAACAAGATATCAACTACGAGTCATGGAGCGGAGAGAGATTCTTCTGTTACTTGTTTTCTCGTGCGTCTACCTCAAGTGTTTTGTTCAAACTGAAAAATGTGATCCAAAACCATTGATCAAAAAGCATGAAGGCTACAAGCAATGCGTCTATCTTGACACAAGCGGAAAGAGAACTATCGGCTATGGTTTTAACATGGAAAAGGCTGGCGCAAGAGAAGAATTTATCAGAGCAGACCCGAGAGGGCATTGCCAAGGTACAGCAGGGAAGACATTCGACATGTTTTTAAAGAGTCCTTTAACTAAATGTAGTAAAACATGTCCTGGCTGCTGCAAAGACAGTGAAACATCTAAATGTCTCTCCGTGCCTTGCCTCGACAATAAATACATCGAAAGGCTCTTGGACAGCAGCTTGAAAACGGCCATTGTTGACGCTGGAGTTGTGATCGGCAAAAGCACTTTCAACGCTCTTTGCTGTCCTGTGCAGAATGCCATTGTCAACATGGCGTATAATCTTGGCCGGACAAAGTTTAAAGACTTCGTAAAGTTTAAAGCTGCGATCGAGAAAGGAGACTGGGATAAAGCAGCGTACGAGGCTAAGAATTCTATATGGTGTGGGCAAGTCGAGACTCGATGCACGGACATCTCCAAAATCATTGGAGCTGGATGCTGATTCAATCAAAACACTGGCCATGGTATACTAATAATCTCACAAATAACTCAGTTTATCACTTTAAATCCACTATTTGTATACAATTTTACCATGTTCCCTACTTTAAGAGGGCAACGAGCGTTCATGTATAAGTATTAGTCCTGACACACCCGTATATATTTAGCTGTTTAGTAGTTCTTCCGGCGCATCGACCGACATAACACCTTCAATTTTGTTGGAAGACGGGAACAAGACGGTCAAAAGGGGAAGTGAAAAGCCTTACTATTTTTATTATATATTCTATTTGTTGCTTTATGTCCAGTGATTGCATTAAATGGCAAACTAAACTTTGAACGTTGTCATTTGCATCAGAGCCCGTATAGTTCTGATATACACTTATATAGTCCAAAGTTTAACTTACGAATGTAGTATAGTAGCTCACCAAAGTGACAGTAACGTTTTAATCGAACGAACGAACGACAAGGAATGTTATTGATTGCATGCATTTTTTTGTCGACAAAACGAGTGTTTTGAAAGCTCACAAGGAGGTCCTATTAACTTTTTACACCATAACAATAAAAAATTTTAGTGAGTGACAGTGACAGTGACAGAAAGTGACAGTAACGTTTTAATCGAACGAACGAACGACAAGGAATGTTATTGATTGCATGCATTTTTTGTCGACAAAACGAGTGTTTTGAAAGCTCACAAGGAGATCCTATTAACTTTTTACACCATAACAATAAAAAATTTTAGTGAATGACAGTGACGGTGACAAAAAGTGACAGTAACGTTTTAATCGAACGAACGAACGAGAAGGAATGTTTTTGATTGCATGCATTTTTTTGTCGACAAAACGAGTGTTTTGAAAGCTCACAAGGAGATCCTATTAACTTTTTACACCATAACAATCAAAAATTTTATTTCCCTTTTTTCTTACAAAGTCTGGTCAACTTGGTGAGATTAAGCTCACTGACACATATGTTGTCATCTTTCACAAGAACCACAATGCCATGATCATGATCACCCGGTGGATAGGTTCCAGTCTCTATACCTTGTGGAACTGGAAGTTCTCGTTTAAAACCGTCCCGAATATTATCCTTACCAAATTGAAGATTCTCTCCATTTATAAACCCCCCTATCTTCTGGAAAAGTAATTCGCAATAAAGTTCTTTGGATTGGAACGGAACGGCCATTGTTGACGCTGAAGTTGTGATCGGCAAAAGCACTTTCCACGCTCTTTGTTGTTCTGTGCAGAATGCCATAGTCGACATGGCGTATAATCTTGGCCGGACAAACTTTAAAAAGTTCAAAAAGTTTAAAGCTGCGATCGAGAAAAGAGACTGGGATGGAGCAGAATATGAGGCTAAGGATTCTAGATGGTGTGGGCAAGTCAAGACTCGGTGCACGAACATCTCCAAAATCATTAAAGCTGGATGCTGATTTAAACAAAACACTGGCCATGGTATAATAATAATCTCACAATTAACTCAGTTTGTCACTATAAATCCACTATTTGTATTCAATTTTACCATGATTCCTACTTTAAGAGAGCATCGAGCGTTCATGTACAAGTATTAGTCCTGACACTCCTATATATATATTTAGCTGTTTGGTAGTTCTTCCGGCGCATCACCCGACATAACACCTTCAATTTTGTTGGAAGACGGGAACGAGTACGGCCAGAAGAGGAGATGAAAAGCCTTACTGTTTTTATTTCATATTCTGTTTGTTACTTTATGGCCAGTGATTGCATTAAATGGCACTCGAGCGAAACTAAACTTGGCAGTGAACGTTGTCATTTGCATCAGAGTCCGTACAGTTCTGATATACACTTATATAGTCCAAAGTTTAACCTACAAATGTAGAATAGTGGCTCACCGGCAATTGTAATGAAAATAAAAGTGAAACGTTTGCTTAAATCTCTCTTCCCATATTTAAATTAACGTGCCTGACTTGTATTTTTTACTTAAATATGAACGGGGGTCTAGACGCATTGTACATAAATAATGAATTCAATTCTGATGGACTACCCTTAGTGGAAAAGTAGCTGATATCTTTCAGTTGTTTATATTTATGTTTTTAAGGTTGAAATTCCATCTCTTAATTGGATAAAAATCAAGGCTCAGATCAAGAAGTGATTTTTCTTTTAAGTTTGGACTTAAAAAAGCAGTAGGTTTACGTGCCATGTATTGTCACTTAGGTCAAAAGGAGCGTGGGAAAGCGCTTTTTCCATCAAACATTTCTGCAAGGTAAACCCATCTTAATAAAATATTTTCATGGGGGCCAGCTGGAGCTTTTGTTTACCAATTAAGTCACGAGTGAAAAGAAAAGGAAAAAAAAATTCAAATTTTTCAAAATACACGGAATGGGAAGTACTATTTTAGTGATACGGAACCCGTCATGTAAAAATACATATTGTGCGATCGTTGAAAGGTCAAAACCAAGTTTGCGAGATCAACACAATCACTCTCGAGGCGCAACCGAGTGAGTCTGCAACAAATTTTGACCACTGTGGTGACGAAAATCGTTGTCGATAAAAGTACAAAAAAAAGCGCTACTGGTTGCAATACCGACATTTTAGCTCTCAGTTGTATTTATATCTTTGTTAAAATAATTATGAACGTTCTCCATAAGGATGGTAAAGATGAAATCTGTGTTGAGCAGATTTTCTGAGAGCATGTCGAGGAAGTACACAAGTTTAAACCTAAGTACCGTAAGGTTTAATCATCTGCTTCTTCAACGCTTTTTTCATTGTAATTTTCTATTTTTTGTATCAAGCTACATCACTTAGAGACGCTAGGGATCTCTATCCCTAAATCGTTCGTAGTTGACTGTTGTTGAGTTAGGGGAGGGGTAGACGCGCAGTTGCTAGGGTACTGACATTGATCTCCTGATTAGATCACAGTCACAGCGTCCAACTGAAACGTGGTACACGTACGGAGCGATTCAGACCGAAAACATGAATACATCAGGAACAAACAGATTGGGCTTAGTCTCCGCCTTAGCTTTCTTTTCACGGTCGCTTTATTTTTTATTTTTTTTATGACGTTCAGAAAACCCTCCTCTCGGATATGATGAGGGAATGTTCAATATTCATCTACTTCGTACTTCGAATTAGTCTCTACTAAATATAGGTTAATAAAGAGGTTTCTATCTTTGAGCAAAATTCAACTCAATAAGACCAAAGGTATAGGATATCTACCAGTTCTTGGTTGTTATTCCAAAAGGAAATACCCCTTGAAAACAACTGGCATTACAAGTATTTTTTTCGTTCCCTTAGCTCTACAAAGATAAAACGATAGAAATTCCAGTTATGAGTAATTTGCGGCGTTATTTGGTTCAACCTTATTTAATTGGTTATCTTGTAACCCAAAATAGGGAAATCAACGGAGAACGGACAGTAACATCGAGGCCAAGCTCTACCCAGAAGTCCTCCAGATACAAACAGGCTGGCGAAGGAGCTTTTATTCCTGTGACGCTCTTGGTGGAAGGACCACAGCGTTACAAATAATTTGTGCTAGAAAAATTGCGCTTTACTCTTCCAGAATGCGAGAATGTCGAGGAGATGCATGTTGAATGTTTGAAATAAACGAATATTTTTAATGGTATCTTACGTCCAGTCTTTATTAGCGAATTTTGTTTCAGCTTAGTACCGCATTACAACATGGCCGCCACAAAAACAAAAAAAAAAAAATCAGCTTCTTGTTTCCAGCACCTCTCGGCCAAATTTGCTTTTTTCCGGTTTTGATCTCACCCAATCACAAAGCTCAAAACCGATATCCAGAAATGGTTATGGCCCGAACTGATTTTGTTCATATGCGCTTGCATGAGAGAACATTAAACAAGATATCAACCACGAGTCATGGAGCGGAAAGAGATTCTTCTGTTACTTGTTTTCTCGTGCGTCTACCTCAAATGTTTTGTTCAAGCTGAAGAATGTGATCCAAAACCATTGATCAAACAGCATGAAGGCTACAAGCGATGCGTCTATCTTGACACAAGCAAAAAGAGAACTATCGGCTATGGTTTTAATATGGAAAAGGATAGCGCAAGAGAAGAATTTATCAAAGCAGGCCAGAGAGGGCATTGCCAACGTATAGCAGAGAAGGTATTCGACATGTTTTTAAAGAGTCCTCTAACTAAATATGATAAAACATGTCCTTGCTGCTGTTACAAATACAGTGAAACATCTAAATATTCCTGCGTTCCTTGCCTCGACGATGAATACATCGAAAGGCTCCTGGACAGCGGCTTGAAAACGGCCATTGTTGACGCTGAAGTTGTGATCGGCGACAGCACTTTCAACGCTCTTTGCTGTCCTGTGCAGAATGCTATTGTCAACATGGCGTATAATCTTGGCCGGACAAAGTTTAAAGACTTCGTAAAGTTAAAAGCGGCGATCGAGAAAGAAGACTGGGATAAAGCAGCGTACGAGGCTAAGAATTCTATATGGTGTGGGAAAGTCAAGACTCGATGCACGAACATCTCCAAAATCATTGGAGCTGGATGCTGATTCAATCAAAACACTGGCCATGGTATACTAATAATCGCACAAATAACTCAGTTTATCACTTTAAATCCACTATTTGTATACAATTTTACCATGTTTCCTACTTTAAGAGGGCAACGAGCGTTCATGTACAAGTATTAGTCCTGACACACCCATATATATTTAGCTGTTTAGTAGTTCTTCCGGCGCATCGACCGACATAACACCTTCAATTTTGTTGGAAGACGGGAACAAGACGGTCAAAAGGGGAAGTGAAAAGCCTTACTATTTTATTATATATTCTATTTGTTGCTTTATGTCCAGTGATTGCATTAAATGGCAAACTAAACTTAGCAGTGAAGGTTGTCATTTGCATCAGAGCCCGTATAGTTCTGATATACACTTATATAGTCCAAAGTTTAACTTACGAATGTAGTATAGTAGCTCACCAAAGTGACAGCAACGTTTTAATCGAACGAACGAACGACAAGGAATGTTATTGATTGCATGCATTTTTTTGTCGACAAAACGAGTGTTTTGAAAGCTCACAAGGAGATCCTATTAACTTTTTACACCATAACAATAAAAAATTTTATTTCCCTTTTTTCTTACAAAGTCTGGTCAACTTGGTGAGATTAAGCTCACTGACACATATGTTGTCATCTTTCACAAGAACCACGATGCCATAGTCATGATCACCAGGTGCATAGGTTCCAGTGACAGTGACAGTGACAGAAAGTGACAGTAACGTTTTAATCGAACGAACGAACGACAACGAATGTTATTGATTGCATGCATTTTTTTGTCGACAAAACGAGTGTTTTGAAAGCTCACAAGGAGATCCTATTAACTTTTTACACCATAACAATAAAAGATTTTATTTCCCTTTTTTCTTACAAAGTCTGGTCAACTTGGTGAGATTAAGCTCACTGACACATATGTTGTCATCTTTCACAAGAACCACGATGCCATAATCATGATCACCTGTTGCATAGGTTCCAGTCTCTATACCTTGTGGAACTGGAAGTTCTCGTTTAAAACCGTCCCGAATATTATCCTTACCAAATTGAAGATTCTCTCCATTTATAAACCCCCCTATCTTCTGGAAAAGTAATTCGCAATAAAGTTCTTTGGATTTTTTGCAACCTTTAAGACACTCATTGATCTCATCAGAGAGAATAAACAGACATAACACCACCTTCCTAAGAATGACCACAACAAACACAATTACTCCAGCTGAAATGAGAAAGAATTTGAAATGCTAAACCACTATTCACTGATTCACAAGTTAGCTGATTGGTTGAAAAAATCATGCGACTGTCATGCGACCTTGAAAACAATAGACAAGTCCAGACTTTCTGGCTATTTAGTGACGCATTGTTAGTGTCTTCCTGTTTTTCCGAGAATGTCACGCACTGAGGCCATTTATCGAACGCTTCTTGCTTACTTGCTACCACATAGTGAAAAACTGCTTTTATACCCCCCTAAAAATATAAATTTTATGATTTTAGAAAATATATATAATTTTAATGACAGTTCTGTAACTCATAGTGGCCTTTTTAAAAGAGGCTTGAAACCGGTAAGAACTAAAATTGGAAATAAATTAAAACCAGACAAACAAAGTTCGTGGGTGGGGAGGGTTGGAAGAGTGGGCTAGCGTAGAACTGAGAGCCTGGTGCAGAGTAGACATTGAAACATTTTGTTCATCTGCGCTTGCATGAGAGAACATTAAACAAGATATCAACCACGAGGCATGGAGCGGAAAGAGATTCTTCTGTTGCTTGTTTTCTCGTGCACCTTCCTCAAATGTTTTGTTCAAGCTGAAAAATGTGACCCAAAACCATCGATCAAACAGCATGAAGGCTACAAGCGATGCGTGTATCTTGATACACACGAAAAGAGAACTATCGGCTATGGTTTTAACATGCAAAAGCATGGCGCAAGAGAAGAATTTATCAAAGCAGACCCGAGAGAGCAATACGTAGGTACAGCAGACAAGGTATTCAACACGTTTTTAAAGAGCCCTTTAACTAAATGGAATAAAGAATGTCCTTGCTGCTCCATATATGGTGAAACATCTAAATATTCCTGCGTTCCTTGCCTCGACGATGAATACATCGAAAGGCTCCTGGACAGCAGCTTGAAAACGGCCATTGTTGACGCTGAAGTCGTGATCGGCAAAAGCACTTTCCACGCCCTTTGTTGTTCTGTGCAGAATGCCATAGTCGACATGGCGTATAATCTTGGCCGGACAAACTTTGAAAAGTTCAAAAAGTTTAAAGCTGCGATCGAGAAAAGAGACTGGGATAGAGCAGAATATGAGGCTAAGGATTCTAGATGGTGTGGGCAAGTCAAGACTCGGTGCACGAACATCTCCAAAATCATTAAAGCTGGATGCTGATTTAAACAAAACACTGGCCATGGTATACTAATAATCTCACAAATAACTCAGTTTGTCACTATAAATCCACTATTTGTATTCAATTTTACCATGTTTCCTACTTTAAGAGAGCATTGAGCGTTCATGTACAAGTATTAGTCCTGACACTCCTATATATATATTTAGCTGTTTTGTAGTTCTTCCGGCGCATGACCCGACATAACACCTTCAATTTTGTTGGAAGACGGGAACGAGTACGGCCAGAAGAGGAGATGAAAAGCCTTACTGTTTTTATTATATATTCTGTTTGTTACTTTATTCCCAGTGATTGCATTAAATGGCACTCGAGCGAAACTAAACTTGGCAGTGAACGTTGTCATTTGCATCAGAGTCCGTACAGTTCTGATAAACACTTGTATAGTTCAAAGTTTAACTTACGAATGTAGTATAGTGGCTCACCGGCAATTTGAACGAAGATAAAAGTGAAACGTTTGCTTAAATTTCCCTTCCCATATTTAAATTAACGCGTCTGACTTGTTTTTTTTACTAAATATCAGTGGGGTTCATTATCTATGTATAGACGCACTGTACATAAAGGATGGTAAGATGAAATCTGTGTTGAGCAGATTTTCTGAGAACACCGTAAGGTATAATCATCTGCTTCTTCAACGCTATTTTCATTGTAATTTTCTATTTTTTGTATCAAGCTACATCACTTAGAGACACCATGGATCTCTATCCCTAATTCGTTCGTAGTTGATTGTTGTTGAGTTAGGGGAGGGGTAGATGCATAGTTGCTAGGATACTGACATTGATCTCCTGATTAGATCACGGTCACAGCGTCCATCTGAAACGTGGTACACGTACGGAGCGATTCAGACCGAAAACATGAATACATCAGGAACAAACAGATCGGGCTTAGTCTCCGCCTTAGCTTTCTTTTCACGATCGCTTTACTTTTTTTATTTTTTTTATGACGTTCAGAAAACTCTCCTCTCGGATATGATCAGGGAATGTTCAATATTCATCTACTTCGTACTTCGAATTAGTCTCTTCTAAATATAGGTTAATAAAGAGGTTTCTATCTTTGAGCAAAATTCAACTCAATAAGACCAAAAGTATGGGATATCTACCAGTTCTTGGTTGTTATTCCCGAAAAGGAAATACCGCTTGAAAACAACTGGCATTTCAAGTATTTTTTTCGTTCCCTTAGCTCTACAAAAATAAAACGATAGAAATTCCAGTTATGAGTGATTTTTTTCATTGCTATTACCAAGAGAGCAATAATGGGACTCTTTTTATTACCTGTACCAGCCCGAATGGATTTTAATAACTGTTGCATCATATTAGGGTAGTCAAAGAAGACAGCCAAATATCATCCAAAGAGAGCGTCAAATTCCCGGCCATGATTTTTATTATTGTTTTTTTTACCTCGACCATACGATTAGTGAGGGAACCATCTAATATGCCGGAAACTTATGAAAATAAGAATTAAGAAAAATATCTGGTCAAAAGAATTAAAAATCTTTACAAATCGATATTTTCTATTAACTATAACGACGTTGAAACTTCGGTGATACAAATCCATTGTTTCACATCTTTGTTTTCAGACGATTTAGAAGAAGAATTTAACGCAATACTGAGCAATTATACCCCCTGACGCTTCCCTTTATATCCAATTATAAATTTATCAAGCATAAACAATACAACAGACATTCTCACCAAAGAGTCGTGCGTTCACGCTGGGCGCGGCGAGAGAAAATTCGTGTTTATGGCTTCACGAGAAAAACATCAACTGCGTATCTGCTATTATGTGCAATCGAGAACGAACGCCGCTTTTATGTCTAGCCATGTGGCTTATTAAGAAACGATTTGTCTCGTGATCGTAGATTGCACCGATATTCCATTTAAGCATATTACGGAAGAGTTTATAAATTTCCCAACATGCTCGAGTGGTGGTGCTAAGTCACGCTTCAGCTGACATCAAGGCTGACATGACATTTTAACAATTTGAATTTTTAGCGCGACTCCACCATGTGCAAATTTTGTCTTTTCGCTTTCCCAAGGCGATCAAATTGCTTTCAGTTTCATTTGTGAGTCATGGCTTTTCTGGAGTAATCATGAAGCCAACTGAAAGAATTTTGGCAGTATTTGTGCTGTTCGGAGTGTACACTTCTATAAGTTGTCGAGTGTGCGATCTCTCCATCGATAGTTTTGCGTCCGAATTTGTTCTGAAACGCTGTGCATTTTCTTTCCACGAAAAATCCGAAACTAAATACATTGGATTTGAATTCCGACTGACGGAAAGCAAGGAGACGAGACACGCTTTGGAAACGGTGAAAGCAAATTTTCGCGAGTTATCGTACAGTCCTTTGACGCGTTGGAACGGTAGCTGTGATTGTAATGAAGTACCATGTTTGAATGAGGAACAATTGAACGATTTGTTTATTTCAGGCGTCAAACAAGCGTTTGAAGAAGCGAAATGGAGAATTCCATTTATGTCAGGGTTGTGCTGTTCTGTTCAACGAGCTTTAGTGGAGACATTTTATCGTTTGGACGAGAAACAACTAGCACGTTTGAAGAAATGTACTTTGAATGAAATTGACACGCGTAAGTGTACGGCATACTTGACTAATGAACTTCGCCAGACGGAATGGTGTGATAGTTTTAAAACAAAATGTGAAAATGTCATCGGTCGTATTTTTAGAGGATGTGAGGTGACAGAGAGGAGGAAAAGGGATATTGGTATCAAACATACTTCAATGTGTGGTCCATCTGCTTGCTATCAAGGTAAAAGCATTTAAATATCGCTATTAATTTCATTGAATTTTGCATAAGCTTTGTTTACAACAGGTAGCGTTCTCCGTAAACAAATTAAATTCGCTTCCGACTGCGAGAGCTTTGCAATTTTGTGGTTTACATGGAATCTGCGATTGTTATTTTTGAAAATGGTCAAGCTGAAACACAATATTTGAAAAAATACGTAAAATATCGTATCTTTGGTTTCACTTAGCTTGCCAAATTATCATCTGTGCTCTAACAATATTCCGTCGAACGATGGCGAGAGCTTTCATTTATTCGATGTCCGTTAATTCAGAGACGTGCGAAAATTCCTGTGTAAATCTTTTTATTGCTTGCCTTTTAAAAGTTTTTAATCTTCACTTCGAGAGAATTAAAACGTTTTGCTTAGGGCAATAAAGGGAAAAAAAAATGCTGAATGCTTTTTGAAGATATGTGCCTCTTTCGAAACGGAAAAAGATTTTGTTTTTAATCGTCAAAATGGCACAGTATTTGCTTCAAATGTAGAAGAGGTACTCCAGATTTTGAGCGAGAAAAATTTTGGTGAAGAGTTTAATTACGTCGCTAAATGCCTGATGTGTCACTTGTCATAAAACTGATTTGCCACATGACTTGTAAAATCTGAAGACAAAAGCCTAATTAAAAGCGAATTAATTATATAAATCGTTGCTAAATTGCGATTTTGATAACATCAAACGACAGTCTCGGAGTGCCAAAATATGGCGGATAATGAGTAGTGCGAAATACATATTTTTTTCCGGCTGTATTAAATGTGGAAGGCTGTCTGCCGTCTTTTGACTATTCACAACACAGTTTTTTATTTGTGTTGGTCGAGTTATGTGGAACGAAAAGAGGTTTACATCAACCATTTCATAAGTGCACTGAAGTACCTTTTTTATCCTGAGGATAATAGTGAACAATCAGTATCAATGCTCATTTGCGAGAATTGGCCGTCTTTTCGATCTTGGCACGACAAAATACTTGGGCCTTGGTATTGCTACTACATGTGTCGCAGTATTTTCAAAGTTATATCGTAGTGATTTTCTTGTAACACATTGTATGTATGTGTGTTTTATTCTTTTTTTTTTTCGCAGGGAAAGCGTCAGTTTTGTCGACACCTCTGCTGAAAGTCCAAGGTACTTCTTATCTTGGACTTCACGATTTCGCTAATACACCGTCGCAAAGCGTAGGCAGTTTGAAGCTGGAGCCGCTTGTATATAAAGCCAGTCTTAACTCAGTGGCAGCGATCAATTCAGGTTCTTCAGATATTTCCCGAAGTGCGGAGGTTTATGAGTTCGCCTTCAGAGTTTCAACTGAAACCGTATTGCAGACGTTTCCCACCCCCTCCCCCCGCGGTTCATGGACATCACCCGCCATAGTGGGGTCTAATGCACAGTCCTTGTCACCTTTCACACCTGTCAACATGACATCGTTAGTGACAACTAAAGAGGTAGTATCAAAAGAGAGCACAATATTTACAAGGGCACATAACTCCACTGTCAGATTTTCTTCAAGGAATGCTGCCCAAGAATCTCAAAGCCCTACGACAGCCTCTTTCTGGAATGGCACATCGGCGAGAGAGCTTTCTACATCAAGGACGTACTTAGTGCCACTTTCGCCGAGGCGCACAACAAGAGAGGCAAATAGGCACACATCTGAGAAATCGAGCGCTGTATCGTCAGCATACCAAAGCACTAACTCTGAGGAAGTGCGTTCCGTTGGATCCACACATTTGACGTTCCCAGTAGCTATTAGCACTGTGCAGAATGTCAGCTTTTCTCCTAAACTGAAAAGTTCTTTCCTACATCATTCATCGCTGCCTTTTCCAGTGCCGCCACCATTGCCTTCAATTTCATTATCATCTTCATCAGTCCTGCATTCAACCCCCTTCATGTTGTCACGATCTTCAGCGTCATCTGTGTTTATAGCATCACAGTTACTGCCAAGTTTGGAAACACATCTGTCGTCATTTTCGCATTTGCCTTCAAATTCATCGTCTTTGTTACATCTAAGAATGACTTCATCATCGCATTCGACGGCGTCGTCATCAACATTTTTATGCTGTTCCCCCTCCTCTTCTTCTGCTTCCTTCTTCTCCTCTCCCACCTCTCTCTCCTCCCTCTCTTCCTCCTCATCGTCCTCTACCTCTCTCTTCTTTCCTTCCGCTTCTATCTTTTCCTCGTACCCCTTTTCTTCGTCATCTGCTTTCTACTTCTCTTCCTCTCACCCCATCCCCTCCTCCTCCTCCTCCTACTCCTTCTCTTCTTCCTCTGTTTCAACATTTCTCTCTCCGTCATCATCATTATCAGTGTCGTTGTCATTATCATCATTGTCATCATCATCATCGTCATCAATCACAACAACAACTCCTCTAATGAAATCATCAGTAATCCAATCAGTATCAGCACCAACTTCATCACCAATATTTTCATCGTCATTCTTGTCATCATCATCATTATTGTCATCATCATCATCATCATCAATCACAACAACAGCTCCTTTAATGAAGTCATCAGTAATCCAATCAGTAATCCAGTCAGTATCAGCACCAACTTCATCACCAACGTTTTCAGCGTCATTCTTGTCATCGTCATCATTATTGTCATCATCATCGTTGTCATCATCAACCACAACAACAACTCCTCTAATGAAGTCATCAGTAATCTACTCAGTATTAGCACCAACTTCATCACCAACATTTTCATCGTCATTCTTATCATCACAGCATCTAAGAACAAAACTATTACCACCGCCTGCACAATCGACAGGATCATCAACGACGACTTCAAAGAAAACTTTATTATCAACAAATTTAGTGGTTCTATGGTCATCGATATCCGATGTGAAACGTTCCTTAGATTTGACTTCGCCCTTATCTTCATATTCTAAACATACTTTTATAAAGAAAACCTTTATTAATGCTGAAACCTCAAAACGCGATTCTTCGCAAGGAGAAGGCGTTTACTTCTCCCACGCGAAAACAGGACTCACTCTCTCCAGCATTCCTCAAACGTTAATTGCGACGCCTTCAAAACCAAGCACAACTGTACCTGCCGTCACTGACACATTTCTGATGAAATTTCAGGGAAACTGTAGTTTTATTTCCAACAGGGAAGAATTCAAGTATACCTTTGTAACTGCTTTGACCGAATTTTTGCCGATTTCAAGATATGATGTTATAGTCTATGACGTCAAGTGCGGTTCGGTGGATGTTACTTTTGGGTTGCAAGGTCACAACAGTAATTTAACAGAAAAACTGTGGGCGATGATAGCAAACGAATCAATTGTGTTTACCTACAATGGGACGCAGTTTGTTGCATTTTACTTGAGACAAATCATAACGCCATCGTCCATAACTGTCACAGACCCCACCACGCCTCCTTCGGTTCCAACCGGGACCTCCACCAAACACGGAAGAAAAAGGATCGTGTTTATAATATTTGTGTTGATTGGTTCAGTATTTGGAGCATTGTTTATTTTCTGCTTGGTCGTATTTGTAGCCAAGTTCTGTACCTGCTGCCAGAAAACTCATAGAAAATTCCGCGTGCATCGAAACGTTCGCATGCAAGCTCCCTTTGAAACTGAGTTGAAACGTTTTGTGGCGCACAATAATATTCTCCAAGGAGTTAACTTTTACGGAGAATTAACTCAACTGGAGGAAATCAGAAAAGATGTTGAGCTTGAAATTGTCGAAGATGACATCGATGAGGAGCTTTCCGAACTAAGTCCCCTTGCAGACACAAATATTGGCTTGTTAAATAGTTATAATCACACGAATTCTTGCCAACCAAAAGAGCACAAGTTTGTCTTTGATGACGCTGGCTCTTGTTCTAGTGTGGTCTTTTACTAAAGCACTTTCATATGGATGCTATTTTGTACAGATTTAGAAACATTTGATTGGGTGTTTCCAAATTGCAGGCTCAGTCTACAGCCGCTGGTGTTCCGATGCACCCACTGATCGCTGGTGCATAGAAACATCAACAGTCGAAGACATAATTACAAAACTTTGTTGCGAAGCTTTGATTACTGAGGAAAAAATAGAATCTAACCGTAAAATAATATAACTTTTTATCGCCCTAGATAATTTTGTGTAAGATTTCAGGGGCAAATTCAAAATGAACTGTTTTACTGCAACATAATACACAATACAGTCATTTTATTTTACTTTGTTTGTTTTACTTGATCAACAGCGCACCCTTACATAATATTCCGTCCTTCATTTTCTCGGATAAGGAAGTCTCAGATTCGGCGGAAGAGTATTAAAAAAGCCTAAACCGAATCAAACGGACGTTAGTTTGGATGCCATTATTTGTCAGTTAGTTTATCACATGAACAGTCACTTTTTCCAGGCAATCCTATAGGGCTGCCGTGAAAAATGCGAAGGGACTGGGCAAGACTTTCAAGTCGAGCGGGAGACTTAGGAAGACAGAGTTGTTGTCATATATGACAAACGAATTGCGACAATAGAAAACATGGCGACCAGATTTCATGGCGGGCAAAGAACTTGATAGTAACTTTTACATCTTCCTGCCCAAAGTTTTGACCACTGACCCTGTAGCAGATGTAGAACACGGATCGAGGAATTCATGCTACGCAGGAGAGCGTTTATGCTTTTTTCTGATCGCCCAGTTCCGAGGGAACAAACGAGAAGATGCAAATTTTGAAAATTGGCAGAAACGCCTGTTACGTTTGTGTACATCTGTTAGTGTAAGCAGCATTGAGTTAATGACCAGAAAAGACGACGCACATGCAGGCGGATTTATTACTTGTTGGCCTGTTGGTTCTTCAAAAATGGAGGGAGAAGACGTCGATTTGAGGAAAAAGGTTTATTATTTAGAATTTGAATTCCAGAACCATCTTCCAAAACACAAGTTTATTGGGTTACGTAAGCGATCCAGTTGGAAGCGCAAATTGATGTAAATTTAGAATTTATCATTCACCAATTATCATTATATTTCCATTTAATTCCAATATTTTACTTGCGTTTTTATTCTTATGTGGGAACTGGTATCAGAAACGCACTTATACAGTTCATTCATTCTTCGGTTACGGTGATCAAGTTCACGTGCCAATTAATTTAAGTGCTCAAATAGCCATGTTCGTGCGAGATCTCCTATAATTCTAGTATTCTCTGCAGACAAACTGACTTATGTTGTGGCTAGATTATATTCAAATTGAAATGCACATTTTCAATGGAGCAACTGCAGAATACCCGGCCACTCATTTACATGTCATTGAATAAGAATAGCGTCTATTGTGTTATGCCTCGATCTTCAAAGCCTCCCGACTCCTGTTTCTGCACGGTCCTCTATATATTTCCATTGGTACTAAAGTGGAGAATTTATTTCACAGTCAAGACTTTCTTTATTTGTCAGTAATTCTCTATATTCTCATGACCTTAGTGCTTGATCCAGTGGTGATCTCATTAGCCGATAATAGATGCTTGTCACTCCAAGGGGTTAAAGTATGTTCCTTCATTCTGTTACTGATAGATAGAACCAAGAATTACTCATCGTGGTGACATCATTTATCCATTGGATGTTAGACTGAACTCATTGCCAGCTCTGACGAGGAGGATGCGTCTGTCAGTGAATGTCTGGACACCAGAATTGCATGTCTTTCATGAGACAGAAAATAGGACAGATATTGATTTTAGACATTACTTGGTGGATCATGATCCTGATGACCTAATTGAAGAATCAAAGAATGCATGGCGATGTATAGGTAAAAATGCAAATACCTGCTTAAATTCTTCTACAAGGGTAATAAAATTTGCAAATGCAGGAAGATTGAACATTGAGTAGTTGTTAGTGTCTCAGCCCTTTCATTCCCATGATCTTATCAGTAATTCTCCTTACTGTCTGTCTTACAATTCTTATAATGTTAGTTTGGATCATTTTGTACCGAATCAACTAATAACCCCTGAACTCTTCAATTCCTAAGAGTGACTAGCATCTAATTTCTCCTTACAATATCACCACTGAATCACACATTAATGTCATGAGAATAAAGGCAATGATCACTAACTAAAGAAATTCCTGATTTTTTGACAAATTCTCCTTGTCAGCACCTTAGTAAATGTACAGAGAATAGTATGGAGAATATGAATGCTGATGTTAGGGTGTAAAGGGTTAATTTCCCGTATTCTCACTACTTGTCTATTTTATATTGTATTGATATTATAAGGAGAAATTCTGTCTCAGTCAGCCATGATGGAAGCACTTCCTCTTGTCATGTGGTGAATAGATTTAACATTTAAATCAACTCAGTAAAAGTGTGCTCTGATTTGCAGTCAATGCTACCCTTCCTGTCATAACACCTCCCACACTTCGCTGCAAATATTTTCAAGTGGCTGGAAAGCATTTCCTTTGCATTGAAGGTAAGAGGTGCCCATCTTTTCTTAATGATGATAAAACTGGAAAAAACTTTGGCATGAGCCTGGAAAGGAGGGAAGTTTACAACTTATTTGGTAACTTATTTGAACTCTTAGATGAAGGGAGGCTTTATGAGAGGGAAGTGTCTCACCCAAGAACACAGCAAGCGGACTCCAAAGATGGCGTGAACTCATGAGACATAGAAATGTAGCCATTGAGTCACCATGCATTTCTCAAACCATGGCACATCTTGACCTCAACAAATGGAAACTTTTCCTTAGCTTACTTACAAGCTCTCTTTTGTTTATTTATTTCCTTTCAGTTATCAATATTTTGGGTAAATCAGTCACGCTTAATGAAGTTGATGTGAGGACTAGTTATGACGTGGACATAGAAAATGGGAAGAACATGATTCATTATTTCAGTCACCCAAAACAGGATTTTAAGCCAAGGTATGAACCTTTGTTTGCCCTAAGGAAGGGCTAATGCTTGAAGTGTCAGCTTTGGAAATCTTAAGGGTGACCAATTTATGATATCAACCCAGTTGATGATACCAAATTACTATGAACCTTTTTGGCCAATAAGATGTGAAAGAAATATTATTGACCTATCATTTGCAGGTTAGTTGTGATTATAGGAATTTCATTGAGTAAAGCCTGATAAAAGTACTCAGGTCTTAGTATTCAGTTCTCACTGGGGCATTCTTGTCATCACACTTGAATATTTCAGAATAATTATACAAGGTTGTCAAAATAGGCAGGCAACCTGCACATTTCACCATCTACTCTGAAAAAAGCTTTGGCTATTCGAAATGCTTGTTGCTCCCAGAACCATTGCCTGTGGAGGGGTCTTCTACCACTAGTGCCCCCCTACTTTTTATGGTTTAACAATATTGTTTTTAAGTATTCTCTCTCACTATTGCAGGTTTTCTTGCTTAGATGTTTTCCCAGTCACCACAAGTGGCAACAAAGCAAGTACTTTCCCAGTTCTTCTCAGACCTTGGGAACACTATGCATTTCTCTTTAGAATCATCTATCATGAAAATCAGATGGCTTTGAACAAGGTACTTATCACTCACTATCACAGGCATGGCAAACTGATAACATCAAATTGTTAACTAAAATCTAAACATTGTCCTGTAATTTTTCCAAGTTGTGATGTTACCACCATTAAGTTTGGCTGCCATTTTTTTTCATTTTTCTCTTTACATTAATTTCATACACTGTTTAGAAGAAGTAGGAGAATTGTCAACCAAGGGATATTGTTTCTATTTAACGACAAATTCTCTGTAACAGCCATCAAAAAAATCTTTGGCCCTCATTTGGGAAAACAAGCTTTCAGATCTAAGGGGTGAAAGAGTTAAGTAAGATCCTTTATACCAGGAAGATTACTGTAGGATGGATTATAGACTACACAAACATGCCAGCAATTATTGGGCTAATTTATTATTGATTAAAATGTTTGAATTGGAATATTGACAGAGTTTGTTAATTTTCAGCAACTGGAAGTGGTACTCAAGGGATCAATAAAGTGGGATGTTGAGACATTAAAGGAATGCTTCCAAACAATTAACACTTCCTACAGGTAGAAGCTGCAGCAGTTGCACTTGGTACTCGTGGTGTTCAACATATCTCAGTTTGTACATCTTGAACAAAGTGGCCCAAATTTTTCAAGATTTCCATTTTCACTTCCTTTTGGTCTCCCCTGTCCCTAAATATGTGCGTACCCCCTTCAACCCACACTTTATTTCATCACAAATTATTGCAAGTGTCACATGTGATTTGCATGGCAAAGTACTCAGTCACATGATCTTTTTACATACAATTTGATCAAGATTGTGCTTGGTGAGGTAACAAGTTGTAGGAAATTTCTTTGAACAAGTGCATATGCATTTATCACAAATCAATTATGGATGCACTCAACACTGTTAAGAGTGCAACAAAGTAGCACCAAACGGTGCAAAGGACACCTTAGGAAATTTTAGGAGGGGTATGTGCTTGGCTTGCTCCCTCCCCATCAGTTTAAAATGCTCTACAATTTCCCCCTCCCCCCTTGGTATAAAATGCATTGCAACCCTTGTCTAAATTTGAAGATGTAGCTCATTAAATCTGGTGAATGATGTGAGGAAGTCAGTTAGTCACTTTCAGTGCTACAGTGTGCTTTTTTAGACTATTGGGCAGAACTACAAAGCTTGGTTTTTTTTTTTCAACTGAGAGCCTTTTTTCATTTATTTTTTGCTTTTAATTTTTGTTTCACCAGTCTCCCTGTTTTCATTGTGAGAAGGTCTTCTGTGAGTGTCCGTGCAAGTTGCCAATCAAGTGTGGGAAAAGGAAAAAGGTACATTGTTTGACGCTGTTCAATACAAGGATTTTTACTTTACTGTAGTACTTATTTTTACCTAAAATAATTTTTTAACCCTTTAACTCCCAAAAGTGATTAACAAGTAACTTCTCCCAACAATATCCACTCATTACCCAGCAAACAGGTGATGAGAATACTCAAATATATCAGGTAGAAGTTAATATCTTGATCTAAAACCAAATTCTCACAACTTATTTACAAGGAAATGTGTAGCATCTTGGGAGTCGAAGGATTAAGAAAAATGAATAATTTATATCGCATTTTTATTCATCTTTGTAGGTTTCAGGTGAAGTACACAGTTACAAACACTGAACGAGATGATGGAAATGTTTCTCTTGTCTGGAGTCCAGTGAACAATGCCTCACTGAAAACACTTAGAAATGCTCCCATAATGCATTCGTTGGTATGCCTACAGCCAAAAGTTAAAATTGGGTAAGAATTGCAGTTTCTTGCTTGGGTCAATAAATATTTCAGACTTGTGGTTATAAAAATGAAAAGTTCCCTCATGTTATTGTTGTATACTGTTATTGAAATCCTCTGTGTGATTAAAATACTCTGTGCAAATAACTCTAGTGGTGACATGCTGTAAACTTGGAATCTGCAGAATTAAGTTTAAATAGTATGTGTCTTTTATGTTTATTCATTTATATTACTTATTTATTAATTTTTTAATATCACTCTCATACTTGTTGTATATTTAGGAATCAAGTCATTCTTCTTCTTCTATGGCAAAACATTGTCTCTACTCAACAACAGTTACTTTTGAAATTCTTCTTCCCATTCTGTTTAAATTCTCTCTGCAGTGATGAAAGAACTGATTTTGTTGATAAACTAGTCATGTTCTAAGTACTTCCCTTCATAGTCACCCCCATAAAATTTGAGAGGTGTACCTTCAACTCCTCTTCAGCTGATTCTGCTGCACACAGCCGCAGTCACAGCAGTACTCTCTTAAACCTTCCACGCCTATCAGTATGCATATTCTCCAAACTCTTCTCTATACATTTCCTAAGTTGCTGATGAGGAGAATTTGTTTCACAGTCAAGAGTTTCTTCAGTGGGTGATTGTTTCCTTTAATCTCATGACCTTAATGTGTAATTTAGGGGTGATATTGTAAAGAGAAAGTAGATGCTAGGCACTCCAAGGGGTTAGGGGGTTAATTTCTTCTTTCAAAAGTCTTTTGCCTTGACTCCAAGTATGTTAGGCAAGGCTAATTTTTTAGGTTCCTCTTCCCACACTTTAGTTGGTGTTTCCTTTCATTGATAATTATGGTATTGTCATTCAAAGGTGCTGTCCATCTGGGTCATCACTAACAGTGAATGTGGAATTCTTAGCAGTTCAGGAAGGATTGCACGAGGTATGAATTCACTAAGAACAACCAGGCAAACCTGTCTGTGTTCTTTAACCCTCCAACTCCCAGATCAAATTTTTAATTCTCCTTTCTGTCAGCCATACAATTCTTACAATGTTAGTTCAGAGAATTTAGTATTAGATCAATTATTATCCCCAAATTGATATTTTTCTTTATTCTCATCACTTATCTGGTTGATATTGTATTGATATTGTAAGGAGAAATTCTGTCTTGGTCGCTCATGGGAGTTAAAGGGTTAAGAGATCAGAAACTTAAATACTGGTACTGATTTGAGCAGGGAGTGGGTTAGTGTTATTTCTCCCTTACTTGTCACAGGGTTTGTATGCATCCTGGAAAACCTGGAAAGTCCTGGAATTTTATTTTGATTTTTTTCAGGACTAGTGAGTCCTGAAAAAAGACTACAGGTCCTGGAAAGGCCAGGAAATCTGCTTTGATCAAGCCATAAAGTCACCAGAATTTATGTTATAAGAAATGTAGATAGACCGAGAAGAGAATTGCTTATGAGATTTTAGGAATGAAAGGGTTTCATGTTAATTTGAAGTCTGAGAAAAATCAATTAGGTCCTGAAAAAGTCCTCTGAAAAAGGATACAAACCCTGCTGTAAGTTTCAAATACACACAGGATTTTTCCAACATCTCATGGACGTGAAGATACATGGTGCCAAAGACAAATTTCATACACTCAGGTGACAGTTTGAAAAACCAATTGCAGTGAAAAGCCCTTCATAAATGAATTTTAAAGATAATAACACCAATCTACAGTGTATTCATCCTTTGACTCCCAAGATCTCATGAGTAATTCTCCTTTCTGTCTGCCATACAGTTCTTCTGATGTTAGTTTGGGGAATTTGGTATTGGATCAATTTATAATCCTGTAATTGATATTTTTTTTATTCTCATCACTTGTTTGCTTGATATTGTATCAATGTTGTAAGGAGAAATTCTGTCTTGGACACTCATGGGACTTAAAAGGTTAATATAAATATGATTTTAACTTAAAATTGAATATTAAAAACCCTACCAGCAATTACTTTACACTCAGTAAATAATTGTACTGTCTGTTACAAAAAGGAAGGTATAGCAAACATTTAACTTCATTTGTACAATTTACTATTAATGATAAATAATAGTGTAATTTTGAGAAATCATCATTCCCACCACCAGTACCCTTTCTATGCGAGATACATGATTTATTTTCACAAATTTGTACTCTTTCTCCTTAAGGTTGGTAAATTTATGAAGTGCAAGTGGCATGGTGAATCAGATCAAGAAGATTTCTCGGGAAGCAGATCTGAAAGACAGAATACTTCTCCATCAGGATTTACAACAGTGTCGCATTCTTGTCAAATTTTTGTAACAGGCATAAGTTAGATGCAGATTTATTCTCTGCTCTAACAGGTATATTAAGTCAATTATTTATCAATTAATAATTCATAATATAAATATATATTTGAGAGAGATGTGGATATGAATTTGATTGTTACTTGTATCATCAACAAGGTCTGTATGCTGAATTTGCTTTTTCTACCAGAGTGTCTACATGTACTTTGTATAATGCATGTCATTACGCTTCATACATTCATCTATTCATTCATTAAGCATCAGCATGATTTCCTAGTGACCTGTTAAAGGCCTTTGTTTGCATAACACAGAAAACCGGCAGGGTACACAATGGTATAAATTACCTGCAGAACAGGAGTATCTTTTGGCATTTTGCGGGCAAGTCTTGTCTGGGAGTCTGCTACTTGGTTCCCCAAATACAGATACTGACTCAGGCTTGATTACCAGCCACTGTAAGACCCCATGCTTCTCCCTATTTTCTCAGGGAGGAGCAAAGACTCAACACAACAGAGTAGCCGAAATCAAGCTTATCACTGACCCTTCTTCAAACTAAAAATTGTCACTTTCTGCCCCTGCTCTTATACTTAGCTTCCAAAACCTACAGTTATGGCTCGTTTTGCCTAGAATCCCTTCTAACTTTAAAAAAGTGTCTTCAGTTTGGCTTCTATGTGGTCACTGATTTTATGTATATATTAGAATGTACAATATATTTGTTTCCATCGAGGAGCAAAGTCTTAAATTATAGAATGACATAATTATTTCATTACTTGAAACTGAATATAGTGAAGAATCAAGGCTTACATCTTATGGACATAAGTATGCTATACAAAGTTTGGAAATAATGCATAATAATTTGGTCATTTAAAGAACCCATGCTATGGGAAACAATCCTCAATTTTTGTATGTAAGTTCTGTTGACCATACCAGAAATGCATGCTACCAAATAACTCATTTTAGGGATATAATCTAGAAATCTAGAGAAAAAACATAGGATAGTAAGATCAACAACCTGAGGACTTTTTTTGTATCAATAATTGCTCAACTGGTTTGTGAGAACTTTTGGAAAATTATATTTAATGATGAGGGAGTGGATTAAGTCAAAAAACTGTGATGCAACAAGAGAGAAAGTCTCATATTTATAAATATTTGCAGTTATTGTAATAATCAATTGGAATTGCTACAAATGTATGAATATTAGGAATATTTTTAAAGTTCAAATAAAGAATCGAAAAGATTGGAAAATCAATCTTTGAAACATTGTATGCTTCAACAATATATCTTGTGGCTGCCAGGCACCATACATATTACTTTACATATGTCATTATACTTGAAATCATGTGTTGTGATTTGTGTGTTGTGTACAAAAGGAGCAAGGACCTGAACACACCAATTAACCCTTTAACTTCCATAAGTGACAAGGAAAGCGTTTCTCCTTACATAAATCAATACAATATCCAGCTGACATGTCATGAGAATAAAGAACAATATCACTTAGGAGATTATTGGCTGATCCAATACCAAATTCTCCAAACTGATAACATAAGAATTTCTTAGTAAACAGTAAGGAGAATTTCAACTGAGTCTTAGATGTGAAAGGGTCAAAGCTGTCAGTAAGTGACTCAAAATCACCCAAATACTCATTTTCAACATTGCTAAATAACCTTTAGTTTATTCTAAATAACAGTCCATACAGGAAAATATTTCATAATTTTGTATTTTCACCCTAACTGTAACATGAGCGAGGGGCCAATTGTCAAACAAGGAGAATGATTTACTTAAGTCAACATTTACAAGCTGAGTTGCTCTTACAGATGTAAGTGGATGTGATTAGAGGAAAAAGAAAAAATCCAAAAAAGGGAGGAAAACGAGAATTATTGTGTGAAAATTTATCAGTTCATTAAACTAGCCAGAAGTTTCTTGATTGAGCATTTTTCCTGAGCAGGTAAATCCAATTTCTGTTGATGATTTCACGTCCATTGGTGACTTAATCTTTGATCAATGTCAGAAGATGGCTGTGACTCTGTCTTTTACTTGTACCATTTAATTCATTCTCTATTCACTTTCCTGTTTCAAAGGTCTCTTTACAACATATATTTTCTGATTTGATACAGTTGCCATCAATGTGAAGTCTCTATAGCACACTGCAAGTGATAAAACATTTAAGAACAAAAATTTAAGAAGTGATATATGTACGACTACATTTGTAATAATAGAATTGACTGAAAAGAAAGAAAAACTCCCCTTGTAATGAATGGTAGTGAGCTCACATTTAATTTCTCCCAGTTATAATCACTGTAATAATTATAGAGAAATCAACTCAATTGCTCCTCACCCAAACCAAAAATTCCAAAAATGTTTGGGTTATAGTTTGATTGCCATATTTACGTTTAGAATATACAGTGTACCAAGCTCCCAAGTTGATTTACTGGCAAAGAATGCAATTTACAATAGCATAGCCTTTAACTGTGATGCTGCAGGCATCACCTCCTTGGGAGGGGGGGAGGGGAGGGGGGGAGGGGGGGTATGAGGGCAAGCTCTCTGGAAAATTGTGAAAAAACGCAGTAGCTAAGACATGCATTCCTTAATCTGGAGCAAGAATTTCCACTGTTGGAAAGGGTTCAAAGCAAGTACAAAGGGAAAAAGGGGTAAATTATATTGAAAAGATAATTAATTTACAGGTACTTAACTAAAGCAGCAGTTTGCCACCTCAAAATCAACAGTTTTTAATCAGAATCCATAAATGGGTGAGAAATATAAATTTCAGTGTGAAAGCTTATGATTGAATTCATTTGCATAAGTCTCACACTCAAAAAATAAGACTTGAGAGTTCTGAATATAGGATGGGGAATAATGTCAACCACAATAGCCGATCAGAATGAAGGTAAGCATAGCAAAACACATGGAGCAATAAAGCCTTGAATGGTTCTTAGTTTTACATCAGATTGGTTAAGGCACATCAGTTTTAATTAGCAATCACAGAGCAAAGGGAAGTAATATCATGGCAAAACTGGATTACTCTCAACACTCACCTAAAAATTGCTTTATTGAATGGACCCTTGTTTGATTCACAACAAATTTCAATTAACTAAAAAAACTGATGGAATTTTTTTACAATCTAGCCTCTTAAAAGTTTCACTCTTGACACCAGTTTTGAAAGTATATATCTTCTAGTTTCAGATCTGCCATGATAGTGACATCCTATGATGGCCTACCTGACATTCTCTTCATGGTCTGAGTTCTGTCTCCTGAAATTGCTATTTTGGCTGCTGTTTGAAGCATCCTAGTTATGGTTGCAGCAATATTTTCCTCATTCTCAAGGTCACCTGATGACTTAAAAAGAAAATAATATTTTATGCTGAGACAATAATTTAACTCACATTTGACATTTGATTTTATAAGATGCAAATGCAGGTCATATTACCTTGTAGCACTCAAATGTTCTGGCTTTATGATCCTGTTAACTATTAAACTCCCAAGATCTGGTTCTTAATTCTACCTCTAGCTGCTATACATTTCCTTGTAAATTGTTTATGAGAATTTGGTATTAGGCAAAGATAAAAAAAATTTACCCGATAAGTCTCAGGTTTCTCTTTACCTGTTTGCTAGATAACTGAAACTTATTATGGGGAGAAGTTACTTGCTAATCACTTCTGCAAGTTAAAGGGTTAACTCCGCCATTGTGCTCAAAGAAAAGAAAATTAATTTTGTATGATGACATAAATCCAGGTGTCTGTACTCTGAAAGATCATATCTAATGACCAATTACTCCATGAAAAGTATAAAGTTTATTGAATAATATGCAATAGATAACTCTTTTTATCCATCAACCCTTTAACTCCCAGATCAAATTTGTACTTCTCCTTTAGGTCAACAATACAATTCTTATGATGTTAGTTCAGAGAATTTAGTATTGGATTAACTTTTTATCCCCAAATTGATATTTTTCCTTATTCTCATCACTTATCTGGTTGATATTGTATTGATATTGTAAGGACAAATTCTGTCTTGGTCACTCTTGGGAGCTAGAGAGTTAATTGCTTTTTGTAAAATATTTGAGAAGTTACAAGTACCCTGATTGGTCAAAAGACTATTGTTTATTATGCCAGTAAACCCCTAGAAGACTGAAGTTTACTTCACACAAGCAATAGACCACACTTCCTATTGGTTTACCGGTAACATCTCCCATTTTGGATGTTTGGAAAACAGTCACAAAAATTTTGTAGATCACTCGCCTCCAGCTTGTATTTTACAAACTTTTCTCTTGTTCTCCCAGGGTGCAGTCTATCACTTAAATCAAGGAGTCAAAGAATAGTACAGAGATCAAGAAATTAAAAGTGGAAGACAATAGATATGCAAGCCTATTTTTTCGTAAATAAATCCTGAGTGGATTATATACCCAGTAAACCAAAGGGAAGAACAATATGATACATTTCAGTTTGTTCCAGCTTTCTTCAAGTTTACCACTAACACAAAACAATCACTTTTTGACCAATCAGAGCATGCTTATTTAATCAACTACTTTGTTGATATGTAATATTACACTTACAGCAAGTACTGCTCCATCTGAATTAATTACCAAGTATCCCTGCACATCAGGTATTTTGTCTAGGCCATGTGGGAAAGGAATTGCCTTCAGTTACAAAGAGACAAGTACAGAAATGTCAGTGTCATAAGTATGAATTAATCTGAATCTGCAACAACCATTACCACCACAGTTTTCAGTAAGAAGACGACAAAAGGTATTCGGAGACTTGTGTTGAACTAATGAATGTATGTCAATTTCTGTAAAGTTTTAAAGAAAGACATAGCTTGGGCTACAAACATGTACATGCAGGTCTTCATAAATTTTCGTAGAGTCTTAATTATTCTTGGCCGTTTTTCTCTGATATTCCTCTTTCTTTGTCATCCTATGTAATATTTCTGAAGAACCAGGACAAATAGAATCCAAAATGGTGTATTTGTCTTGAGAATTTAAAGCAGTCTCTTCAAAGTCAGAAAGGAAGCGGAACTTTTTTTTGTGAAAGAGACAATGGCAGGTCCAAATATCCGTCTCTCGAATAGTCCGAGAACACGAATTTCAAGTGCAACTACAAGTTGGCATAAAAAAGTCTTAAAACATTGAAATAACGTTTTCCAAATACATTTATAGTGTAGAGTTTAGATTCTGTCAGCCCCGAAATCGTTTTCAACGCAGGTTCTTGTCGTTCTCGAGCGCAATGGCTATCCAGGTTTCTTTCAGGTTGGTTCACCGAAAGCTATTTCCTTCAAGCCTCCTCAAATTAATCCATATCACAATTTCATTAACAATTGCTAACGGCATGACAGAAGGCAATTTTTTCTGCAAACTCACCATCTTCTTGTGCTTGAAATTGAGAGAAATCACGAGATTTCATCATGCTTAGCAGCCGCGCTATATCTTTTGTAACAGGTATTGTAAGATCAGGGTTTAAAAACCAAATATCCGCCCCTCTGGACATGCTCGCCTCCGTGGCCTAATGGATAAGGCGTCGGCCTCCTATACGGATGTGCCGGGTGAGCACTAGATAGCCGAAGATTGCGGGTTCGAGTCCCGTCGGAGGTGTTTTTTCTCTACTTTTACTTTTTTTTTCTGGCTGTTTAAGATCCTTGTGTAATTTCTGCAAAAAATTTTAGAAGGCAAAAGATTCTAACAGATTCAAATCTCGATGAGGCTTGGTTTTCGGCAGAGTTGAGTGACACTAATGAACTTTCATTTTTTTATCAGGAAGAAAAATTGGGCTCAAAACCATTGGAACTGACTTTGTGTTTGACATTGGGCAACGGCTTCCTCTTAAAAAAGAACACAATTAAATAAACTTGACCACTCGTCAAAAATGTATCCTCGTATCAATTGATTTAGCAACTTAAAAGTTGCTAAATCAATTGATACGAGGATACCTGATTACTGTCCACACAAGCAAACGGATATAGCTTTTAATAAGTCAGCACCGTTTTCCTCGCTCCTTTCGTCTGGAGGAAAAGAGGACTCTTAGAGATGAGCTAATATAATACTGGTATTATATAAGAACATTTTAAAAATTCCTTTCATGCTACAGTTGAAAAAAAGGTGACGCACAATAGCATAATGCTAAAAATTTCGTGCATAATTCATCTCACCCTACTCTTTATCACGATCGGTACTCATTGAAGGATAATATATCAGCTTCATTCATAAAAGTACAATCGGATATTTGCAAACTGATTACAAACTTCTTTAGTTTTTACCTACTTTAGTAGGAGGTTTACTATTACGTGTATCCTCCTCGAACACACTCTCATACACGGTGTGAAAAATTGATTGGCTCTCATTGGTGCGATTTATCCATGAATCGAAAAAGATGCTCTAAATCGCATCTTTTTTCCAGCAAATGAGAGAGCTTCAGTAAAACACGACAACCAATCATATTTCAAGGCTTGTTTGAAGAAATCTATCAATTTACAAGAAAAGGAAAGAAAACTTTACAACTTTTTATGAACCAGCTCAATACTGTTATCAATGAGAAACGTGTATATGAGCCAGTGAGTTTTGCAATTTCAAAAAAGATGTAATAAAGAGGTCTTCGAACTTGATACCCTTCACGCTTTGACTGTGTGGGAGAGGTATTTAAACAGATGCAATGACTTGAAAATTGTCCCTAGGGGGATACCGACGGACCCACTAGTCATAAAGCAAAGAAAATTACCGTACCACTTTCGACCACTGCAGCCGACAACCACTTCTCTCTCTTCATGAGATGTGAGGTTCTTGCTCACTACGACTGCTCATTGTTTATAGGTGAATAACGCCACAACATATATTTCAGGGGGAAGGATTTTTATAAACCTATTGAAACTGTTAAATTGGTGTTAAATATTGATAGATGTGAGGTGGTTCTAGAGATTTAGAGTTTGGCTCTCTGGGTTTCAGCCTTTGTGACGGAAAAGAAGAAAACCAAAGAACACAAAATTATGCTGTACAGCCTTCCCTCGGCTGCTATTTACTCTCAGTGTAGCTTTAAAAACTCAAATAAACAAACGTAAATCTTGTACACACTCTACATTTGGTTTAAACGCTCGTGACTGGTGCTTTATGCGTTCGCATTAAAAGGCGTGGATGCTGAGCCATTTGTAGCGATTGAGGCATGAAGGGTTCTCTGGGTGTGGCGAAGATAGCGATGAGATAGATCTCATTGCAATACAACATAGTCGTAGAAAATAGAAAGAAAGATACAGCAAATAGACAAACAGAAAACTGATTTCCTCAGAGGACTGTTAACCTCACATCGCTAACTAGATTTATCATTTGATAGGGAAAGAACTAAAAACCAGAAAAGGAAAGGTTCGTAAATCAACTTCAATCAAATTAGTATGTGAGATTATTTTTTTCCTTCTCACAGGATCATAAAATGCAATCCACGTGCTGAGTAACTCTTGTTTGGCTTTTTCGCTTTTTAATCATTACCTTTTGCATTTTCGTATGACAGGTATAGAAATTGACAGTAAATAATTACCGGTGTATAGCTTGGAGGAGCTCCCCTAAAAATATCAACGATGGAAGTCTGGAAAGGGGTGGTGGGGGGGCGCAGGGGGCACCTGTGTTTGCATAATATGGGGAGCAGAGATGGCGCAGTGTTGAGAGGACTCGCATCCTACCACTGTGGTCTGGGTTCAATTCCCGGACCTGATGTCACATGTGGGTTGGGCTTGTTGTTGGAGGATTTTTTTTCCCTTTCCTCCACAAAAACCAACATTTTCAATTCCAATTCGGCCTCGCAACAGTAGACAAGAAGAACCGCCTCATGTCCACGACTAAATCTCATATATTTTATCAAGACTGGGAAACTGTGCGATGCAAGTATCTTTTTCTTATTTTTATTGTAGACTATTTATGGTTAATGGTAACAAGACAGCTAATAAAATTTCAATCTTGTTGCTCGCCAACATAAAGGGTCAGGGTCAGTCTATTACTTTGCTTACGTTGCTGTTAGCTTAAGATATAAACAACTAATGAGGATAATTAATGTTGCAGTTAAGGAAGGAGCTACTTCATGACTTAGCGAGCATCTTGAAAAATTCAGAGTTACAATCTGTGTTGATCTTCTCCATTTTTTCCTTAATTGTAACTCTATTTAGTTTATTCTCATTGTTCTGCTTTTTTTTTCTTTTTTTCTGTACTAGTAAGTGATTATTTGAATGGAACGCACTTCGATGGAGTGTCGTAAAAACCAAAACCAAAGAAATTACGACAACCAATCAGAACAACGGGAAAATATCACAAGAAGCCAATCAGAACTAAAACGAGCGCGGGAAAACGCAAGCGTCCGAGTTGCAACCGATTTAGTCTTGCGTCTGATTGGTCGAGGAGATAAGTCGAGTTTTTCGCACCAATCACAGGACGAAGCAAAGCAAAACCTCAGTGGTCCCTGATTACTTTTGACACTCAATTGAACTGATGCCCAGTTCTTTCCTTTTCTTTCAAAGGCAATTTTTAACGCAAAAGAAAAGAATTAAAATACCGTGAGGCAGCTCCTTCATTTAAACTAAAATTCGTTTTCTTTTCCTTGAAGAAAGGTTTTATAACGAAGTATCCATTTAAGGTACATAAGGATCGCGAAATTACCTTGCGATCATGCGATACTGACCCAAAGATATCTTTATGAAAAAACCTATTCAAAAAGCCATTTTTCTACTCATCTACCAGATGAAGAGCCAACAGTTTCTTGCAAGCCAACTCTGATTGGTTTGTACATGAGTTTCAAATCATCGAACTAGATGTATGTGGTCCACATTAACCCTTGAACTCCCTAGATCTCATTAGTAATTCTCCTTACAATCTGCCTTTCCATTCTTATAATGTTAGTTCGAAGAATTTGGAATTAGATCAACTAGTAATCCCCTAGTTTAGATTTTTGTTTATTCTCATCTCTTGTCTGCTTGAATTGTATTGATATTGTAAGGAGAAATTCTGTCTTAGTCATTCCTGAGAGTTTAAGGGTTACGAACTACAAGGCTTGCGAGCAAGTTCTCGTTTTTGAGTAGCAATCTCTCGACGCTTAACAAGTAGAACTTGCTAACAGAGTGTGTACTGAGCTTCTTGTGCACAAGGCAATTGAAAGAGCACGAGGCATATTGTTCGGCAAATCCACGTTCAAACAAAACAAAATTGGCATGAAACAAACTGTTGGCCACCAGAGATAGAAGTGAACATGGTATGACACTACACACTGTAAGTCTTTCACTGAAACTACACGTATTTATAACGCAAAGAACTCCAACGATGTAATAATAAATATACTCTTCTTCTCTGTTTTACAGAATTTACTCGTATGGTCATTTTCTATTCTCGATTACATTTTATACAAAATTAATAACATTTGAATTTCTCTCATGTCTCTAATACTTCACTGTACAACAGCTGAGCTGGTTGCCTGACCACTCAAAGAAGTTTAATATTTATTAAAGCTTTATTTGATTTTTTATCTAAGTGAACAAACCCCTTCTTTCGCGCGTTAAATTTAATTTATAGGGGAGACCTCGAACACAGATCTCTCCCACTTACTCATACGAGACATTGATTGGTTGTTGCTGATCAGTCAAAAGCCAATCAGAAAACTCGACACTTCTAAACCCTCCACGGAAACGTCATTTCCGGTCAAAGCTCGTCACCAATCTCTCTCTCTGGATTGACAGGAGTGCGCAAAGACAAACGTTTTGTTCTAGTGAGCTACGTGAGACGTTTATCTTTTAGAAACTACAACATGCCTACCTTGATTCAGTGTTGCAGGGCGCAAGAGAATTTGAAAAACACTGGAAGTATTACAAGCAGAAAATGACAATACAAATTGTTCTGCAAACACAATGGGCTTAAGCAATATTCCCACAAGGCAGCTAACGGGAAACAAACGGGGTAGGTTTCTGAAAAAACTGTGGGGCTGGGTCGGTTATTTTACCGATATCAAAGGTAAAGAGGTAATTTTTAATTTACATTTTATAATTTTTTTTTGGGAATGACTCATTACCTGAAACAACTACTTTCTTTATCCTAAACTTGTGGTAATTGTAAATAAATATCCACTCGAATGAAAAATACACAAAAGCAAGGACATTTTTCGAAAATGCAATACACAACAGCATGATCAGAAAATTTATCAGAATTTCACTTCCATACAATTTCAAAATGTAATGCAGATATTGCAACACGAATCGCTGATATTTTAACCGCGCAAATTCATCTTCTCTGAGATTTTGCATTCAATATTTCGTATCATCAAATATCTTCTGCCAACATTCTTTTTGCAATAATGGGAAATTACGTTTTTTTTCTTACTGAGAAATTCTAAGTATTTCAACCCTGATATACTTCATGGTTTTAAAAAAAAAACAAAGAAAAAAACATCACCATAAAGAAAACGAAAAAACCAATACTTTTAAAAAGTATTAAAAGCACTATTTAAAAAGTAACCACGCTATAAAAAAAATTATTGCTTCACTCATTCAAATCTAGAAAATTAGTTGAATTTTTCAGTCATTCTCAGATATAAATACAAGATTACTCGAACTCTCGAATTGGGGGATAATTTACAAACGGTCAAAATATTCTTGGCAACCGGTAAAAAGGAGCTTTTAACAGAAAACTTGGTATTCGCATCTATGAATCAACAATTCGTCTCTTATCCGTTAGTATAAATCCCAACTACTTTGCTTCAGTTTAACTTCTGTCAATCGATTAATTCGAATGCAGGACGTGATCTAGATTATTGTTGTCCTTCATGGAATCGTTTACCTCTTAGAGTGACACTTCTCCAATACAGCTACAATAGATAACTTATGTTTGTAGTTATTATCCTAACAGGAATAATATACGCAATATAATGTCATTTGATTTGATTCCCTCCATCGCCAGACTATTAAAACAGGATTTCAAGTGATCATTTCTGGAGGACTGTGTGTCCAGTAAGGTCAATTACTTTCTACAAATACCTTGTTTCAAAGACCTTTCAAGTTACTTAGCTACGACGTACGACAGAACTTCTTCGCAAAATGTCTGAAATAAATAGAACTCTTTCACCTTACTTCACAATAGCTCAAATATTCAAGGATTTTTCCACTCCAAAAAGGCAGTCTCTTATCGCCTTCTTACAAATACCTTGTTTCAAAGATCTCTCATGTTACTTAGCCACAACGTAAGATGGAGCTTCTTCGTCAAATGGCTGAAATAAATAGAACTCTTTTACCTTACTTCACAGAGGCTCAAATTTTCAAGTATCTTTCCACCCCAGTCTCTTCTCGCCCTCTTTCAATGGCTGTCCTCCTTTTCAATTGTCCTCTTCCCCCGTCCAGCCCTCTCCTCGGCTTTCGCTGTCCGTTCAATCCTTTGCGCTGACTTAGGAGACACCCCCCCGCATAGAGCCTTTACACTGTGTAGAATGCGCTTGACGTGCCCCACTTTGGTAACACCCAGTTCCTGGTGAAGGAAATATAATTAGTTTTGCCAAATAAACTAGACCCGTAGTTTTCTTCGCAGTCTTTGAGATATCGCGCAACGTTCCGCCGTTCAGTGCCATCTCAAAGAACGAACGTGAAATAGACTGGGAGATCTGTTACTATTCAAAATCTGGTGCCTATCTCAATTCTTGTCACGAGATGTTGTTGGGGGCTTATTCCTTTAAATGTGACACTAACCAGTTCATCAATCGTCCCACTCCTCCCTTGTATTTTCTAAGTCTTCCCGCTATTTGTACGCGATAATCATTTCGGTTCAACAGGGAGAAAGGCACACAAAGGGAGTATTGTTTCTCGTCACTGGGGGTAACCCAACACAATAATCCAACTAGAACTCAAGATCGAAATTTCTCGCACAGCCAATGGCGAAAATACGGTCTCAATTACAAAATCATTTCATGTAATGTGCTTGATGTACCAGTACCTTCAAATCCCCTCTGGTTAAATTTAACAGCTCATTGCCCCGGATGTCATGACTTTCAAAGTTTTCCTTGTATTCCGACAGTCCCAGGCTTTCCAACCAGTTCCCGACCTCCTCAACTCCCCAATATGAAATCATGTGACCTGGAAAACAATCAACGGTAAAGCAACTATGATTATATATCAAAGAGAGCGAAATAATCATTCTCTCTTTTATCCCTGCCTATTCTCAGCTATCACTCTTTGTCAACGCGCCTAAATGCGCAAGAAAAACTACTCTATAAAATTTAGTAGTTATTGTCACCTTTCCCTCTGATTTAGAGATCGTTTGGGGACTGGTCATAAAGTACAGTAGGGGGGGGGGGGGGGGAAAGACAGACTGGAAAAAAAATCGATAAGAAAATTATTATCAGTAGCCCACCCCTTGGTAAGTGCATAACTAAACGAAGCCCACCGAAGAATCCTCATAAAAAAAAGCTATAACCCTCCCTTTAAAAAGTTCTAGGTGTAATGTGTTCAGGTAGTGTTTTCTATTCCTTCAGGAACTTGACCAAAAAAAGTCCATCTTCAAAGTTGTAAATATTATACTGTCAATAATACACTTCCTGCACGATCAGATTCAAGCATGTTTTACACATGACTCACCCCCTCTGTACTGCATGGCTTGTTTTCTATACCTTACCTTTTCTCATGCACAAAATGGTGGCCGCCCACCCTTCTCTCTTTTAACCAGCCCATCTCCCTGCCTCTCCCCCCCCCCCCAGCCCATCTCCCTGTATCCCGCCCGCCCCCCCCCCCTCTGCTTTACTTCATGACCGGTCCCTTACAGAAAATGACTTCCACGCTGCTACACACCTGATGGGGCTGACCCGACTTTAGTCATTTCCGGCTTCTTTGACTTCAGCAGTCCAGAAAATCTAAACTTGCTTCTCCCTCTGCTTGACGACTGTCGATCAACCTGAAATTTAATTATAGTGCCATTTTCGAGCAAACCTTAAGAAGGAATGAACAAAGTTTTCTTCTTGAGCACGAGCTCTTGTTAACTTTGGCGAAACCTAAATTCTCGATACCTGTTTGCTAGAGAGTTCACAGATATCATAGATATCTCGGAGTTACTGGGATAAACAAATTTGGCGATTTGATGTCTTGAATATTTGACACGTCACAATACCAATGCAACTTTGTGGCTTCAAGGAACGCGATCAAACTGCGGGAAATTACATGAATCACTAACCTCGTCGTCAGCAATATTTGTTAGTCCATACGCCTCAATTGTCCTGTTGATGAGAGGTTTCACCGTTTGAATTGAAGACAACAAGTTCCGTTCAATTTCTGATGGCATTGCCTGCAAGTTGGTACGAAACAAGTAAAGTTAATTCTCGTGAAGCCGTAAGGCCTATAACTACCGCAGTTTACTTCCGTTTCTGTAACAAGGAGTATGAGTGCTCTTCCTGGATGGGATCTTAGGTCCCAAGTTCAACAATACCCAACGATATCCTGTATCCAGTGTGGCACTGTGCACGCTCAAGAGCCTTGCCAAAGATCACACCACATAATGACCCAACGAGGGCTCGAACCTAAACCTCTCGCTCAGGAGTCTAGCGCGTTCATGACCAACCCACCCAGTCTCCCACAAAGGAAATAAATACACACAAAGTAAGTCAGGAAAGCATTTATTTCCTGGAAATTTCTCGCCTCTTTCCTTCCTTTTCAAATTTAAGGTTAAAAAAGCGTAACTTTCAAGAAGAGCGAGAACGAAAACCCTTAAACTTAAAAAGCTTCAAAGATAGATTTCTGTATGATATTGTTGATGTTACTCATAACTGGGTTCTACCAACTCAGTCCCAATATAAAATCCGTGATTGTGACTATCCAAGAGAACTGGTCAAATATCATTAGCAAAATGTAGAATGGTTTGTTTTACCGCACGACTTTACCGCTTTGGCGCCAAAAAAGCATTTATTTCCAGCCAAATACTGTCTCCTTAGGACGGTCCTCCCGGTTACTAGACAGAACTCTACCCGGATTATTTTTAAATATTTATCAAAAAAGAAATACTTACTGGTTCAAGAGCTGGAAACTCGAACTGGAGGAAATAAGTTATCGATTGAACCAATGCCCTCCCGGTCGTCACAAGATCTGTAATACGACCTCGACTTGGGGCCTGGGTTTAAAAGCAACGAATTAAACATTTGAACTGTGTCAATAACAGGATGCTCGACTAGAGTGGTTCCTAACAGCCCCTAATTTTTGGCTTGATTAGCTGTTTCATGTTCAAACTCGTAATTTCAAACTTGCCTCACGCTACACGCTCGGCCAATTTGAAATCACTCGTTCGATTACACTCTGAATTGTACTCCACACAGTCTTACTGTTAGGAATTAAGGTTTTTTGAGCCATCAAACAATGCCAACTTTATAAGGAAAACAAATCAACCTGTTTTGGGTAAAATATGATATAACATCATAGAGCTCAGCGTTTGTTAAAAACAACAACAGCCACTTACTAAGCTCTGTGTAAAAAGATTCGTAAACTCACCTCGGGAATTTTTCCGCCATCCAGCACGAGTTTTTCTATGGAGCTAGCACAAGATTCCGCCAAGGTAATTAACTCTCGCAGATCTTTTTCATGCGGTTCACACGTGGTTTTCACGCTGACATAAAAAAAAATGGAACGAAGGACGGCTCAAATCGTGTTTTTCGTTTTTGTTTTTTTCTTTCCCAAAAGGCTCCTGAGTTAGATAAATAACCTCTCAGGTCACACGAACTGGTGACCATCTTGGCACGGAGGTCGCATATGACAAGAATGATATCTCACCGGGAAAGAGAAAAGGATTAAGAGAAGGAAGTATTTCGGGTAGTCAAAATTAGCTTTGAAATTTTTACTTCCTCCAAAAACGCCTCGAAGACACTCCACTCAGGGACTGATAACGAGCGAGAGGCGGGGAATCATGGGAACAAGAAAGCCTCTCGGTCAAATGCATTTCATTGCTCCCTTGCGCGCCCACTGGTTTTTTTTTTTTAGCAGAGAGACTTTTGGATACGGGGAAGTATTTTGAAGGAGACCAAGACAATCTTTTTCCAACCAAAGAAAAGATTGTACGATAGACTTTGCTATGAAAATCCTTGGGATGTGAAGCGAGATGTAAATGAAACATAGAGATCAAATCACGTCCGTGTCCTTACCAATTGACAAAAATACTGAGACACTGAACGAGGGAGGTCAGCACTTCCGCCTGAGCATTCGTTACACAGGGACTGATCTTCTCCGCTTGGAGTTCTGTCCATTCTTTTAATGTTAACTCGAATTCCTGCAAAATGAAACACACAGTTTCAAATGTCATCAAATCAATCATTTCATTCGCGAACGAAACCTCAAAAAAACAACCGTTTAATTGAAATTCAGCCCATTTTTCTTTTAGACGCCTTTTTAAAATATAGAACAACCTAATCTATGCAACACGCCTCAGTGTGAAAACGAGGCACGGGCAAGTGAGCTTGCCCATGCCTCGTTTTCGGGTAATGAGAGTAATTAAACTTATCAGGTAGAAGTTATCCTGATCTGATGATGTACATGAAAAATTACACACTTCTGATTGGCTGAAACGAGAGCATTCCCACGTAACGCGAGTGCAAATTACAAATAGCGCCAGCACGCTTTAAAAATTTCGTCTGTCTTGACTATCTGTAATTTTTTTTAATGTATATTATTAACAAGTTATAGCACGACTTCTTTCGCAATTTGGTGTAATAAGCACTTCTAAAATTTACCAAAGACTACAAATTGCACTTGCCCTACGGGCTCGTGCAATTTACTGAAAAATTTACTCGTGTTTATTAAAATCAAATTCTCGTAACTAATTTGTCAGGAAATGTGTAGAGGGGGATGGGGGAGGAGTATGAGCGATCAGATCCTGGGAGAAAAGGGTTTAAGCTTTATTCCTACGGCTGTACATGCGGTGAAATAACCTCTTTAGTACAAAACTAAAAATCTTACTCTGTCTCTGACCAACATCTGTGCTCGGTTTTTGTGGACGATTTTGATATATCCCGGAGGTTGCATCCAGGCCTCGCCGTCCACCTGAACTGGTACTGATTCACCAAATATGGAGATTTTTACAGTCCGACACTGGAAGCAAATCGAGCATTAAGAGTAAGGGGGTTTACAAATGAAGGAAGTTCAGGAAATGAAGGGGAAATTTAGCAGGGTCCATGAATAAAGCCATGAATTCTCAAGTCAAAATGCCGGCCTCCATAGTTGAAGATAATTTTCGAAAGGTTGCGGCGGGGTTACTCTGTGGAATTTCGAAACTCGAGTCCATGTATTTTTGATAGCGACAACAAAAAATTGCATGGTTTTAGGAGCTTGCTCATCCTTTCACACAAACTTACCTGTGCGATCCGGTGATGTGGCATACCTCCAAAAACTTTACACATTCCCTGCGACAAAGAGAATGAAAATGACCTCTATTGACATTAAGTATGGTCAAACACGAGTTCAAAAATTGTCTTGATTGAGCGTAAGCACTTAAGAGAACCACATAGACTAACGAATCTGATATCAGGTATCTGTATAACCATACCATCTGGTGTGCACCAAGAACTGCCACAACTTCAAGGATGTTGTCGTCAACAGAAGGCTCGTTAAAACCCTGAAACATTTAACAGCAGTATTCGTGTTAAGGTATAAAAGAAAAGAGGTCGAATTTTGTCCAAATATCCAATGAGGTAAAGAATAAGCACTTACGTCATCTCGCCCTGTTCCCCAGAAGTTCGCACCACCCATGTAACTGTAGATAAAGAAGAAAAACAGGTTAAACTTGAATAACTAGTAGTGCAAAAGTTATTCTACGAAATCGGTCGTTATTTGCCGCCGGAAGGAGAAGGGGGGGGGAGGGGGAGGGATTAATGGATTTCCCTTATTTCACATAGAAAAAAATTCGAAAGGCCTTGATTTCGAGTTGAATTTTTCCTTCCAAAGCATCTAATTCTGATACCAAGAAGAAATTAAAGGAATTAGGACACTGTAAACTTCATGGTAATTCTACAATGATTGAAATTTTAGAATTGGAATCATTGAAATCAAAAACAAATTACATGGTTAGATAGATAAATGCACAAATAGCCGAGAAAAATATTTCCATTTTGAAAGAGCTTGATAAAAATCATTTAGAGCACCTTTCGCAAGAGGCTTTTAACCGCAAGAATCTTACTTGCGGAGTGTTTTTGACTTGAGTTACGTATTTTGTGGTAACAACTCTCCATTCCCTCTAAACTCCACTAGAATCAAGATAAATCTCACCAAGCTTTTCGCTTTTGTTGAATGAAAGGTTCTGAACCCGTACCTTGTTATATTTAACACCACAATTCCTTGAAGACTTGGAAGATTGATTTTGTGTCCGTCGCACTGAGTATAAAAGTAAAAAAACAGGTCATCAGTAACGAACACTTTTCGATTGAGTGTGGTATAAAAAAACCAATGAATCGCAACAGCCAATCAAAAGAAAGGAAAATAACTCTAAGACCCAATGAGAACTCAAAGTACGAACAACCAATCAGCCTAAAGCGCGGGAAAACGCAGGCGACCAAATCGGGATTGGTTTTAGTTTTGCATCTGATTGGTTGAGAGTGTGACGCGAGTTTCCTAACCCAATCACAGAGCAAAGAAAAGGACAACCAATGCAATCTCGGATTGCTTTCGACACTCATTTGAAAATTGCTCTCACTGAATACTGGTCAGGAGGAGAAGAAGAAGAAGCGATCTCGAATTCTAACAAGAAAAGTGTTGGAAGAGGTATCTTCATTAAGTAAGGACTGTTATGGGAGCCCTAATCATCAAAGCTTCAAAATTTCATTGTTCATACGATTTCCAAATTCAAATCGCTCTTAAATCGCACGGCAGCTAAGTCAGTGTCACACAGGAAATTCAAAAGCAGAGCACTGCTTTACTTATCACTCCTCAACCAACCAAGAAAATCTGAGGGAATATGACAACATAAAATTGCTGCACATCGTGAATTGAAAAAGCTTTCTTCTTACCTCAAGTCTCACCCTTTGATCTAAGTTCTTGTGTGTTCTCTGCAAGAGCTCTCTTCCCCCCAACAAGCCATAGTATAGTAAATTTAACGCTCGGTGCCTACGACAGAAAAATAAATGAGACAAAAAGATGGTAAATAGACACTAAAAAGAATGAGTCACCACCTCTCTAAGTTGAGCACAATCATGGTCAGTCGTCATACCCACATCTGGCAAGAATTTAAGGTATGAAGGAACTTGTCGTGAGTTGAAAGACCAGCAAGGTTAAAACTCCGAGCGATTACCAACCTGAATTTTTCGGGATGCTCCTCTCTTCTGGTGTGAAAATCCAGTGCAATCTTAGCGTCCAGTCCAATTCCAAAGTAGTTGTTCATTACACATTTCTCCGTATATCCCTCACTATAAAGCAGCGAAGAATTAGCCAATAAATAAGCACTTTTTACACTGAAATATTATATAATTTTTTAATATAACTATTAGACATTTTGACTCATCTACTCCTGAAAAGTTTAAAATTCAGACTAAGAGGTACACAGGCCTCCAGCGAACATAACAAATTCCGGTCAGGCATGGAACATTCAAGACTACAACGGAGCAGAGCGAGCACGAAAGATAATCTCCTCTCTATCGCCTGCGCATTTTGCTTGTTGTCCACGCGGAAGTGTGAAAACAAAACCGTGCAGTTCTACTCGAAGAACAAGGTCAGTTCCGCCGCTACCGGCTATGTCAGGTCTATGAGCAGGACAGTTCCAATTGTGAATAGGACAGTAAAGTGCGACGGGCCAGTCCCGACAAATGCAAACTGGCAACAGTGTCAACTTACACGTCAAACACATTGTTCATCATAGGCGTGGCTGCGGCACACAGTGCATCTGCATTGGCCAGCAATGCTCGACCAATCGCTCCCATTAATCCTTCACTGGGTTTCTCCTTGAGGAATGCTCTGGAGATCATACAACCACCAATGTGGACCGTTGGTTTGCCACCTGCTGCGAAAAGCTTTTCGTCAAATGGTGACTCAAAACTGAACGGAAGCGCGCTACCCCGGCTGATGCAACGAGATATCGGAGACTTGCGTTGCTCAGAGGAAACCCAGGTGGAAGGACTGGGGTCAGCTTCGATAAGTCTATTGTCCTGGGAACTCGAACCAGACTCCGGGGTAAATACATCCCCCGAGGGATCTCCTCCGGTGGCCAGGATGTTCCCTTCGTTATCTGAAACGACAACAAGCAGAATATCAGACAACCATTTACCAAAGACTAGAGCAGTTTTCTTTTAGTCCACGTTTTTAAGCCGTTTGTGCAAGGTGAAATAAGTATCTTTCTCTGTGCCGGATGGCATTGATGATTTGAGATCATGAGTTTGGCGTATTAAATCATCGTAACGCAACTGCATGTCACTATGTAGACTACTTTATCGTATCTGTAATTCATTTCAAGCGGGGCCCCTTTTTGTTATTGTCGTCATTTTATTAAACAAACCTCGCACAAGTTCCGATCCTTCTTCCATGGTAGCTGTAGAAGTGGTCACCACTCCCCCGGCTGCCGATGCGGCCACAGTTACAATGGCCTCCGCTAGGGAGCTTGTCGACGCTCTGGTCTGTGCATTCTGCTCGTCCACAGCTAGGATGAAATATGATGATCGTTTTAATGCAAAGATCTTAAGAAAAAGAGCCAAACCACATATTTGTCCACCGAACGATTCAAAAGTCCACTTATTTCTTAGCTTGCAACGTTGTTAATGTTATCACCCTGTTAGCGCGCGTCTCGAATGGCTTTCGTACAATAACAACCAAATATCCACAACGAACGAAGAGTAAAATCACAGGGAGCCCACGAACGCCTGAAGAAGAGGTTGCGTGACAATTTTAGACCAATCGGAGGGTGACCAAAATAAATTAACAGTAATGTAAACCCGCATTTATTTCAAACTTCAGAGAAAAACTGGCCATACTGCGACTTCATTTTCATTGCGTGGTGATGGTCCTATTGAAAGGATGTCACTGCTATCTGTTATCGTGACTTACTCATACCTTGTTCTGCGTGCTCTATAATTTGTTTGAGAGCTTTTTTTAAGCTGTTCGCTCTCGACATCAGAGCTTCCTTGGGTACGAATACTTTCTGTCTTCCGTTTCCATTCCCAGCCATCCCTGCGCCCTCTGATGACAATTCCTCCCTTGAGGAGGAGGGTAGGGCCTCTGACTCTATACTCAGTGTGTTGAGGAGAAGGTTTAACTTTTCATTGAGTATCGTGCACTTAAAGGCAAATAGAAAAAAGAATAAATAAATCGGCCGGGAAATGAGTGCCAGTGGTCCTTCTAAATTCAAGACAACAAGCCTTCAGCAGTGTTCATTGTCCAGTTGAGACATGGAGAAAAAAGAATCTTTTCAACACCCAACACTATCACGCTTGAGAGTGTCCCTTGACCTTTCAAAACTACAAGAGTGACCACAATCTAATTTATCCTTACATTCGAAATGCTGAATCAATTATTTAACTCATTAGAAAAAGGAAATGATCGCCAACCTAAGAAGCTTTGGTTGTTAAATGAATAATCCTTGTAAGTGCAAAAGAAGATGTCTACAGAGGAATAAGGGTCTGATGACCAACTAAAATAATCAGAAATGTATGGCACACAGAGCAAGAAATTTTGGATCAATATCAGTATCTGGGCAACTGCCCACCTACCCCTCCCCTAACGCAACATTAACCCTAACTTGTTATCAATTGACTGTTGTTGACGATGTAGTTAACGACGAAGATATCGAAGTTTGTTAGCGTGGCGTGGCGTGGCGTGGCGTGGCGTGGCGTGGCGTGGCGTGGCGTGGCGTGGCGTGGCGTGGCGTGGCGTGGCGTGGCGTGGCGTGGCGTGGCGTGGCGTGGCGTGGCGTGGCGTGGCGTGGCGTGGCGTGGCGTGGCGTGGCGTGGCGTGGCGTGGCGTGGCGTGGCGTGGCGTGGCGTGGCGTGGCGTGGCGTGGCGTGGCGTGGCGTGGCGTGGCGTGGCGTTCTAGTAGCGTAACGTTTCTCTAGGTTCCCCTCCCTTCCTCCGCTTTCTTGGTTTAAGGTCTCTCCCTCCTTCCCGGGATTTTTTTAAATTTTTTAAATTTTTTTTATCTTGTTTCAGGGGTTTTTGCATTTTACTTCCACTGGGCTTCTGGCCTCAGTGTGACGGGTGCTATAGGGTGCTATCATGCTCTCTTCCACAGAAGAGAGCATGAATGAAATATTTGAATGATAATGAAATATTGTTTTCGACTAAAGCAAAGAATCGCTGACTTGAAGTGAAGACCGCGATGTCAATCAAGATTACCAACCTTTTGTGCCAATGAGTCGGGCTCGTCTGCTTCAGAGGGATCAGAATTTGCTGACGCTGTTCCAATTTTTGACACAAAATCCTTCACCGTCTCGCACAGCACTCTAACACAGAAACAATCATGGCGATCAACCGAGACTGATATGTAGATTTTACTGCGTATTCTTCTTTTTCGAGTAACTTATCTTTACTTTCATAGAGAATTTGAAGAAGTCTCGGCTCTAGCCCTGGTTGGGTCGATGGGTCGTGTTCTTGGGCAAGACACTTAAATATCGTGTAATTTTAGAATAAAATTATTAGCTTGCACCTCCAGAGCCTGAGTTTCAGATCTCTTGCCATCTGTATTCCTAAACCATTTATATTCCACCCAGGAACTCCCAAAGGTTTTCTAGGCAGTCCAGAGAGTAAAATTAACTACTTTTTTTCACAGGTAATTTATCAGACCCTGAAGTGCACCTCGGTGAGGTCAACGCAGAGTAGTTTACACCGGCTTACGAACAGCACTTTTTGCGTTAGTCGCTATTTACCGACTTTCTTAGATTTGTTCCAAAGGTTTGGGGGAAAATTACAGATTGTGCAACCATGAAGCTTAACACGTTCACAAAACATTTCTACCTTGCAGAAGAGATGACCACAGAGTGATCGCTGGAATGTAGTATTCTTGTTAAGTGTGTTGCCACGTTGTTCTCGAACGTGTCGATGATGTCGACATCATGTTTGTACTAAAAAACGGAAGAGAAGAAAACTGTCACTCTATTTATCATTCTGGGAGGTGATAGTTTTCATGTGACTTCTCCTTATGAAATAAAACATTATCCAGCAAGCGGGTGATGAGAATACACAAACTTTTCAGCTACAGGCTATAATCTTAATACAACACTACATTATCTTAGGTGAGAAGCTAGGAAATGTACCGAAGCTTTAGGGAGAATTACTAAATCTGTAAAATTTCGCCGCTGTCTCATCCAAAGTTATGATTCAACAAAATGGCATCACACACGCCTTCCCCTTTGCATACAGCTTTGTAAACTAAATCAAAGACTTACAGGTATATCTAATGTTTCTATCGATGAACTTCTAGACGCGGATAAGGGTTTCTCTTCAACCATTATACTCCATCTGTAAAGATAAAAGTATAGACATCAATTTCATTTTGATGCGAGTAATTGTACTCATCAGCTGCTGGTTATTAAGTGGAAGCTTCAAAAAAATTTCAAATCAGCGTTGAATCAGAAAGCAATCTGGGATTGTAGAGGTCGTGCTTTGTTCGAGAAAAAATGCATAAATGTCCCAACCAAACGAATGCAAAAGTAAAACCAATCACGACTTGGTTACTTGCATTTCCCGTGACTGTGGCAGTTAACGCAAATTCACTGGTTCTCGTTGAATTCCTAAAGATATTCAGTATTTCCTTTATCCGATTGGACTTGGTTTTAGTTTTACGACAATCAAGGGAAATCCCTCCTGTAAGCCACGGAGGAGGGTCCCCTTGGTAAAACTTGAGGCAGTCCTGCTAAAAAATTTAATTAAACCTGGCAACAGATCAAGCACATTTTTTTTTTCACTCACCTATCAAGTACTGCTGCTTTGGCCCTTTCCAAATGGCGCAGAAACTGCGTTACCGCATTGTCGTCATCAAACGAGGTTCCCCAGCCAAGAACCCTCGACAAATCATTTCCAGTACCCAGCGGTAAAACACCAAGTTGACACTGTGAACGAGAGAATGCATCAATGAAAGGATATCCTTTGCTTTCTTAGTGAAAAAAAATTTAAAATGCGAATCATCTTTCGAGACAATTACAGAGAATTTGTATTGATGATTGGCCGGTTTTAGATTTGACATCAAACCTTCAGAGGTGATATTAAATACGCTACGCCTCCTTACAATGTCGACGCATTATCAAGAAAAGAGATGGCGAGAATAAAGAAAATTCCTACCTGAGTTGAGAGATTCATCCGGTCGACTTCATTCATCACCCACCCAACAGAGCCGTCACCTCCGCACACCAGTATTCGAAAATGGTCAAAATTTTGGAACAACTTCAATCTGACAATAAAGAAATTGCATGGAAGTTTAAAACAACTTTTACATAAAAAAATCGCCTTGCAGGTAACTGATACAACTTGCCCTGGCTTGAAGCAGGCGCAAGAAGGAGTATTGCGATTCCTATGAAACGGGATGCTACCTCACGGTAGGTTATCCGTCAACAATTAATCTAATTTCTCGAACACTTTGCCACACTCCTGGTTAAAGTGACACCCCTGTGAGAATAAAAAGTGTCTTGCACATGTACAAGAAAATTACACAGTGACACCAACCAGAGCTTGAACTTACAGTTTTTCGATCTGGAGTCCTATGCCCTAACCACATGGCTGTCTCTCACACATACTTGACTTCTCTCACACACATTTAAAACTTTGCTTCATTGAACGTATCACTTACCCTTTAGAGGGGCCTCCAAGAGCAAGATCAAACACTTGAAGTGGATTTAATAACTGTTTAAATCTTCTAATAAACTTTACACCCTAAAAAGAAAAAAAAATTATCAAAATTAATACATAAACATGAATATGGTTAAGATCAATAGGCAAGGCATTATTTTTCAGAATGGTTTCGTCAGCTTTTTATTACTTGTAAGATGGATTTGTTATCATTGACCAGCTCCCAGTTGGCTTGTTAGCTCAATTGGTAGAGCGCTGCACCGGTATCGCAGAGGTCGTGGGTTCAAATCCCGTACGAGCCTGAATTTTTTTTTTCAGGTCCTATTTACAACTACTCGTTTCAGTAGTGTTCTTAGCTGCGAGGATCTCTTAATTTCATCTCTCCACCGCAGTGCAAATATATGAATTTTCATATATCTAAAATCTAGCAACATTGGTGTTGACGGAGTATATTAGTTTGCGTAAAAAAGGAACATCTGTATTGAAGAGTGGCATAAATAAGGAGGGAGAGTCCTATATTGCATTTCAAGCCACAGAAATAACTGATAATTTGCAATAATAATAATAATAGACCCTGGTGTGGAGAAAGCCAGTGCAACAGTAGACAGTGTAAGACTCCCTACAGGAGCAACCTGCCTGCAACCAATGGAGATTCTTAAATGTCATCAATATGTACATCAGACAACAGGAAGTACAAAATTAAGTGGATATTTTATAGCATGGTCCAGTGTAAAAACAATTACGAACCTGATTATCACCACTTTTTGAATTAACAAAGACAAGCATCGGAAGACACCCAGAAGGTTTAACAGACTAGGAATTCAAATGAAAAGTAGCAATTTATAATAGTTATAACAGTAACAACAAAAATGAAAATAATAGTAAAAATAGTCAAATTGAAAAAGACAAGCATTGGAAGACACCCGGAAGGTTTAACAGACTAAGAATTCAAGTGAAAAGTAGCAATTTATAATAGTTATAAAAGAGAAAAAAAAAATGAAAATTATAGTTATAAAGGCAAAGACAGTAAGAATAACAAAGGTGATGATTATAATTAACAATGATGAGAGCATAACAGTAATGACAACAAAAACAATAAATTAGGAAAGAGGGTCATCTTTTCCTTGACATGAAAAAAAAAAAAGAACTGCCACATGCTGCTATGAGTACAAAGTAGCTTGAAAAGAGTTTGGACTCTTGAATCTCTTTAACTAATGGTCAAGCAATTAAGAAGAAACATTTCTTTACACAATAAAAACATTATCCCACACAAGGCTAATGGTAATCAACCAATTTATCAAATAATACTACAAAAATAATCCCGTTACTGAGTAAGGAAACATAAATGTGAGAAGGAAGAAAGCTAAAATGATATTGGAGTCTGAAGGTAAATATTTCACTTACATTCCATACAAGGGAGCCAGACGAACTTAGAACAGAAGAAGGAGGTAAGGTGAACAAAGCATTTTCACCAAAGGAACATTGAGGTGATTGAGATCGACAGCACTGGTGAACCTGAAAAGCAAAACCATCACTTTCAAGTTCATTTAACCCTTAAACTACCATGAGTGATCAAGACAGAATTTCTCCTTACAATATCAAGCAGGCACTTTATGAGAATCACAAAAAATGTCACTTAGGAATTTTAGTTGATCCGATACCAAATTCTCTGAAAATTGTAAAAATTGCTGGCAGACAGTAAGGAGAATTACTGATGAGATCTTGGGAGTGAAAGGGCATCAATGGAAAACTAACAGTACAGGGGTATACAGGGGGGCCAACAGGTGTGTTGCAATGTGTTTTTGCTCAAATTAGTTACATATTTCCTTCTTCCTTTCCCCACTCAAGGTGAGTACTCATTCCACACACCCATTCATTAAATCTTGTGTAGACAGATGCTTTGATGTATGCAGTGAGGATTAGTTGCCATAGTGACTTGTACGTTCCTGGGGAGACTGAAGTCTTCTCGTGTTGATAACATTATGCCACCTACCTTCCAACATTACTGACTTAATTATTCAATAGTAGGGACACTGCAAACTGTTTGGGCCCCTTTACTGGTTTCCAAACCATCCCATTTGTTCCCCATTTGATATACAACTGCGTTGATGCTGCTAATTGGCCACAGTAAAGAGTTTCTATAGCTGTACAGATGTTTCAAGTGTTAGCCCTTTGTCAAAGCATTAGCACTTTGTTCTGACAAAGGACCAACACTCAAAATATCAGCCCTAGAAACTCTTTACAATAGCTGCCTAACATTAATTTATCAACTTGGTCGATATAACCACATTATCTTGTAATACCCTCCACTGATGCAGCACCACAGAATCTCAGAAACTTACCCCTTTAAGCAATATACAAAGCATTTAATTAAAAGCGAGTGTAGCAGCCTACCATTAAATTACACCAAAGGCATCTATATCCCTGAAGCCTTCTTTTACTGCCACATATTTCATCACACACTCCACACTTAGCAGAGGGAGGAAGGTTTCCTTCAAGCCACTGATGAGGCACTGAAAGCTGGAATAATAATAAAAGTTAAAGATGACAGATTTAAGGACCCAAATCAACTACGACTTGTTTTTATCTATATATGAGAACATGAACCAATTTTTGAAACAATAACTGACCCACATCAATAAAACAGATGATCAAATTAAAGCACTGATAACATTATATGGCAAAAAAAAAAAAACATTTCATTCACCTGCCAAAAGGCATAAAGAACTGCACATACAAAAAACCCATAGATGATAAAAATGAAAATGGTCAATTTCCTGAAGTATACAGTGTTGTATACAGTAGTTACATAATGCATTACAATTGACTACGAAATTTTAAATAAAATCAAATTTTTAAAAGAAAAATTATCATACCCTGTTTTAGCCTACATGTAGTTACATTTATTTATCAAATACTCATACAGAGATCAATTCAAAGATGACTCATGTTTTTTAAGAAAAATTGGATGCTGTACTGGTAAGCTTGCTCTTACGTAAAATCCTTTGTAAGACAATTTGCTTTTGTATGCTTTGGTTAGCTTTTCCTATCATTGAATTTAACTTACAGGGTCAGATTCATCAAATTTACATTCTTCTCCTCTAAGTGACTGTACGGTTGTCCATTTACAGTTATTTCTTGCTCGTACAGCACATCTTCGATGAACTTTGAATCTACAAACTAAGAAATAAAAAATTAATGAAAAATGATTAAGTGAACTATTTCCAGTTATCCATGCCAAATCTAACAACAACATGGAAATCTTTACAAAGGATGCAAATACAGACAAATTTAACTTTAATCACTGCACATTTACAAGTCAAAGCTAAATGCTCCACTTTAGGTCACTGATTAGGATACTTAACCATTTACACCCTAACATAAGTATGCACATTCTCCCAACTGCCTTCTATATATCTCCTAATGTACTGAGAAGGAGAATTTGTTTCACAATCAAGAGCTTCTCTAGTTGGTGATCATTTCCTTTATTCTCATGACCTTAACCTGTGATTTTGGGGAGATATGGTATTAGGCAAAATTAGATGCTTGTCACTCTTAGGGAATCAAAGGGTTAAGCAGAGACATTTTTGAGAGGCTGATAAAAGTGGAAATGGGACAGGTTTCCGTACTTCTTGTGTTTATTACTTTTTGTAACATCCATCATGCTTATCATTTTTCACCTTTTAAATGCAACTATTCGGAAAAAGATTTGCAGCAGTTGCCTGAGAAAAAAAACTTGAAACCTCCCACCAGCTATAATTGTAAATTCTCTCTGCTTAATTTCCCTAATGACTGACCGGTAAAATTTTATTTGCCTATCTGTATCTCTTAAGGGGGCAAACAACTATCATTAACAAGTTAATGATTTCTCACTGGCTTGTCAAATACCCAGAACCATTTAACTTCCAAAAGTGATTCAACCTTTTTCCTCCCTATAATATTCATTCATTATCCAGCACACAGGTAAAGAAAATACTCAACCTTGTTAAACTTCATCTAAAACAAATTCTTGCAAACAATTTACTATAAAATGTTTAGCAGCTAGCAGGGAGAATTAACAACTGGATCTTCAGAGTTTAAGGGTTAAAGACAATCAAGATAAAAATGCAACTTCCTCCTGCATTTGTACTTTGTGGATGCCATTACCACCCAGGAGATGAAAATGACAGTGCTAGTACTTTATATCTCAAGTTACACACCTTCACATGACAATCCCTTTGATGTAACACCAGACAATACATCACGACAAACATTACAGAATGTAGCTTTTGCATGAGAACATGAATACCAATTGTGAGCCCCAGATAATCTGTCCAACAAATCTGATTGCTGCAATAAAAGAAAAATACAGAAGCCTCATTAAGGAATCCAGATAGACATAATATTTAAAGAAAACATTTCAATTTTGTCTAAGAGAAGTAAACTTCTCATTGACTAAAGATGCATTCTGTAGGCAAACTCCAATTGGCTAGAGTTAATAATTAAAAAGTGCACGAGATACTTCTGCAATAAATCATTGGCCAGAACAAACAAGACAGGCAGTAATTAAAAAAAAAATGAAGGTAAACATCAGATAAGGTATTATCACAGATCAAGCCACAGTTGGAATACAAAAGTCAGTTTGTACTCTGTCTCAAAGTATTGTCAGTATTACTACAACAAGAACCAAGGTAAAGAAACCTGAAACCACAACATTAAAAATTATAGTGTTGTGTGCAGTGGATTGAACAAAAATATTACATAAATTGATTTATAATAAAGTTTGGATACAAGCTTGTCATCACTGGTTGAAAAAGCATACCCTATCAGGGTACAAACAAGGACCTTCCTGCCTGCTTTACAACAAAACAGAGCACAGTCAAGGCTTCTCTATTTATTAATCACCATCAAGCTTCTATATTTCATTAAAAACCAAAATACCAAAAAATATAAATGTATCAGTTAAGATCACCTCCCAACACAACACTTAAACATGCTTATAGTTGATCACTTATGGCCTGTTAACGGCTGCAAACTAATAACTACACTATAGTACTCATTGGGAAAACTGGTATAAAAGGAATGGTGAAATGGAGCCGCACAGATAGATGCTTTGTTTAGGTATGACTATTCTACAAACATGATTAATAACTAATAACTGTGGGTTTAGACGCTTTTGTTTCCATGACAAAAGATTCCTTCAAAAGAGGAGACTACTTCAGTGTAATTCACAGTGTTGTTAAAGAAAAGATCAATTGACTTAGATACTTACAGAAGAGGTATGAGATCCAACAGACTTTAAACAGCCTATCCATTCTTCCATTTCCTTTCTGGAATCAGCACTAAGATTAATACTTTGAAATGGTGTGATGACCTGCAGGAAAATGAAACCGCTGAACATCACGTATGAAAAACTTTAACATAACATTGCGTAATTGTTACAGAATTTTGGAAAAAATAACTCTTACTGTTTCTTAGAAATTTGCCAACAAGTGATAAATCTGTTTCAATTTTAACCTTTTTTGGTTCAATAGCAATACTTTCATTTTCATTTTATCAGTGTTTCAGTACATGACTTTTGATTTTAAAAATGAAAACTTGAATAATCTGAAAGCACATTCTTGAAAAATACTGCATTTTAGGAACCCAAAGCTAATTTATGGGCTATTCTCATTTTTTGATTAAGAGGAATATAACCTATGAATTCATGGGAATAGCTCCCACTTTTGTCAACAACCAACAATCTAACTGATTCAATTAATCAAAATATATTAAATTTCAAAATTTCACTAACTTTAAAACAGTTGTTGTTGTTTTGAATGCTTGATTCAGCTACGCTGAAGTCCTGTAGATCTATTTCAGTGAATAGTGTTTCCTAAAAAAAATGATAAGAGCTTACAGTAAATATCCTCTCTAGCATAACATCAATATATCATTTATTTTATATCATGCCATTCTACCATATCAGAGCAATGGAACACGCAGAACATGCAATGGAATTATGCTGTGCAGTAGATCAACTGGACAAAAATACAAAGCAACACTTTTTCAGCGAAAAACTTAAGGGCATAAAATTTTTTCTATGATTGCTTTCATTTTTGATGTTTTCTTCTATCACACACCCTTCACGTGGTCACTAAGATGCTCATATAAAGCCGTAGGATATATTGCAAAGATGAGAAACAAAACCACCATACAATGGAATAATAACTCCCTGGCTGCCCTAAAGTCTCCTCTACAGAACTGAATGATTCTACTTACATCACTGGATTTGGCATAGTATAGCTTGTTTCCCTCTCTCAGTTTGAAATATCTCCTTTTCCATCTCTGAAGAGAGAATGCACGAGTGATATGACGTCCATACAAAGAAAATATTGGTCTAAAATTACTACTTTCTTCTAAGTTCATGAAATTTGAATGAAAGGCAGACAAACATCATCCCTACCAAAAACCAACAATGACAAGTATAACAGATTTTTCATCAAGGACAATGTACAGTTGCATGCAAGTAACTAAAGAATGGGGAATTTCCCCAACATCTTCATGTCACATGCAGAAAGCCAAATACATTCCACGTATTTAAAAAAACAATGTATTGGACCCTGAAAAAACACCACTTCTCTGAAGAACACTGCCATTCAATATAATACCCACATCTACTTCTTCATTTACAATACAACAGTTATATTTCTTGTTTCACAAAAGATATTGCTGCAGTATATTATAAGACAAGTATTTTTTGTCACGAATCCTACTTCAAATCTTATGAAAGCACAACTGTAAACTTATGATCCTTGGTTATACCTTTAACTCCCACAAGTGACTAAGACAGAATTTCTCCTTACAATATCAATACAATATCAAGCAGACAAGTGATGAGAATAAAGAACAATATATATTAAGGGACTATTAGTTGATCCAGTACTAAATTCTCTGAAATAACATCACAAGAATTATATAGCAGACAGTAAGGAGAATTACTAATGAGATCTTAGGAGTTAAAGGGTTAAAAGGAGAAAGAGAAAATCATTTTTAATTATTAAATCCATCCCTGGGCTGGAAGGGAGAAGTTCTTCAAATTTATGAAGGGGAAAATGGAGGGATTTACAATCAACTGAATTACAGACATGAATAGTGCTGAAACTAAAAGACTGATAAAAGAAAAAAGAAACACTTCCAAAGGTAACCTAAACGACAATCTTGTATGTATGTATACACTGTAGTTTAAAATGAATTTCAATTCAAATTTATTTGAAATTAATTTCATTTGCTTTTTTTCTTTGTTCCAGGTTTCAATTCTCACTAGGTTGAATTCATTTTAAACTGAAATAGTTTCAAACTACAACTTACATAAATTTGTGATAAGTCTACTAATTACTGAACAGCATTGAGAGAACATTTACTTTCCTGTATCTAACAAACTTTTCTTCAAGGACTCCATAATTGTGTAACAGTCTCAAAGACTGATTCTGAATGCATTTGGACTGGATATAATATTGATGATTCCACTGAGGTGCGACATGAATGTTTATATATTACAAAGGGTGTAATCTTCTGTGACAACCACTGAAGTATGAAATCTATGACAGTGTTAATCGTGTTGCAAAACAAAATAGTGAGTGATATAATGGTAAAAACAAAAACATCTGCAAAATAGGTATCAAGACTCCCTTGAGACAAAACATTGTCAATTTACAGGAGTGGCAATGGTAAACATTGAGAACAAGTTGGCAATAGCCCCACCAAGGTCCATTAGCATAACACAGTTTGCCACAAACAACTATAAATAACAAAAGAATGTACAGTAAAAATTACACACATGTAAACATTTACTTAAAAAAATGGAGAGAAAAAAAATCTTTGTTAATTTCTTTTAACCATCTGAGGCAAGGACCATCGGAAAATTCCTGAGAAGGATCCAGGCAAACAAAAAAAAAAACAAAATTGTGGTCACAGGAAATTGCGAGAAAAATTTCTAGCACAGCAAGCTGCCCAGAAAACAAAAACAAAAAAGAGCTAATACATCTCTCTCTCTCTGTTATTTTTCCTAGCTTTGTAATTATGCATACGGCAATTGTTTGTACTTGTCAGTGAACACCTTGAGAGCATAGCAAGCTACTTAACTTACCACTAAGCATGTTTTAATGAGGCATTATCTATGCGAACTGAAAGCTCATTCTTGTAAGGAAAATTTGATAAAAATAAAAAAAAATTCATTCTGAGTTTGAGAAACTCTTATGCCTAATGGTCTGCTGAACTCAATGAGTTCATTTCACTTCTGATTAATTTTGCATTGCCTCTTAAAAAAATGTTTAACTTCAAATCTGACTCAATTTTTTCACTCTCTTTGTTTGTTCAGTCAATGGTTTGTTCACTGACTTAGAAAACAACACGGTTTTTCCTCTCTAGTTTAACTTGCTTCATGTTTGATTCCACTCTCAGTTTAATGATAAAATACTCCACTGTTATATGGGCAGAACTCAATGATGACATATTTAATTGTTTAGCAGGCGAATGTTTCATTGTGTTTCTGAACTCGACAGCCTAGGATTGAGATTTAAATCTGAATTTGGCAAATTGATATAAATAATTAACTAAAGCTGGAGAAAAATGTTAGAGAAAGAGACTGCAATTTTTACATGTTTGCATAGTTTTATAATATGTTTTATTAAAAGACTGGGCATTTTCAACCTTCACTGTTCTTATTTGTGAGCAAATCAATATTTTACACTCGCAAAATAGTTAAATGAACACTGGGAGCAACCTTCTAGATGTAATATTTAAATTTCTCATTATCTTTCTTTGATATACATGTGCAAACAAAAACAACAACTTAAAATTTCAAGAATAAATTTGCCCTTTTTTATCAAAGCTAGCTAGCATTAGTTTTAAGGCTGGATACAAACTTTAGCACAAAAATTCTACTCACCTGAAATGAACCTGTTTGTTTCTGCAAAAATCCCTCCTTTATAGAACTCTGAAAAAATAGAAAATTTCGTGTACAGTTCGATTAATACGCCGGGACTAACCAAAATGTAAAGTTCCATTTTAATTAGAAGAATTTAGCATCAAAATGAGTGGACATAATTTTTTATTTGGAACTTTACCGATGCAGAGCTCGCCATTTAGACTCTGAAACGTTCTGCACTAATTGCCATCAGCGAAACTAGGCCAGAAATCTCGATTTTTTTCAAATCCTGGAATGAATATTAATATTGCAATATGAACAGTTTCATGATTCTAGAGCAAATAAACGAGGACCGTTTGACAGACAAGCATCAAAGATGAGACGAGACGAGAGATTGTAAAGCGCCGACTGATTCCCGGCCTGGTCACAAAAGCACGGATCTTTAAAAGCTCTTCACACTTTTCCATTCTATATACTTTCATTCAGCCGTGACGTAAAAACCACAACAAGAGCGACCCATATTTAAACTATATTTTTAAAAAGGACTTGGGCTCGTACAGGTGCAATCGTAAATGACAGTTAGCGGCTTGCTAATCAAAAATTCTCTCAATCCAGAAATTAAACGACACAATTTGACTAGAAAACAACGGCGGTGAAAAACTTATTCATTTTAATCTTAAAATGGCTCGATAAAATTGCAAGTAGTCGGTTACGATTGAAAATCCTCACTTCCATGGTAAGCTTTTCCACGATACAAAAGTGACAGATTTATATTAACTATTTCTATCAGTCAAAGTTGGTTCTGAAGTCATGTCACTCAGACATGTATTCAGATACACAGAAAAAAACCTTACTTCCGTAGAATTCCATGTATATTTAGACAGAATCAAAATCGTTAAATGTTTCCTCGATAGCTATGTGACATCTCCATGCAGCCAAGACTTGCCGATTGGAATAAAAACTGGCACGATCTCATGCTATAAAATTTACCTCACTAGCGATGACTTCAAATTATTTTCCCCGAATCAAAGTACCCTATCGCACAACAGGACGATACAAAACAAATTTAAAATGTACCAGTAACTATCAACTCCATAAAGAAAATATGCATAACCAAACGTATGAGTCAAAGTTTTCCTTCAATCGACGAAGGTCGGATCCATACTGGCATGTTTTGTAAACAGAAAAAAACTAGAAGTTAATAATTCTGGTGTTGAGAACCTGTTTCAACCGACCGAATAAATAAACCACGAGGTATTGGTAAAGATAACACGGTAGCGGCTTGACCTTATAACGGGAACAAATGCGTATATTTAGTGGGTTAATTCTAAGAAAACATGTACGGTACATCAATGGTCGCTTACCCTCGCTTTAACTGCAGTCACTGTTGATTTTCTTCGATGGTACAATTTAATCGTTTCGGGTCCCGGGTCAGAATCGCTGTCAGATGAATCGACTTCATTTTCGGCCACTCGTGGAGTAAAATCGTAGGACTTTCTCCAAGACATCTTTCATTTGATGATATTCATGGAAGCGACCATTATGTCCGCCATTATTTTCCTTGACCACGTGATGTGAACACCAGTCGAGAGGCCTGATAGTGATCTCACTTCCGCTTATAATCCTCCCCCTGGAAATAAAGCATAAAATCAATATTCAGGGGGGGTTCGATACTCGCAAGCTGGCCTCGGCTAGCAACATTGCTGAAGCATGCAGAAAACTAGTAAACAGGAAAATTTACAGGGAAAAGAAATTTCATGGTGAAAAATAGATTGGATGGCATCGCTGGCATAGCTTTAAACAAAACTCTACGTTAGAAAAATTAACAATTGCTGAGTCAAGAGAGAGTAAAAATAATTTTTAGGTCACCATAGCCAAAAAAATTGTGAGCTTCCGTGTTAATCAAATATTCTATTCAAGTCATGTTTTACCAAAATAGACTCAGTTATCTACTGCAGTCGAAAATATTTCACCAAATACTAAAAATATGCTTTCGCCTCCACAATTACATCTCGCTGAAAAAAAAACTACGAAGTTGTTGACTCGGTAATTGAAGTCTTACAGAGAAAACCGTCTCACAAACCTTGGCAGTCCGTCAATATAAACTTTGTGCAAAGCAAACAAGAGCTTTCAGCTTACACAGCTTTTGGTAAGCCTCCCAAAAAAATTCATCCAGGCTCATACAGCAAACCGCCAATATTTTCGGGAAAATATGCAGGATAAAACCGTTATACGTCAGTAAATTCTTCCTGAGTTCCGGTTAATTTTGAACTGAGTCGACGACCTCACCGGTTCACCAAGCCGGTAGTCAACAACTACAGCTCTCTATGCGCGCAATCCTTGAAAGGAAAAAAAAATTAAGCCTACCTCAACAACAATCAGCCTGCTATTTCCTCAGTCTTGACGTAGCCTTTTCTCGCAAGAGATATATCGCCAGATGCTTTCGGTCTGACGGGAAATTAAACGAAGAAAAGAACCGTAAATTTATTTCGGCTACAAGCATAAAATCTTGCTAATGGTGAAGATACGTTTGGAAGTTAGAGCCGCTTGCGAGCTCCGATTGGTTGCAGTTCAACTAATGAGCCTACAATTAGCTAATTTACTTGTTTTACAAGTCACTGCATTGGTCTCGCGGCCAAAATTGCAAATTTGGTCCCTTCAGCATTAGCTATTATGCATTGCGAACCTCTGTTATGACGTAAGTGCCATATGGTAAGTCAGTTTTTTCTCGCGTTTTTCGTCCGTTCTGATCAAATTTCACAACAGCCAAGCCACGCATATTCATTCTTCGTCACTTCTTTCTTTAAATGGATTAGTTATCAAAATAGCAAACTCGTCGCTCGATTTATTTTTCCATAGGGCTTATTTACAGTTTGCTAACAGAAAACTGTTTGACTCATCGTCCAAAGACGTCATTGACGTCATCATTACGTCAACCGTCGCGCTTGTTTGGAAAAATTCCACCTTTTCATGGAAACTGAGGTGAAAAAATGTCACAATAAGCTCTACTTATGCGGACATAATTAAAACGAATAGAGCTAAAATATTTAAGCATAATACAACGGATATACTAATTGTCTTGCCTCTTAATGGTCGTTGATCTTTTCTTTCTTTCGATAACAGACGACAGTTTGCAATTCCTCCTTGGCAGAACCTCGAAGCCTCGCCAAAACACAGCTTGAGCTGTACGTCGTATTTATATTAAGAGCACTTACGCGTGGGAAAATAATGGGTTCAAAGGCCGGAACGAAACGAAACCACACACTCGTTCACCGAGTCAAAAGGTTATGGTTCTTCGCCAAGAGAAATCTAGAATATACACTGCTACTCACGATCAAAAAATTAAAAAAAACCGCATGTATACAGCTTTTTCTGTGGTTTTGTTTTCTATTTTTGCGATGTGGTCTTTCGAGACAAATTGTTTGTACAGGACGAAATGAAAGGTGGATAACTCACGCTATATTAAAAGAAATTAAAAAAATCGCTTTCAAGGTTGACGGAGCACTTAGGTTTTGACATTTTTGAGAGCCTCGTCATCATGAATTGGCAAAACAACATCTGCGCAACTTTGTAGTTTTCAAGAACTTAAAAAACTTCGACGGTGTCATATACATTGTGCATGGTCCCTTGCGAGTTTTGGTAGCGTGATATGATTCTTATTTCTGGTGACTTCTTTGGTCGCGCACTTTCGCCCGATCAGAGTTTCTTACGACGACGATGTGTTCAATTAAGTTGGACTCCACATTGCACGTGCTTTGATAGAAACGCAGCGGTACAGAAAGGAAGCCGCTCAGGACAGCAGAAATCGTATGACGCTTTGTACACTGTCGGTCTGTCAGTCATGTTAATCGGGATGGAGACTGCCTCCGGCCGGGTGCAGCACACGTGCTGTAGATAACGGCACGAACCGTGCTACCAATACTATACCGCTAGTACTATTCATCAAAACATACGCTCTATACTTTCTTTCGATATCGTCAGTAGATCAAGGTAAAATAGCAACTATGCTTTGAGTTTTAAAGAAATTGTTTCCTCAATCATGCAATTAAAAGCTGAGCACTCTCTTTTCGTTTGCTCATGTTCGACCTGAAGAAACGCTGGATAAGCAAACTTGATTGAAAGAAAAAGGAAGACCGCTTGCTAAGGGTGTAGAGCTCTGCAAATGAACGCAATTAACTTCAAATCTAGCCATGTATGATCTCCTCAAAGAGTTTCCATGTAAATTTTTTCCAAAGCTGTCGTGGATTCGTTGATAGCAAGAGAGCTCTGTAACGATACAAATTGGATCTAAATCCATACTTTCCTTAGTAGACTCTATTTTTTTTTTTTTGAAAAAAAAGAAGAAAGAAGCGTTTAGTAACCTTGTATTTGTGTGCGCTGACTATGATTTCATCATTCGTCGAAATGGTTGTGCGACTAAAAATGTTAAAAGCCGCAAAATTTGATCATAAAGGGTACCGAGTTATTTCCTCGTCCACAAATCCTTATAGAGTCTGGCAGCTGTTGCCGTAACAATGGTGAAAAAGTTTTTTCCATTTTAAAATTAATAGTGTTCTTTTAAAAAACAAACCAAAACATTTGAAGCCTATAAAATTCCAAATTTTACTTAACAGGATCATTTGCGGTCCCCCTCTGGGGTCATTCGCAGACTAGGATTATTCGACGTTTAATTTAGGGATCATTTGTGGTGCTGGTCGCTGTTCAGATCGCTTGGATTCTACACACTAGTTTTTACCTCTGACAAATTAAAATAAAATTTTCGATAGAGGACAACAATTTGATCAGGGAATGGCCTGAAATTTTTTTTTTCTACACACATGAAATGCTACATGTTTCACTTAATACTTTCGGTGTCATTACTTAGAGATATATTCGTAAAGAGCTTAAATAAGGGACGCAAACTTTGTATTGTATATTTGCCGGATCACACTGAAGAAAGTTATATCCTGTCTTTTAAGCCATTTCATTTTGATGTTTGATTATTTATGCATTGCATTTATTGAAACTGATATTGTCTTAGCCAAAGTGAATATTGCGTGTAATCCCAAGTTTAACTGGAGATTTATGGACACCTTCGCAAGCACACCTTATATGTTGGTTTTATCTCTTTCCTTTGCTAGTCACTAGGCTCTCCTTAACTTTTTATGAGGCCTTCACTTTCCAAATGCGGTACAATCTCAACTGCATTAGTGAAATGTTGTTCCATAATGAACGGCGAAACAAAGAGAATGATTTTGATATGACGTCAGTCTTTCATATGTACTTGGATAAATCATAAGAAAGAGCCATTCACAGACCGCCTGGTTTTCATCAGATCATTGCATATTGACACTGAGAAAATAAACGTGGCAGATGCAACGTTAGACAAGCACGTACATGGTAATTTTAAAAATAATTCTTAACAGAGCTGTAACTCTACACGTAAGTAATATATCAGAAAGAAGTATAGCAAAAGTAGCCTTCAGTTTTCATATCAAAGCGGCACACGGGTGCAGCCTGTGGAGAAAGGGAAAGGGGAGGTTACAAAGGTGAAAGCGGCTCCACGTGAGATATCTGACCCACAGTACCAATAAGAAAGAAATTAAAAAGGAAAGAAGACTTAATTAAACTTTTTTTCTTCAAACGAAATAATAGTTTAAACTGATATAATGAAAACAATTTAAACGGAAAAAAGAGAGGACTGAGATGAAACTCCTCAAAGCATCTTAAAAGTTTCATCCTTACGTCCTCAAGAGATTATAGAATAATCTCTTGACGTCCCTAATTTCACTCAAAATCCATGATTCTGCGTGTTTGTAGGTGCCACGTAAGTTAAAATTGACAATCAGTTGATATATATTTTCCAATAGAAATTAGATATGGTCGTAGATGCACCAAGTTAGTTACATTCGTCAAGAGACATTTAACCCTTCACTCCCATAAGTGACCAAGAGAGAATTTCTCCTTACAGTGTCAATGCAATATCAAGGAGACAAGTGAGGAGAATAGCAGGTAATTTAGTGTTAACAACTGAGTTGAAAACGTAAATTAGCCACCGTAAAGGGTAAAAAAGCTGACGTTTCGAGCGTTAGCCCTTCGTCAGAGCGATTGGAGGAATTGTGGGTTGTGTGTGGGTTTATATGCAGAAAGTGGAGCTACGCCATTGGTGGGAATATGGTGACGAGAAAACAGGAATAAATTAGTTGAATGAAAAGCGCTCGTTGATTCCGTGGGGATTAGGGGTGCCGATTTGGAAGATATATTTTTGTTCTAGTGTTTTACGGCTTTCCGAACTGCCTAGATGTAAGGAAAGGCCGCAAACTGCCATATGCTGTTTAGAATGATTAGGAAGATTTAAGTGTCTAGCGACTGGTTTGGATGCGTCCTTGTCATTTCTTTCCACGTCGCGGAGGTGTTCTCGGAATCGGTCAACTAGTCGTATTAAAAGAAAGTGAGGAGAATAACGAGGAAAACTCAATTAGGGAACTGCATGTTGATCCAATACCAAATTCTTCAAACTTACATCATAGGAATTGTGTGGCAGATGGTAACGAGAATTACTGATGAGATCTTGGGATTGAAGGGGCTGAGATCTGGGATCAGGGAATGATAATAACTTCTTTCTATCTTATTTCAAACCGTTCGCCATTTTGTCAACATGAAAGGTAATCGGAATCGACGCAAGCCATTCCGGTTTTACATCGGCTGCGCTCATAGCCTCCCTTACTACAAAGAATATTTTCAATTACTTTGACTTTCAAAATGCTTGGCGCGATCATTTCACGCGGCCTTTGTAAGTAACTAGTACAGGGGGTAACTTTCTGAAGAAACAGTAGTGTTGTGTCAGTGGGGTATCACAAGAACATTTGGTTTGAGTTAATAATGTAAATTGGATACCGTAAAGAATTTCTAAAGCTGACGTTTCGATTCGTTCATCAGATCGAGCGAATAGAGGAATTTTGGGTTGTGTGTGTTAGATGCAGATCTTGCTTTCTAACCCGACAATGGTCGGTAACGTTTACGGTCAGTTAGACAGAGACAATTGATTGACTAGTGATTTTTCTGGGTAAATTAAACTGGGTAGGGCCTTGAGAACGTCATCTCAATGGATAGTTACATGGTTCTCATGCGTAAAAGTCCGATTTGGTAGTAATGTATATCATTAAATGCCAATATTACCTGACAATCTGATTAGAGAAAGCTTGTTTATGAGGGAAAAACCTGGGCAGAAAGAAAAGGAGATAGCATAACACAAAATCCTACCCTATCGTCGCCTTAATGTCGAATAACCAACCCTCTTGGCACTGCTAGCTCCTCTCTATCATCAAAGCTGTTTTTCAAAAGAATGCGTTTTTTTTTATTTCCCGAATTTTTCTTGAGATGTACAAATCATCATCTAAATTTAGTAATTGAGCAGTTATTTTTAGTGGTTTTTTTTTTAATTTTTTTTTTCCGGCTATCGCGGAAAATTTATACTAATGTTTCTTAGACTTTAGACCCTCAACTTCAGTTCAACTAAAGCGTAAACTCGTCATTAATAATTCTTGTTCTTCAATTTCTCAGCGATCCTTTTTCTTCGCGATCGGTTCTCCAATTTATCACATTGCTTGACATCTTAACTTGCTTTGGTTCCAAGTATTGACTAGCACAATTAAATTAAGTGAGCACCATAGCACGTCGCGTATGACGTAATTGGTTCAGGTTAACCCTTTCACCCCCAAGATCTCATTAGTAATTCAATTTACTGTCTGACATACAATTGTTGTAATGTTAACTCGGTGAATTTGGTAATGGATCAACTTATAGTCCCGTCTACTGTGACCAAACCTCTTGGGAGCGTGTCAAAAATCTGCGTTATTCTTGGCGTAACAGAACTTTACTTTTGAATAGGTTTGAATAAGGATAAGTACTCATTTGAAACAATATCATTCAGTCTTGCAAGTCAAGAGAAAATGAACACCAGAGAGGTGGTACGAATAAACCGAAAATAAGAGATGGTTACAATTTCACTGGGGCCCTATTAGATATTTCTCGTTATTCTCGTTACTTCTCTACTTGATATTGTATTGATACTGTGAGGAAAAATTCTGTCTTGGTCACTCAGGGAAGTTAATATTAAAGGTTCGTTTAGTTTTAGTGACACTGGTAACAACAGTGAAATTGTACCCATCTCTTTCTTTCAGTTTATGCACACCACCTCTTTGGCGTTCATTTTCTCTTGACTTGCAAGACTGAATGATATCGTTTCAAATGAGTACTTGTCCTTTTTCAAACCTACTCAAAAGCAAAACTCTGTTACGCCAAGAATAACGCAGATTTTTCACACGCTCCCAATTAGTTTGGTCACGGTAGACGGCTGTTCTCTCCTTATTAAGAAGCACATGGCTTTATTCCAATACAAATTGACGTCACATTACGCTTAAGCACTTCTAATTAATTCTATTAATGTGAAATCTTCAATCCTTTGCTTAGTTAGCAGTATCGGTTTCCATATAAGCTGCTTGGTCTTGTTCGGTATCAAGATATTGATACCGGAAAACATCAAATCATTTTATATGATTTTTGGCCTGTTTCGGACTTTTGGAGTGCTCATTTCCACGAAACCCTCCCTCTTCCCCAGTCTTCTCTCTACTATTAAAAGTTAACAAAAGCGCACGAGAGTTGCGGATGGGGGAAAGATGGGCATTTCGACCGCTGGACTATCATGTTTCCAGACCTAGATTCAAAGCCATGTCCCCACCAAGAGCGGTTCTGGATAAACTGAAGGTAGCATTGGTGTTAGAATAGCGAAAGATCCACGAGTTTTAAGATGTCTTGCCACGTGAGTGTATAACGAGGTGAAATCGTAAAATATATATGCCAACTAAACTTGGGCCGCAATGATTAAAACTGATGAAAATTGAAGGCCCTTCCATATCTCTGGCTCAAACCCAGTGCTGTCGAACGAAAAAGGAAGCCGCCATGCTCTTCATGCTCGTCACCAGTCTCACGCCTCCTATATTTTTTGTTGGTTAAACACGAAAGCACATTGCTTTAAAACATCATCACCAAAGACTTGAAAGGAAAGAATAAACCATAAAGAGCAAATAAGAGCATTTTATTCCAACCACCATAAAAAGAAACTTCTTATTTTGCGATTGGGAGGCCTGTGCTAGAAGAATAAGAATTGAACGCGCATGCAGGTGAGAGAACCTGTCTCATGCGTCATCCAGTGCCAATCCATTCCCGGCTTTGAAACCGGGGTAAAGTTTCCAATGAGAGCGACAGAAAGAACTCAACTCGTTCATTGAACTCATAAAGGAAGTCCGTCAGTTGCACGATTCACTCTCGAAATTTCTTCCGTTTTCTTGTCTTTGAAAAACAGTGTTCAAACGTCTGCCCATGTGCAGACGTTGCTAGAGCTGAGAGGGCGTATTTTCAGGCTGTGAGAACCAAATTGACCCACAGGAGTTACAACAGACCACTCTAGTCAGTTAGTCACTATGTTTAAAGGCGCGGAAAACTGTTTAGGTAAAGCTCAAAACAATATGTTGAAATAACTGGGTTTGTATTCGAAAAATATAAAGTTTTCCTTCTCCCTTCTTTTGTTCGCCTCTACAGATTAATTTCTGTAAACGTTCCTATTTTTTCGCATATTGTTCTTGATCCTTGTTGTTTCGTTTGATTCCTTCGAATTTATGTGCGGGAAAATAGCGCGCGGCCAGCCAAAGTAATCTAGTTGCGCATACCTAAAGTTTGACCGCGTTGATTAAAAAGACGGGCGCGCGCGCGGGCTCATTTACTCATATCTCCTCAGAATGAAACTTTGGTATGTAAAAGCTACATTGATATTCTGTTGACGAGAAAAATCTTTACCATGTGGTCCATTAAATTACAAGTTAGTTTTAGCGATTTTATGGCATACCATACAGGTTTTTCGAAGCGAGAGTTGCTTGACCTGAACTCGTTTCAGGCCACTCTCGGGTTAGAGTCTGGACCAGTCCTGCCCTGGCCTTTGCATCCCCAAAAGGTTCTCGGGTACTACGATCAACTTGTTCAGATTTTTTCTTCACCAAAAATTCACACAATAAACTCAGTAAATTTAAGACACCTTTAATAAGACCCTTGATAACATGCAATTAAGACTACAGTAAACAAATTATGAAGAACATGACAAAAAACTACATCAGTAACACACTAAGAGTTTAGAATTTAGAAATTGATCAAACTAAGTTTAAGTTGTACCTAGTTACCAAGATGCATCAATCAGTTTTTGGGGAAAGAAACTGTCTTTGGCTATGCAAGCATCCATACAAGCAAAAATCTGCTGCAATTTGAATCTCCATTTATCCTAGTCTGTATAACTACATCCAATCCTTCTACAGCCAAAAAACAAATTTCCCACATTGAAGACCAGATTGAAACAGTAAGATTACTATGCTACCCTCCAGCACACAACGATGCCTTCACTGCGGCTGTCTTAAACAAGGTGAGGTACGACGAGTCTGGAAAGGTGCTGAAGTTGACATCTAATCATCTCAACTTCTCTAGTGGATGTATAATAAAAGAAACTGATTAACAATCTCTCTGCATACTTGATTGCTATGGTCTTAAAAAGCCATGCACACAGTCAATGAACTACCAAAGATGTTGATAACAGAATTTATAGTGATGTTAATTATAAATAAGCTAACCAACATTGACTAAGTGAGTGTGAATAATAATAAAAAAAAAAAAGCCTATAGCAAGGGTGAATTTTAAAATCTTAACCAGAAAAAGTTAAGTCCTTAACAATTGACAATTGCCTAAAACTGTCCAAGGTCAATCAAAATGCATGCTTTTTAGCCAAAACAGCTATTAGAAGGAAACTGAACCTTCTAAATATCAAATTGTCTTCTACAGACAACCGTACATGATTATAGTAATCACAGTCATTATTGTGAAAAAGTCCATAGAGGGGTTTTGATAATAAGGAAGAGACTGAGCTAAATAAACCCTAATCAACTAACCAAATACAGATACACACGTGGTGTATTAGAAATTTATGTAGTAAACTGCTAAAGACAGAACTCCTTTAAATATCAAAAAGTTGATAAAACATGAATAATTTTTATCAAATATTTCTCATCCAGTAAAAAATTGACCAAATGTGTATCTGCTTAGATTAAACACATTGGTGATCTAAACAAATGCAAAAAATTTAACACCTTAAATTCAATGAAATTACTGCTATTGAGAGGCCACTGATCTGATAGAATAGTATAAACTTTAAGCTTGTTAGTAAACTACAAGGCTCACAAAAAACCTTGAAAAACACAGTAAATGCTGCCAGCCTCAAAACATAGAGGGAATCTGTCTGTCTGGCTTAGTCTGACCATCAAAGAATTCTCTCCCATCATAAATTTACCTAATCAATGCTTAATTTTTAATTAAAAAAAAAAACCATTACTAATAGTGCGACTCTCAAATTTTGAAATTCAAATCTAAATGCAATCCAGAAGAGAACTCCTTGAGCATGAAGGCTGAGGAGTTTTTTGTTGCAAATAGAAACCAAACTGTCCAGTGCACTATCTATTTGATGTTTCTAATCACTGCAAATTAAATATTTTGGTTCAAAAGTTTGGAGAAACTAGAAAAATCAGTTCAAGAGAATTAGTCTAAGGAATATGGTAATTAAGACAATCAAAAACAAAAACTACAGAGCAAAACTTAATGAAAATGATAGACAAAACACTTCATTGTGCCACATTAGTGTGGCAAAAAAAGAAACTCCATCATTACATCCTTGAGTGCAGTCAGATTTTGCTTTTTAAAGTTTTTAAATTTAGTGCTTCACCCTTGCTTAATTTCAATACGAACTCTTCCTGTAGCACCTCGGTTAAGACGGTATGTTTCGGATTTCTCAATATTTTTGGCGTTGGCTTCACAAAGAAGCACTGCCTTTTGAGTGCTGTTGACTTTGATGGCAGCAATTGGGGGAAGCCAATTTTCTTCAGAGAGATAAGGGTAAAAATTAGCAGCAAAGCCAGGCTTGTCTGTTGGGTAGATTTCCAGCTGATCCTATAAAAGTAAGATAATAAATGAATGAAAAAAATAAATAGCAACAAAAATGCATGTCAATAAACTGATACAGCATTACTGTGTTTAAAATGATTCTTCAGTACTGCACCTTGCATCCTGTACTGTGCATAAAAATGCGATAAATGCATATGCATTTCAAGAACACATAATTTTTTTTTAATCAATGGACTAAGTAAAGAGGTAAGATGGTCCTCAGCTGTAAAACAAGCACATTGACCTTCAGTTTTTATTGCATAATTTTGGTGTACAAATTATCCCCTTTAAATTGGAGGAAAAAGAAGGAATTATCAAAGGGAGAAATTGATAGAGCTAAAAGCATTCATGAAGCCCATTCCTTGATGACACGAATTATAACCTTGAAAGCACAACGCAAATAATGTTTTGAGTCAATGTTGTTTATAATTGTGTGCTTTTTCTGTAAATTATGTATCAAATTGTTCCAAATGCTCAAAACTTTCTACCTATCAGTTTTTTTAGTTAAAATCACCCAGGGCATCTCCCAGAGGGACAAGCAGGATAAAAAAACAGAACTTCATTTAATGCAGGCAGAGCATTGAAACATGTTACTTAAGTCTTCATTAATTTGAATTCAATGCTCCACTAATTTCAAAAATCATTTTTTGAGTGTCTGCTGACCTTTCCTTCACTCTAACCACAAATGAACATTTTAGCTTGTGACTTAATTAATGCCAATTGTGGGTCACCAAATGGGTGACCTTATCTGCAAACTTAGTTTCCATGCTCTTTTTACTAATCTCTGCAGCCACCAGTACAGTTTGCAGTCCTCTTAATAGCTCATGAAACATTTGATTCACTCTTAATGATATGTGTACAAAGTTTGACTTACCTCACGGCCCTTCTCCTCAAACTTGCAGGCCAGCTGCACATAATCCAAGCCATCGTTAGGTTCAGGGACCCAATCGAACACCTAGAGAACACAACATCCTTAAGATCACAACATAAAAAAGACAAGTCCTAAACCTTGGTCAAGGTACACAGTAATCCCTACCAAGGCAAGAGACCCAAACATTTTTTCTGAATGATTGCAGATAATAAGACCCTGTTCATAGAATATTAGTTCAAATGATTTTTACCAGTGAGTTTTTACCAGTGAGAGAACTGAAAGGAGAGAGGCCTTTTAACTCCTGGCAGTGATTAAGTTGTCACATCTAATTCTCCTTACAATATCAGTTCTACTGCATGCGCAGGAAACAGACAATAAAATACAGTAAAACTTCATATAAACTGTGTTATCTTATATTAAGTTCTCTCTGCTGGCATTCATGGAAGCATACTGCTAAAAAAGAGGAAAAACTAATATTTGGAGTTTCAAGTATGTGCACAAATAAATTTCACTCTAACACTGAATCCAACTCTGTATATCATGTTCAACAGAATAAACAGTTTCAACTTACCCGATTCATCTTCATAAAGATGCAGGGCTTTTCCTCATCATAGCCATATTTAAAATCAGTGTTATTGTCATAGCAAGGACCAAGAGCAGAAAGGTCCACATTACAGGGCTTGGAATCCTTGGTACGTTTGGCATCTGTACAGTTCTGATACTCGTCACTTTCAAGAGCTTCCTTGTAAGCTTGAAAGCAAAAAATGATACATAAGTACTAATGTAATACAGTTCTTTTAAGCCAGTTATGATTTTCTGTAATAATAAATAGATTCCTGGAACAACTAAAATTACACAATGCACTATTCAAAGAGCCAACTCTCTCATATTGTAACTATCATGCTATGCTAAAAGCCATGGATATGTTCATCCTCCCACCAAAAAAGGTTTATGGATTTAAGACCACCACCATTTTAAGTTTCAGTTTTCCTCTGGAAAGGGTAAAATTAGTTTTCTTGGAAGGGTTTAAATGTTTTATCATCCAGACAAACAATGTCATGCCTGACAAGAGCAATAACCTGAGATCTATGCTCTAACCCTTTCATGTCCAAGATCTCATCAATAATTCTCCTTACTGTCTGCCAGACAAGTCCTGTGATGCTAATTCTGAGAATTTGGTACTGAATCAACTAGAAAATCTTCTAACATACATTTTTCTATGTTCTCAGCACCTATCTGATTGACATTGTATTGATATTGTAAGGAGAAATTCTATCTTGATCTCTCATGGGAGTTAAAGGGTTAACCTGTACAGTAACTAACAAAAACCCAAACATTCTAAAACCTACCTTCTCAACTTCAATTTTTAATTCAAAAAGCACAGTGCAGAGGTGACTAGAGCCATTTATTAGAACATACAGCTGTGAGAGATTTTAACCCTTTAACCCCTAAGAGTGACTAAAATCTAATTCCTCCTTACAATATCACCACTGAATCATACATTAATGTCAAGAGAATAAAGGAAATGATCACCAACTAAAGAAACTCTTGATTGTTAGACAAGTTCTCCTTGTCAGCACCTCAGTAAATGTACAGAGAACAGTAGGGAGAATATGAATTATGATGTTAGGGTGTGAAGGGTTAAGCAAATGACAAAATCCATAGTAACTTACGTTCCAAGAATTTGTTGATTTGGTCAACAAACGAATCAACATCTTTATAATTTTTTATTTCATAGAATGGAATAGGTATAAGGCCTAACAAGGAGACAAAAATAACAAAAGAAGAACAGTTAATGAAGCATTTTAACTTGTAGAGCATCTAAGCTAGTGTTACGTAAGAACTTAATGGTTGAGTGCATAGAAGGACACATGGGAATTCTATTCAAATATCTCGAATGTTGGCAAAATTTGATAAAGTATTTATTTGAACGAACTAAAACAGATTTCTGTTGCCTCAAAACGTTGGAATGTCACTTTGGCTCTCAACAATAGAGGTTGAAGTACAACAACTCACGCATAAAAACAATATGATTGAACATGTACTTAGCCAATACTGAAATCTATTCAAATATCATACAAACTTGCTGGGTTATATTGGCGCCTGCGGGCAATATATAGAGGACTTTAAAATTTTGTATTAAACACACGACTTAGTAAATCACGACATCGCTAACCCTTTCAATTTTTAATCTTTCGTTAACTTCAATTCTGAGACTGTTCGTAAAAAATTACCGATTTCACCCATCATTTTTCACAGAGAGCATCGGCCGAACGTAACGCAAATTTTAGGAGACCCACCCCTAAATTCATACCTACAAACAAACGAATCAAGCAAGATTAACCCAGAGCAAAAACGAAGGAATTCTCAGAGCGGTTGATATACTTTCATGTGGCCGCTCTTTCATCTATTATGCAACCATGGGAAAGCTTTCATTTAACGCAAATGCAAATATTTCTCCGCTTGACTTAGGAAACCAACGAGCCCGAAATACACCCGTGCATGTCTCCAACCCGAGAAGTACGACGTCTCATATTTCATAATTTACCTTCAAAGTCGAAAAATCGTTGTAAAAGAAAAATCTATTTTATGTGAACAAGAAATAAACAAATCTTATCATATCGGGACAAATCTTCACGACTGACACAATAATTTTCTCAATTTGAATTGCAAATGCTGTAAACCACATGCAGGCGGTCTGCGCACATTCAAAGAAGTTTTCCAATGTTTTGACCTTCAAATTGAAGAATGGTTGCCAATAGATCTGTATGCTAAGACTTACACTAACTCAGAAAACAAAACGTGAAAAAGAAAAAGAAACCTTGCTTTCCCGCTAAATATCTCGTCATTTTCGGCCCTTCCTCTCGAGCTGGGACAGTAGTCATGAATATCGCCAACATCGAGGCGAAAAATCCCGCTAAGCAGCCGTAAAATATCAAGAAGAACACTGTGATCTTCGCTGAAATGAGGAAAATAAAGTAAGCGATGTCAGTTTACAGGTACACGGTACATTTCGTGGACTAAATCCATCGACAAGTTGCCTCACAGCTGGCATTCATCAATATACCGGTTCTGCTTCGATTAAACTCTCTGCTAGATTTAATCAACTTACCCCAGCTCTTGCCATTTCTGCCCATGACCTGCACTTCACCATTTTCACCATCTTTATTGTAAAGAAAGTGGCCAAAATCACGTGCAGTTTGTTGAAAACGTTCAAGTCTTGTCTTTCCTTCTTGCCCTTGCTTAGCGTACGCCATCTTGCAAGCCTCACCACGCGAAACAACGGCAACTACCACGTGATCTCTCTATTTGAGCGTCCAATTTATATTTGAGGGAGGGGAGGTTGGGGTTACTAGCTTAGTATCTGTACTTTGTACATGCAAGTTGTCATATTGTTCCTGCGTTTTGGGCCAATAATAATGGCCCTTTAGACAACTGTCCGCCGTATATTTAGTAACAAGCCAGTAATACCGCCAAATCCATATGTTATACCCACGTGAATCTTGTTAATTTTCCTTAGATCAGCTCCAATTTGTAAGAGGCAGTCACGATTGACAAATTCCTAAAACTAGGCCCAGTGTGGAAATGCATTTTTTAACTCGTGTTTAGCGTTTATCAGGAAAGTCGAAATGATATTGGTACATGTCAAATTTATAGTATCCTTTTATTGCAATAGTGAAGCCATTATTAGTATTTCTCACTATAAGTAGATTACAAGTGGCTTGTCGCCTCTGAAAAATGTTGTAGTGTACTTTGTCAGTGACGTGTAGTGTCCACGTGCACAGCAGAAAATATTGCTAATATTTTGAGCTAAGCCACGTCATTTACTGGTTGGGTTCTTTTCAAAGATTGTGAATATTGTTTCGTCCTTCCAACAAGTAAGATTGTCTGCCATTAATACTCAAGAATTTCTTGCGATCTGGCCATACTCAGTGTTCTTTCTGCATTCCATGTTTTCTCGTTTTTTCTCGGTATAACTTAAGTCATATGATTATTGCCAATTTTATACACGATTTACTTGAACAGGAAGACTTTATTATGAAAAGGGTAGATAGTATCCTGAGTTATAGCACATGATGATTCGATGCGAGATCACCTGATGCTTCTGTATCGACCGCTTGACTTTATGGTGCAGTATCACGCTGGTTTTATCGCGTCAATCTCGATCAGCCATTTCATTTAGAGCCACGAATGAATTTTCTCTCGGCAGTGCGTCACCTTGTGTCAGTCTAATTTTGTGACTAAATTAAATTCTGGGTAACTCTTTTCAAGTTCAGTTTTATTACGATCGGTTGATGCGCGAAATAGCTTACCCCTCACTTCAGTGAGGTGACTCTTCTCATGAGAAGATAAAGGCATCTTTATTTACTTGATCCCATAAATAACCACTACTGCGATATCAATAAAACTTTAATTGCGTCATGAATTATATGCTGTACTCTGTAAATGATATTGATAAAGCGAGAGCAATCATTTTCATTCATAGCACTTATGACATTTGTTCTTTCCAATTAATGTTCCCGTGAGTTACCAAAATATATATTTATATGCTTATCATGAGTGAATTAAACTACAGTCCTTTAATTTTATTGTAATATATAGATTTAGGCAAGCCTAAAAGCGGAGCTCGCATTTTTTCCCCACACGTCTCTTCAACAAAACTAAAGCACCTACTATGGATAAAGTGCGTGGTAATATTAATGGATTTTCATTCGCAACTTCTCCGTGTCCGTGTAGAGGACTGATTATAAGATAGTGCCCGTGGTATAGTTGGCCGCGCATGCTAAAAGTAGCACCTTGTACGGTCGGTCGAACGGTCTTACGGTCGTACATCCAAATTTTTTTCGGCTTGATGTGTTACTACTATTTTGTATAGTTAGGGGCTACGCGAGCTCCGCTATTAAATATAAGATAAACTGTATAAAAATATATAAATGATTAGATAGAATGAGTGAAGCATCTACTGATATGGACACATCACATCGAAATTACAATTTTTGTGACTTTGAAAAGTCAATTTTGTTTGTAAGGAACTTTGGTATCTTGGCAGTCAATAAAATTATTTCACCAACTGACGTTTGTTAAATTTTCCTTTTGGTGATAGTGGGTTAGGGTGGAAAAGTAATACGAGATGAAACCGATAGCAGACCATAGGCTTGTTTCATAACTGAAGAGGCTTTCTTTAAGCTCTCTGTCGAAAATCGCAAACTAACTCAAGCTAACGTGTGAGTAGGATTTTTGTTCTCTGTTATGGAGTTCGCAAAGCTGATTACGCCAATATATTACGCAAAACAGTTTTAAAACTTAGCGACCATGAAGACACTTTGGCGCTAAAAGTTTAGATTCCAGAGTTTTATTTTCAGACCACATGCAAACAAATGCTTCGCTAATTACTATATAATAACTTTTTTTTTTTTTATCTCAAGTCAATTTTTTTTATTTTAATATTATAATAACTTTTTCTATGATCTCGGTTGGAGTTCATTTACATCGGTATTAGTCACTAGTACAAAAGTCGCTTTCTCAATGGAATATCGCCGTAAAAGCGGCGCCATTCAATTTTCTCTCTATGTTCCTCCTTGAGCCACAAGGCTAATGTCCATCAAAGTCGCAATCCTTTGGCTAATCAATGCAAACAGAGCCATGGAATCAGAAGTTGTGGGGACTGGGCAAAACTTATTTCTTCCTGAGGTTAAAATGCAAGAGCAGCCTCTCTTTTTCTATTGCGTTTGTATTATCAGGTACTTTAGATTTTAAACAGACGATTGTTTTTTTTTTCTTCCCTAGGAGTTATGACGTTGAGACTTCTGCTGTCGTTATACTTGTCCAGCGGAACGAGTGCAAACACTTGTCATGGGAACGAGGATAAGAAACTCTGCTTCCATTACCCTTGTCTAGCGGAGCATTCCTCAAAACCCTTTTTCCAAGTCCAGAACTGGAACCGATCTTCAGGCTTTCGTCAAGTTGGGAAACACTGAATGTATCTCACGAAAGCACAACACATAGCCTGTTCCGGGCGCTCAGGCAGTACGGCGGAGCGAAATAGTTGACAGCGCGGTAATAGCGGAGTGAAAAAGCTAGGGGGGCCAGGGTCGGGTTATTAAGCAACCCGACCTAAGCCTTTCTCATTTTTTCACTCCCCTACTATCGCGTACAATATCACGCTTCGTTTTAACCAGCTGAACGCCTAAAACAGGCTACAAAACTCAAAGAAGTCGAAAGTAAAGTGTCTGAAGCAATCCAACAATAAATAAGGGGATTATGTATCATTAATTATTGGTGGAGGGCCTTCGTTGTAACCTTACATATACATGCCCTGTGGGGTGCTAGTGAGAGAACTAAATTAAAGTTAAGACAGAACGAGGTTTTTTTCTCTGTAGCCAGTGAAAAAAGGGTTAGGTGCGGGAGAAGAAGTTGGGAAATCGATTCAAGTGCAAACTACGATTGTTGGGATGTAAAAGATATCCTCTAACTTTGCAAAACCTCAATCATCTTCCTCTTTTAGGTCTGTCACGCACGCTACAAGTCCACCGTCAACTTTAGAACCTTCTTCACTACAACGTAAGACCTTGCACGATCTCGTGGTATTTAAAGATCTTCCGTCCAAAAAGTACTTTAATTTTGTTCTTTACAATATCATTTTGGTTTTATTTCAAATGAACTTACGTGTTTTATGTGGCTTGTGAAGATTTAGGCCTCTCGAAATTGTGTGGAGGTGACGCGAGCCGACTTTTGAGATAGGAGAAAACGCAACTTGATCAAACTTCCGGTGACTTGTTCCCTCACGAACTTTATCTAACAGTATCTTATTATTGCTTTCGATCTAATTATGACGATCAATTAAAGTATGTACTCTCAGTTAGTCATTGTTATTGCAGATTACAATTAATTTCTGTCATTAATAAGCTATTTCTTTTAAAGAATTATGTAATCTTGATAAAGATTAATTTTCTCGCCACCTTTGAGAGATCCCATTGTTAAGCGCGCGCTTAGTGCAGCTGCTTTTCGACAAAAGCTGCGCGGAAAACCACGCTTTTAATTTATCGTTCATAGCGGTAGATTTGAGTATTTCAGCGCAGAATGTGCTTTATTAACTTGTTCGATATGAAGGCGATCTAGTCGAGAAATTCAGCAGTCTTAATCTGAATCTGTTGGTGGTTGATTAGATCTAGGAAGAAAAATATTGATGGTAAGTAATTTCATTTTGATGTTACTGCTACTTAGTACTTCCAGTCAAAGTTAACAAAGCATGTAAGTCATCCGCCTTTCTTTTGCACTCATAACGAAATTAAGCCATTATTAAACGCTTTCATTCAAGATCATGACTAAGGTAGTCAATTCAGTTCCAGGCTAAGGCTTGTTCTCAAAAGTGACAAGTACTGAAAACTACAAGGCTTTCGAGATCAATACCGTTTATTCGGCGTCAAACTAACAAGTTCGTTTTGTACTTTATTATTTAAAAACAAAGCTTCAATTTTCTTCGACTAATTTTCCGCAGTTAAATGTGCTCAATTGAATGTGCTAGTAAAACTCGTTACCTTTCTTGAAAATAATAGCATCTGCATCTCGAGGTGAAGTTGAATTTTGAAAATAGAAAACATATGTCCATTTGGATATCAAACTTCTTTTTTTACGCTATACTTTTACGGCTGTTTACAAGCTTTTTTAACGATCCTGTGAAAAGTTGATCGCAAAATGAAATTAGAAAAAATGGGTTGCAATTATGCAAGTAAACGATGGAATACTAATTGCTTCTGAGTAATCAAAACACTGATCAACGCTGGCTTATTTGGGTCATCAATTACTGAGAATTTTCCACTGTTATTACCAAATCTTACGATTCGCTCGCTTTGCTGTGAATATTTCACAGAAATTCTCAAGAAATTTGCCCACAAAACCAACTTCATATGAATAGCTCGATTTTCCGAAACTTACAGTGATATAGGGAAGTCATAATTTCGATTAAATCGTAAATAAGACTTATCACTATGGTGACGAGCTCCGAACAGTCGTTTTCAATATGTCGGACAATCCCGAAAATACAGATCCAAAAGCGCAGGAAAGAGAGGATGGTACAAAGTCCCGCACGCTAAAAGATGCGACACATAAACTTAAAGCAGAAGCTTTAAGACGTTATCAGCTTGGAGATGCAGAGTATGACAGCGAAGGCGCTAAAACTGATGATGGGCGCCAAGGTTCGTCTTCTGATAAGAATGTTGGAGACACCGAAAAGGACGGTGAAAAAATTGATTCAGAAAACCCAGATTCTCCGAGCAAGGGAAAAGATGATGATTTGAAT